TGTTGCCTCTGTCGAGATGTATGTGACAGGCAAAGTGCAATCGTCTTATAGTATTGCACTTTGCCTGTCAAAAGTTCCTCGCAATCTTGAGGTGTGAGGAAGTTTCTCGACAGAGGCAACTTTCATATCGAATGTTGCCTCTGTCGAGATGTATGTGACAGGCAAAGTGCAATCGTCTTATAGTATTGCACTTTGCCTGTCAAAAGTTCTCTGCATCTCTTGAGGTGTGAGGAAGTTTCTCGACAGAGGCAACTTTCATATCGAATGTTGCCTCTGTCGAGATGTATGTGACAGGCAAAGTGCAATCGTCTATAGTATTGCACTTTGCCTGTCAAAAGTTCCTCGCATCTCTTGAGTGTGAGGAAGTTTCTCGACAGAGGCAATTTCATATCGAATGTTGCCTCTGTCGAGATGTATGTGACAGGCAAAGTGCAATCGTCTTATAGTATTGCACTTTGCCTGTCAAAAGTTCCTCGCATCTCTTGAGTGTGAGGAAGTTTCTCGACAGAGGCAACTTTCATATCGAATGTTGCCTCTGTCGAGATGTATGTGACAGGCAAAGTGCAATCGTCTTATAGTATTGCACTTTGCCTGTCAAAAGTTCCTCGCATCTCTTGAGGTGTGAGGAAGTTTCTCGACAGAGGCAACTTTCATATCGAATGTTGCCTCTGTCGAGATGTATGTGACAGGCAAAGTGCAATCGTCTTATAGTATTGCACTTTGCCTGTCAAAAGTTCCTCCGCATCTCTTGAGGTGTGAGGAAGTTTCTCGACAGAGGCAACTTCATATCGAATGTTGCCTCTGTCGAGATGTATGTGACAGGCAAAGTGCAATCGTCTTATAGTATTGCACTTTGCCTGTCAAAAGTTCCTCGCATCTCTTGAGGTGTGAGGAAGTTTCTCGACAGAGGCAACTTTCATATCGAATGTTGCCTCTGTCGAGATGTATGTGACAGGCAAAGTGCAATTCGTCTTATAGTATTGCACTTTGCCTGTCAAAAGTTCCTCGCATCTCTTGAGGTGTGAGGAAGTTTCTCGACAGAGGCAACTTTCATATCGAATGTTGCCTCTGTCGAGATGTATGTGACAGCAAAGTGCAATCGTCTTATAGTATTGCACTTTGCCTGTCAAAAGTTCCTCGCATCTCTTGAGGTGTGAGGAAGTTTCTCGACAGAGGCAACTTTCATATCGAATGTTGCCTCTGTCGAGATGTATGTGACAGGCAAAGTGCAATCGTCTTATAGTATTGCACTTTGCCTGTCAAAAGTTCCTCGCATCTCTTGAGGTGTGAGGAAGTTTCTCGACAGAGGCAACTTTCATATCGAATGTTGCCTCTGTCGAGATGTATGTGACAGGCAAAGTGCAATCGTCTTATAGTATTGCACTTTGCCTGTCAAAAGTTCCTCGCATCTCTTGAGGTGTGAGGAAGTTTCTCGACAGAGGCAACTTTCATATCGAATGTTGCCTCTGTCGAGATGTATGTGACAGGCAAAGTGCAATCGTCTTATAGTATTGCACTTTGCCTGTCAAAAGTTCCTCGCATCTCTTGAGGTGTGAGGAAGTTTCTCGACAGAGGCAACTTTCATATCGAATGTTGCCTCTGTCGAGATGTATGTGACAGGCAAAGTGCAATCGTCTTATAGTATTGCACTTTGCCTGTCAAAAGTTCCTCGCATCTCTTGAGGTGTGAGGAAGTTTCTCGACAGAGGCAACTTTCATATCGAATGTTGCCTCTGTCGAGATGTATGTGACAGGCAAAGTGCAATCGTCTTATAGTATTGCACTTTGCCTGTCAAAAGTTCCTCGCATCTCTTGAGGTGTGAGGAAGTTTCTCGACAGAGGCAACTTTCATATCGAATGTTGCCTCTGTCGAGATGTATGTGACAGGCAAAGTGCAATCGTCTTATAGTATTGCACTTTGCCTGTCAAAAGTTCCTCGCATCTCTTGAGGTGTGAGGAAGTTTCTCGACAGAGGCAACTTTCATATCGAATGTTGCCTCTGTCGAGATGTATGTGACAGGCAAAGTGCAATCGTCTTATAGTATTGCACTTTGCCTGTCAAAAGTTCCTCGCATCTCTTGAGGTGTGAGGAAGTTTCTCGACAGAGGCAACTTTCATATCGAATGTTGCCTCTGTCGAGATGTATGTGACAGGCAAAGTGCAATCGTCTTATAGTATTGCACTTTGCCTGTCAAAAGTTCCTCGCATCTCTTGAGGTGTGAGGAAGTTTCTCGACAGAGGCAACTTTCATATCGAATGTTGCCTCTGTCGAGATGTATGTGACAGGCAAAGTGCAATCGTCTTATAGTATTGCACTTTGCCTGTCAAAAGTTCCTCGCATCTCTTGAGGTGTGAGGAAGTTTCTCGACAGAGGCAACTTTCATATCGAATGTTGCCTCTGTCGAGATGTATGTGACAGGCAAAGTGCAATCGTCTTATAGTATTGCACTTTGCCTGTCAAAAGTTCCTCGCATCTCTTGAGGTGTGAGGAAGTTTCTCGACAGAGGCAACTTTCATATCGAATGTTGCCTCTGTCGAGATGTATGTGACAGGCAAAGTGCAATCGTCTTATAGTATTGCACTTTGCCTGTCAAAAGTTCCTCGCATCTCTTGAGGTGTGAGGAAGTTTCTCGACAGAGGCAACTTTCATATCGAATGTTGCCTCTGTCGAGATGTATGTGACAGGCAAAGTGCAATCGTCTTATAGTATTGCACTTTGCCTGTCAAAAGTTCCTCGCATCTCTTGAGGTGTGAGGAAGTTTCTCGACAGAGGCAACTTTCATATCGAATGTTGCCTCTGTCGAGATGTATGTGACAGGCAAAGTGCAATCGTCTTATAGTATTGCACTTTGCCTGTCAAAAGTTCCTCGCATCTCTTGAGGTGTGAGGAAGTTTCTCGACAGAGGCAACTTTCATATCGAATGTTGCCTCTGTCGAGATGTATGTGACAGGCAAAGTGCAATCGTCTTATAGTATTGCACTTTGCCTGTCAAAAGTTCCTCGCATCTCTTGAGGTGTGAGGAAGTTTCTCGACAGAGGCAACTTTCATATCGAATGTTGCCTCTGTCGAGATGTATGTGACAGGCAAAGTGCAATCGTCTTATAGTATTGCACTTTGCCTGTCAAAAGTTCCTCGCATCTCTTGAGGTGTGAGGAAGTTTCTCGACAGAGGCAACTTTCATATCGAATGTTGCCTCTGTCGAGATGTATGTGACAGGCAAAGTGCAATCGTCTTATAGTATTGCACTTTGCCTGTCAAAAGTTCCTCGCATCTCTTGAGGTGTGAGGAAGTTTCTCGACAGAGGCAACTTTCATATCGAATGTTGCCTCTGTCGAGATGTATGTGACAGGCAAAGTGCAATCGTCTTATAGTATTGCACTTTGCCTGTCAAAAGTTCCTCGCATCTCTTGAGGTGTGAGGAAGTTTCTCGACAGAGGCAACTTTCATATCGAATGTTGCCTCTGTCGAGATGTATGTGACAGGCAAAGTGCAATCGTCTTATAGTATTGCACTTTGCCTGTCAAAAGTTCCTCGCATCTCTTGAGGTGTGAGGAAGTTTCTCGACAGAGGCAACATTCGATATGAAAGTTGCCTCTGTCGAGATGTATGTGACAGGCAAAGTGCAATCGTCTTATAGTATTGCACTTTGCCTGTCAAAAGTTCCTCGCATCTCTTGAGGTGTGAGGAAGTTTCTCGACAGAGGCAACTTTCATATCGAATGTTGCATCTGTCGAGATGTATGTGACAGGCAAAGTGCAATCGTCTTATAGTATTGCACTTTGCCTGTCAAAAATACCCCCATCGTCTTTTGATTCCCAATAGATTGTGCCATTGTGGGAGACATGCATAAGCAATGTCTCCCGGAATGACACATTAAGACTGACAAGAGTGTGTTTTGCACTCTTGTCGGTCAAAGTTTTGCAATCGTCTTGTGATTGCAAAAAGATTGTGCCATTGTGGGAGACATGCATAGGCAATGTCTCCCGGAATGCATTGTGACTGACAAGAGTGTTTTTGCACTCTTGTCCGTTAAAACATTTATTTGTAATATCAAAAGTTTTACAACGACCGCGGTTCTTTCCAGTATTCTGTTGATTTCAAAAGATTTTGATGTTTCATATGTTTTCAGTCTTGACAAACGTTCCAGGATGAGATCCATATTTTTAACTCTTTAAAAGTTAAGGGATCTGAATATATAAATGATTCGAATGTATTCATTGGAGATCTAAATTGTGAAAAAATATCCCAGTTTTGCACGGAGAATATCCAACAACATAAATTTCCATTTATTGCTGAAATGATACGAAATTTTACGCATATTATTGATGTTAAATTTAATGCATCTTTAATAATTCCAATAATTAGAAAATCTATAAAAAATTTCGGAAATGAAACAAAATCGATCGTAAAAAGGCCAAAAACAAAACATCCAACCAGATCAGAAGAGTCACATAGTAATTTAAATACAGAAAACATTACTCAACTTAAGATTCAAGCGAAGCTTCAAATTGATAGATTAATGGAGTCCCGACGAATATCTGATATGAAATCTCTTCAGAAAAAGCAAATGTCAGCGTTATATGTTATTGTTATCTTTTTGATTTTAGTCGGAATCACTTATGATGTTGTTAGAGTTAAGCCTTATTTAATCAAACATGATTAGATCATGTGTTTGTCCAGTGTATGTTTTCCATTTTTTTTGTTTGTAAAAATTTCATAAATATATTTTGCTATCAATCAATGAATGTTTTTAAAATTACTTTCTAACTCTTGTATTGAAGATGTGAGTGTTGCAAATGAAGATTTTTGTGGGCTTGATATGAGGACCATTGAATTTCTAAAAGAATAATAAAAACAATGATTCACCTATCATTATTTCGGACAATATTTTCATTTCATATTTGCGAATTCATAATTTAATAATGTGGATGTTTGCATTGATTCTTCAATTGACTTACTCTCGACATGAGTACATAGGAATGGGAAATTTTTCATATCTAATGAATAGCACACGTGGTGCTCCTATATTTATTCGTTTATGGACAACTTGGTGCCCTCATTGCAGAAAATTTGAGCCTGATTGGATTCAACTTACCCAAACACCTGAAGTAAACAAATCGGTTATGTTTGCAAGTATCGAATGTGATGCATCTAGAGCTCTATGTAAAAAATTCGAAGGCGAAAATTATCCTCGTCTTTATTGGTATGATACAGAAAGTTACAAAGTAGATAGATACTTTGGTGAACGTTCCGTTTCTCATATGACTGAATTCATCAAAAAACAATTTTCTCCAACTTTACTCGAAATCAACAATAATCAAACAGAACTCGACGTATACATAAACAGATCAAACTCTATACCAGCATTTGTACTCTATCTTTCATCTAAAATTGACGCAGAAACTACATTAAAGTATAAAGAAACTTATGTCAATATCAGCCATCTCTTTAGAAGAACAGAGTTACCATTCATAGTTGCATATGACTTAAATGAAACCACAAAGCCAGTTTTCGGAGTTTTCGCAGCTCCAGATTATTTCATAGAATATTCTGGTGATTTCTTTAATATGGATTACGTTACAGACTTTATTACAAAGCGTTCATTCTCATACCATACAGAATTGAACGGATACATACTTAAGAGCATGGAATTATATGATTACTCTTATTTAATGTCGATTGAGAGAGGAAATCCAGAACCAAATGACTCTCTTCTTAGAGAACTCCATAATGTCATGCCATTGACCACTCTAAACTGCAGTACTCAGAATGGATATTTTTGCAAATATTTCGGAGTCGATAAAGGTGAAACAGAAAGGATGATTGGCATTCTCGATTGGAAGGGAAAGCATTACTGGATATATAGAGGCGAAATGAACATTGAATCAATAAAGAATTGGATCAAATCTGTTTCAGAAGGAAAAATCAAAGGAAGTGGTCCAGGAACAGGATTTCTGAGTAATTTTAAGAGTTATTATTACGAATATAGAGCAGGAGGATCAGCAAATGTGCTTATTAACTTCGCATATGTACCTCTTGCAGTTGTAATTGTTCTTTCTATCTTCATTATCATGAAGAATGATGTTGAAGAAGAAAGGAAACACACAAAAAAGATGCTTGAGAAACAGAAAGCAAGATTAGAAGCTATCGAAAAGCAGAAGAAACTTGAAGCAGAACAAAGAGCTAAATCACCTGTAGATGACCTTCAAACAAAGCCAAAGGCAGATTAGAATAAAATGTATGATTTAATAATATCTTGAATAGTTTTTTTTTTTTAGAATTGCATTGATTTAGAAATTGAAATTTATTAGTTTAGTTTAAAAATGAATTGTTTAGTTATCAGAAATATAATGAATCAGCATAATTTGCATTTTCGATTGATGCTAGGATATGTTTCATCCCTGTTAAAGAGTGATTGTATAAAGGATTTGCTTCCTTTATTTTCTTCAGTTTCTGCATCATTGGGTTCAGTGTCTTGCTTTTCTAAAGTTAATTTAGCTTGAAGGTTACATCCATCCTTTTGGAAAAATTTATTCATAAGTCTTGTCAAGTGTGCTGTGGCCAAATGCACACAAGCTAAGCCTTCGGAATTTTTAATATCCGTATTTGCCCCATTTTCCACAAAATATGGTATCACTTCAACAGCATCTGCTTTATAGGCAACATAAAGGGGAGTATTTCCTTCTTCATTTAATGTATTAATATCAAATCCTTGTGAAAGAAGATATTTGCAAGCCTCAAGATTATCTCCTTCAGCAGCTGAATGAAGAGCACAATCTCCATTGTTTGTTCTTGCCTTGGCATCTATACCATGTGAAATAAGAAACTCCAATACATTTTTGCCGGCATATTTGGCAGCATTAATAAAAGCATTAACTCCCTTACTGTTTTTGACATTTATGTCTAATCCATGGGAAAGGAGAAATTCTATGGTCTCAAAATTTTCATTTTGAGCAGCCAAATGAAGAGCCATTAATTCATTCATATCGTTGGTTGTTGAATTAATATCAGCTCCATGTGAAATAAAGTAATCACAAAGAGAAGGAATATTGAAGAATGCGGATTTAAGGAATCATTGATCAATATTGTTGGTTTGATCAATCACTAACAGCAATGCTTGAAGGTTATTGTTCTTTGCGCAAAAGTCCTCATTAATTTTGATGCAATATTTATTCATCAAATATTTGACAAAGATGTCATTGTGTGAAATAATTGCATGCTTCATACAGTCTTGATCTGGTATTATCTTTTTCACACATTCATGCATGATGACTGAACTTCTTCCCAAAAATGAAAAATTGAGACATGTTCTTGTTATTGGGATCTTGAATTTGTTTATGAGTAACCTGAAGCAATTGATTGATCCATGATAACAGGACAATTCGAGTAATGAATATCCATTTTCTGATTCAGGATAAAAATCACTTTTGAGTTTAAGAGTTTCATCGTATTTATCTCTCCTTGTTAGAGCAAGAAGTGAATCTTTCTTGTCATACATGATTGCTCTGAAAATTGTGTTTTTCTCATGAACATCCATGACATAATTCTTTGTTTCAAGATTTTTGATGTCTTCCAATTTGGTATCAAATGCCAAAATATTGTATTCCTTATATAGAAAGTACATGAAGACAGGAGATTTCTCTTTTGGTTGCTTTGGATGGTATTCATCGAGTACCCTCTTGAAAAGTCTTAAGTATGAGCGAAAATATTTGGTGTTGTATTTGGCTACAATCTGTATGGCATCAATGATATGATCTGATGAGTATACGTTTGTTTCAATCAGTGTATCTCTGATGTCTTGATAAATTCTTTCAACTGCTCCTTCATCAAATGTGTCCAGTGTATAGAGTTCATTGATAGCTTTGTTTATGTCTTTGGTAATAAGCGTAATGTCTCTGTATTTGATGCTAGTCATGGTAATGCTGCGAACACTACTAGAAAATGATTTGATTTTGAAAGAATTCCTTTTTGAAAGATTATTTGCAGTTTTAAGTTTTTCAGCCCAAAATGAGATGTTAAATATTAATAACTCGTATGAAGCAATGTGATCAAACTATATAACATTTATAAAAGTAAATGCTCAAAATTGAGAAACTCTCACAAAAATGATACTTTGATGGGTGCTTTGGCATAAAGCCTAAAATGATTTAGTATGCATGAAGTTGATCTTATTTTCTTAAAAGCATGCAATAATGAAGACTCGAATCAAAATATATTGTCGCCCATCCGTATAAAATCTGAATAATTGAGTATTCATAAAAAGGAATTGCATGATATTTAGGATTGCTGATTTGGAAGATGATTTTTCGATTCTGAATGGAAAATTGGCCTTGATAAGATTTTTCTAGAAAGAAAAGGGGAAATTACTTAAAATAAAGAATGGCTCATGAGTACGAAATGCATTTCCAATGTCAGTAAAAGGATTAAAAATAAAGATTAATATCATAATTTCATTATTTTTATAATAACACAAAAGATAATAAATATAATAACTAATTTGTCATCTGGGATCTTTGGAGCTTTGCCCAAGTTCCATCTGACATTTCTCTATAATATATAATGTTATTAGAAGAACATCCTGCGCTAAGAATGAATCCATTTGATGACCATTTAAGGGTTGTTGCAGGCTGAGCAAGCTGATCAATAATTATGGAACTCCAAGCATTATTGGAATAAGTCCATAATTTTATTGTAGAATCATCACCGCATGTAGCAATTTCATATCTGGTGAAACCAGGGAGTGGCCTCCATGCAATTGCGTTGCAGCAGCAATTATGAGCCTCAACAGGCTGCATAATTGGAACCCATTGGTGTCTCTCATTGACTCCGTATATAGCGAAGAATCCGCTTGCTGATGAAGCTGCTAAGTAAAATGTTGGAGCATCATTTGGACGATCAATAAAGCTGTAGAAGCCAGGAGGCGACCAAGTAACGCATGTCGATGGATATTCTGATAATCTGATTAATTGGGTGTTCCATTGTTCTTGGATTCCAGTTGTTACTGATATCATTCCTTCTGAATCTGCAGCGGCAAATATCAATCCACTTGGCGCCCACGCAACGGAATTTATAGCTGCTTTATGATGTGATAAGGTAATAATTTGTGAAATTTCGGTTGCCTTTATTTTTTGATAAATAAAGATATGACCATTATCATCGCCAACAATAAAAACTGTTCCGAGATCTATTGGTCCAAATGATATTGAAGTCGCATAATTTGATGTTGGAGTTGTGGTTGCAATTTTTGTATATTGTCGATTTTCGTTGATTTCAAAAACATGAACTGCACCATGCTCACTAAGGACACCAAGTGTTACTCCGTCAGGTGAAAATGCAATATCGGATATCTCATTTATATTTGTAATAGGAAGAGAAACTGACGGCAAAGACATTACAAAAACCGAATTTGACTCTTGCTATGGAGTGATGGTGACAAAGTAAGAAATCGGACGTAGTGTTGCATATTGCACTTCATGTGGGATGATTTACAGTCAATTATGCAACAGAAGGATTAAAATTATTCAATATCTAATTCATTCTAATCCCCTTAACAAATAAACTAGAATTATCTCAAATCACTACTATTCTAATGTATTTCTAGTTTCATTGTCCATAATTCTGAGTAGGTTTTATCAATATTGATATTAGAAAATTGAAATGATTGATATCTGAACTCGTACGTCAACAAAATATCTCATGCATGTATAAAAGTGAAAATAAAAAGTTAATGATAATGTTAAATTTATATCAATTGAACTTGTAGTCAGTAAAATAGAAACTCTAGAGGTTACAATATAGCGTAAGCATGTAGTTCTTATATAACTACAAACGCATATCATCGATGGCTCTAAAGGAGAAAAAAATTAGATAACAATTTAGAATCCTATAAGATGAGATTAAATAATTGTCTTAGGAATATTGACAACGCCTTATGGTAATGTCGTGTTGGAGAGTCAAAATATATTTTGAGTTTAATATCTCTAAAAATCCAGCCATTACCCTTAAATTATCGGATTAAATATGAACCCAATGAGTTTTCCGAATAGAATAGATTTCTTGTTGGAATATTTTCGTTAGTGATAAAAAGTCTGAGAAAATATGTCTGATTCTATAGTTGTATCTTAGGATTTCCATCACCGGAATTCAATGAAGCATTTTTGATGGTAATTGGCCCATCAGGATTTTTATTTAGAGAAAATGAAAAAATTATTTTACCATCTGCTGCATTGAATGATGGATATTGTACCTGTATGGGACCATTAGTCGTCATATTCATGTTGAAATGTTTAAATGTAATTCAATGTTTTATTATATAAAAATGATCTTATTTCTTTTCCTTTGTCAATATAAGTTCAAGTTGCATGGTCTTGTATGTTTGATCTGAACCAGCTCTCTTAAGGAGTCCGTCTGTAATCTGTTTTGGAAGCTTAATTTGGTATTTGTTGGAGAATGGAAGAGTATCCTCCTTGCGTGGCTTCTCTTCTTTCCTTGAACGATCATCACGTCTTTCCTCTCTACGTGGTTTTTCTCTTCTTTCCTCTTTTCTCCTTCTGTCATTTCTATCATCTTCATTATCGCTGTAATCTGAGTATCTTGAGTTACGTCTATTGTGGCGGGTTTCACGACGTCTATCTTCTTCGTCGTATTCGCTTCTTCTATATCTCCTTGGTGGGGGAGGTGATGAACGGCTCATTTTTAAAAAACCGCCAAAACTGGACGTTTTATAATTATTATCAGGTGATTCCATGATTGTGTAGAATAGGCGGACAATGAGTGGTCTTCCGTGAAACCAGGTACATGTAGGTGTTCAAGCAATTGGATATGTTTAATAATTTTGGACAAATCCGCTAATATAAAATTATCAGCTGTCATTAATATTTTCATTATTGAGTATATGCTAACTTAGATTTTTCTTGAATAATTGCTTATGATGTTGATGTTTTTATTATCTGTTAACTTATTTATATAATTTATTTTGAGTGTTGAAATAATTTATAGTGTTACTAAGATTTTTCATAATGGACGGATTAGGGACTTTATCAATTCCAAATAAGAAAGGATTATATACAAAAAATATCCGAAATGTGAATCGTGTTTATATATTTGCTCATACATGATAGAAGAGATTTCATTATAGTGATGAAATGGGTATGGCAACCATTAATTGAAACAAAATGAATCTAAAAAGGAATAAAAAAACTGATACAATTTCTAGAAATGAATAAGATAGCTTTATGAAAAAACAAATATGTACTATTTGGTCACTCAATATAGAATGAATGACATCAATTTAACAGCAACCTGATTTTTCGGCATTTGGCTTCAAAACTGTCTGTTGATGTTGTTTTGATTTAAGTCCACCATAAACCGGATTATTTCGGAGATATTCTTCACAAGCATCTTCGAAAACTTCTTTAATTCCCTTTCCAGTAACAGCAGATGTTTCACGATAGATTGCACCAATAGATTCTGCCATTTTTTCACCTTGTTCTTGAGATATTCTACGGTTAGGTAAATCGTATTTATTTCCGATGAGAACTGTGATAACTTTGCCTTCATTGACTTCGCAAACTCTCTCATGCCAATCTGTAACTGACTCTAAACTTTGAGGTGAAGTCAAATCAAACACAATGAGTGCGATTTTTGTTTCACGATAATATTGAGAAGTTAATGATCTGTACGATTCTTGTCCAGCTGTATCCCAAATTAGAAGATTGATATTATTTTTTCCAACTTTGACTTTTGCATTGCAAAATCCGGCAGCGATTGTTGGAGTTGTCTGAGACGAAAATTCTCCCGTCAAATATCTAAGAGATATACAAGTTTTGCCGACGCTACTATCTCCTATTACAACAACCTTAAGAGTGATTTCTTGCGACATAGTGAATGTTTTCCCTACCGGTGGCGGTTGTTTTTAAAAACTGAAATTAATAATTGGAGTTAGGTAATGTATGTATGAATGAATATTACATGTGAATTTATTTGAAATGAAACATTCAATTTTTTGAAATCAAATTTAGTTATTAACTAAATTTGAAATGATAATTTTAAAGGATTGAAAATGCGAATAATCCAAATCTCTCAATAATTTATCTCAATTTTGGCTATGAAGAGCATAATGGTTAAATAAAGATTTTCAATTATTTAAAATAATGTAGTAAATTATTTTCTCAAAAATTGTGAAAAGCTTCGAAGTTTTCATCATTATATTGAAATTTTCTCAGGCGAGTCATTTTTCAATCCGGACTTATTTGAATCGTAATGCGATAATAGATATTAATTTATGAAAAAATATCCTTTTTCTAATTGGCAAAACAAATTTTAGATCATCCGATTTTCATCATTGAAAAGAAATTTTTATACAAGAACAAGATGAATACTCAATGCTTTTTTTTATTTTTTTTTATTTTTTTTTTTTTTGACAATTCAAAAAGCGTTTCAGATCATTTCACGTTCATTTTCTCAATAACATCTCAAAAGATATTTCTTTCCCTTCCAAATTTATTTGTGAGTGTAAAAAACCATCGTAAAACTTGTAATCCGATATGCTCAAAAAATTATTTTCGGAAAAAATTTGGAAATTTTAAATAATAAAATCGAAAAATCTGAAGATTAAAATGAATAAAACGAAAAATGAAACGTCAAAATTATTTAATAATACATATACTATATTAATGATTATTAAAATCAACATATCTAACTAATTTCGGAATAATAAAAAAATTACCGTTCAAGGATGTACTCGTAAAGGATGATAAAAAAGTAACTTATAAAAAATTAAAATAAAAGTATGTTGTGAAACTTCGTTTAGATTACTTAAGCGGCGGCTTCACCTTCCTCATCTTCTTCGCCTTCGCCCTGTTCTTCGACGCCGGCTGTTTCGTACATTTCGTACTCCTGGATGAGATCTGTCATGTTGGAGCGAGCTTCATCGAATTCGACTGTTTCGAGGCCTTCGTTGACGTACCAGTGGATGAAAGCACGGCGAGCGTACATCTTCTGGAATTGGGAGTCGACACGTGTGAAGAGTTCACGGAAGGCTGTTGTGTTGCCGATGAATGTAGCAGCCATCTTGAGACCACGTGGTGGGATATCGCAGATAGCGGACTTGACGTTGGATGGGATCCACTCGACGAAGTAGGATGTGTTACGAGCCTGGATGTTAAGCATCTGCTCATCGACTTCCTTAGATGACATACGGCCACGGAAGTGAGCGGAGGCTGTAAGGTAGACACCACGGCGTGGATCGCAAGCAGCCATCATGTTCTTGTTATCGAAGAGTTGGGATGTGAGCTCTGGGACTGTGAGAGCGCGGTACTGCTGGGAGCCACGGGATGTAAGTGGAGCGAAGCCAACAATGAAGAAGTGGAGACGTGGGAATGGAACAAGGTTGACAGCGAGCTTACGAAGGTCGGAGTTGAGCTGACCTGGGAAGCGGAGAGCGCATGTTGTGCCGGACATAACCATGGAAACAAGGTGGTTAAGATCGCCGTATGTTGGTGTTGTGAGCTTGAGTGTACGGAAGCAGATATCGTAAAGAGCTTCGTTATCAATGCAGAAAACTTCATCAGCAGACTCGACGAGCTGGTGGACGGAGAGTGTGCAGTTGTATGGTTCGACGACGGTATCGGAAACCTTTGGAGATGGGACGATAGAGTATGTGGAGAGGATACGATCTGGGTACTCTTCACGGAGCTTGTTGAGAAGGAGTGTGCCGAGACCAGCGCCTGTGCCACCACCGAGGGAGTGGACGAGCTGGAAGCCCTGAAGGCAGTCGCAGGATTCAGCTTCCTTACGGATGACATCGAGGATGGATTCGCAAAGTTCCTGGCCTTCTGTGTAGTAGCCCTTAGCCCAGTTGTTACCAGCACCGGATTGGCCGAAGACGAAGTTATCTGGGCGGAAAAGCTGACCGAACTGGCCGGCACGGACAGAGTCCATTGTGCCTGGTTCAAGGTCGACAAGGATAGCACGTGGGACGTACTTGCCGCCTGTAGCTTCGTTGTAGTAAACGTTGATGCGCTCGAGCTGAAGATCAGAGTCGCCGTGGTATGAACCTGTTGGGTCAATGCCGTGTTCATCAGAGATGACTTCCCAGAACTTGGCACCGATCTGGTTGCCGCACTGTCCAGCCTGGATGTGAACGATTTCACGAACCATGTGAATAATGATATTAACGTATTGAGCGGTTTCACTCAAATAATTCACAAGATCAGTTTATAATTTATCTGTCCCGTAATTCTTTGTATTATTAATCAATTAAGGATAAGGAAGCTATCTCATATCATTTAACTTCAAGGGTACATTCACTATTTTTGACAAAATTTTAAATTTTCATGGGGTTGTAAATCTTATAATAACTAGATGAATAAGGAATAAATCCCAGTATGATGTGCATCATTATATTAAACACTATATGTAAGCCTTGTAATTCTATTAAAACTTATGAAGATCTATAGTATTTGAGCAGATAAATTTGATAATTTCCAAAACTCTTATATTTCAAAATTAAAGTGTGCGAATGCATTTAAATGAGAGCAAAAAGAGAGTGATGCTGTTAAAACTAGGTGTTAATTCCCAATTATTTCGCATCACAAGAACTACCCAGTAAATTCGGCTATCTTTCTTTGCAATTATTTTCGATTTTACATATATTATAATGGTTAGGGTTTGAAGAAAAGTTACTAGAGAATTATTGATTTTTGAAATAATGCAGAATTTTACTTGAAGAAATCATTAATTTATGAGCTCCAAATTGCTAACCATGACGAAGAATCATTAAATTTGCTACAATTAAATACATTTATTGCCGAATTAAGATTATTGAAATTAAAAGTTTGAAATATTGCCTTTTTGAATAAAAATTTAAATTTGATTATATAATCATGATAATATATTATTGAAATTAAAAGAAAATATTTTAAACCATTCAAATATTTTGAATGTCTTATCAATTTAAAATATTAAAAGATAGCTTGATTTTATCATCATTAGTTGTTATCAAAGTTTTTTTCTTTTGATGAACAACAGTAAATGATTTGTTAATACATTGTCTTCCTTTTTCGCAGCAAAATCAAAAGTTATGATGATAATCTTGTACTCAATTTTGAAACTCTCTGATTTACAAGTAAGCATTCCTTTGGAAAAGCAGTCCTATTCTGTTTTCAAGATATTTTAAAGCCCCTATTTCATACAATGTGCAGATCTATTCGAAATTGCAAGAACTCTCAAGAAAAAATGCAGCAGCAAAGAAGATTCCAAAGTTTCTAGCATCAAAAATTTACAACCTTAATACAACAGTTAAAGAGAAGCTCGATAAGAAAATATTTAACCATAAAGCTGGAAACTATTCGATATCTACTATTGGATATAATAAAAAGTTAATTGTAACATATTTTACATGCTATTTGCTGACTCTGTTCCATTATATTACCATATATATCTTTTTGAAATCTAAAAAAATTTTACGATTTTAACCATGTATTGTTGAAATCATATATCAATCTTAGCTAAAGTATAGTTTATGAATCTGTCACCAACTAATGTATGAATTTTCAAAAATGTCAAATATGTTCATTTTTTCTGTATATTCAGCCATAATTTCATGTATTTATACTATTCAACTATTATTTAATATTTTTATCGATTTAAATATATGATAAGATGCTTAGTTCTCCCGGAAAACGATTTTTAATCACAATTTTAACTTTCCAAAAAAAATTCGAAAATAAAAATTCCTCTCAATTTTCTAAATTTTCTAACTAGCCAAATCTCTAGCCAAATTTTTTTTGGCCCGTATAAATATTGTTAGGCACTATATAGGGATGCTATTTATCCTATTTTCATCCCATTTTTAACTTCACTTATTTTGAAACAATAAATATTTCCGATGAAACAGCTCATCAATAATAAAATCAGAAATAAGTAATAAAATATTATTCATCATCGTGTATATGATGTGCCTTTTTATTGATGCTCAGTTTTGCCCTATGAAATTTTATAAACTTATTTTGCTATCAAGATTGCTCCGTTTTGATATATAAATATCTTGAAACAAATTATTTTAGTGAGAAATCAGGGCTCAATCTAGATAACGATTGGGAAATATTTGAGATTCTGAATAATCATGATTCAACATGTATTCACAGCTGTTTTATTCAATAGGTGAATTAGAAAATAAATATGTTATATAGAATCAAGACATCTATCAAATAGTTTATTTCAAATAAAATATTTTAAGTAAGTGATTGAATAACAGCATCTCTAAAGTATCCAAGAGATGTATAATCTTTCTTAGAAGAATCCCAATTCTTCTTTAACTCGCAAGCAAGCTGACAAATCTTTCTATAACAATTTCTCTTTAATTCTATTTCTTTTTTAACTTGATCTTGTAATTCTTGTGTTGGAACTACTGAAAGACAGAATTGTTCCGTATGTTCTAAATCCGCTTCTAATGCTGAATAATATATCATTAAATGTTCTAATAAAGTCGAAATTTGACCTGCTGCTGTACAATGTTCTCGTATTTCACATATTTCTAGGACGCTAAATTCGTTAAGGAGTGCATCTTTCAGAGCAAAAAGCTGAATCGTATTTCCAGATGGGGTGACCATGCAGTTAAAACTTTCCTCAAGAACTCTTTGGGATGATTGATGGCAAAATTCGCATATAAATGGATCAGTTACTGTTACGCATTTTTTATGAGAATAACATCCGCAACGAGTGCAACGAATCATTGGACCAGAAGGAAGTCTGAGTGAGCAGACGCATCTAACAATCTGGCTATCACTCTCCATCATTGGAATAACACGAGATGGAATTTTCTTAGGCTTTTCACTCATGTTGATGACACTTTTCTCCGGAAAGCTTATTCTTGAATAAACATGAAATAGAACATTCTCGCTATTCTCCATTACATTTCTCTCCGAATAGAAAACAGTGTCGTGTTAATTCCTTACGAATAGATCCAATGATTAATGCTTGATGTAAATATTTATAAAATAAATTAGCGAGACATATGGGATTCATACATATTATTCCTAAGTAGAAAAAGACTAATACTTATGATGATATAATTATTATATTATTCACAAATTGATAAATTTGAATTAAAATGATTTAACGATCTCACAACTATCATAATTTTAGACAAATTTGATTGATATACCATTGGTTTAAACCTTATATGCACTCTACAAATTCTTGACTATTCTTCTTCAGTATTACAAGAAATGTAATCAAAATGATAAGAATAATTATCATAAGCTGGCATAACATTAACGGTTTGGATATGTATTATGCTTATTGCTTCAAAGAATAAAATGGCACAAATATATTAAATCACAGAAACTAGGGATTAGCCTTAGTAATCAGAGAAGACAATGAATGGCAGATCATTTTGTTTAAAAATATGCGCCGTTGTTTGATCAATAGAACATTCGGTAAATGGCACTTTTGCAACTGCATTTATGCATAAATTAGTTCTACTTGGTGATCCTGCTGTTGGAAAAACAACACTGTTGACATATTTCACAATGGGATCATTTAATCCACAACATAATCCTACAGTTGGAGCAGGTTGCTCAACTTATCAGTACACAAAAGATGATATTAACGAATCAGTTCAGATTTGGGATACAGCTGGGTCAGAGATATACAAATCTATGGCGCCCATATATACACGTGATGCGTTTGCAGCCATGATCGTAATTGATTTAACTAACGAAAAAACACTCGATGGTGTTGACGATTGGATTAAATACCTTCAACCAGGCGTTCCTATTATTGTTGTTGGCAATAAATGCGATCTCCGCGATTCACGTAAAATTAACCATCTCGAATGCTACGAATTTTGCAATAAACGTGGCTGCGACTATTTAGAAACCAGCGCCTATACAGGTGAAGGTGTAGAAAACGCATTTCAATCAATTTTAGATAGAGCTTTTCAAGTAAGCACAACACAACAAGAATCTGTTGATTCTGTTGATTTACGCGGCACAAAGAAGAAGAAAGAAGGCTGCTGCTAATATTATTTTCTTTTATAGTTTATTTTATACTTCAATTATTTGTTTGATGATAAATTATGTTCATTAAAAAGCCAAAAAATACTAGTGCATGTCAGTGAATTATATATAGCTCTTGATTACAAAAGCACATAAATATTTTTTTGGCATGGCATCTTTTTTATTAAACATATGCTTTCTATTCTTTATAGTTATTTGACTTCTATCTAATTTTTGGTTGATTTTGATAAGTCATTTTAAATTCGAGAAAACCTAAAGTTCAATGACTTTTTAATTTAATATTCCCTCATTCTGACATCTCAATAATTATAAAAACATTCTGAAACAACTCAATTTTGTTATTTTTTCAAATGTTTCTTTATCTATTTGCGATAAAGTCAACATTTGAAGAAATTACCAATGGCGATTACGACTACCTACATGAAAAAGCAAAAAGTTTAAATACATATATCTACTTTTATTCAAGAAATAGCGATAATAAAAATGAATTTATTCAGAATCTCCTTAAATCAGAATTCGAAAATGTACACATTGCAACTATGAAAATCACTAATGTCAATAAAATCTACAATGACCTCTCTTCAGAACTTCCAATTCTTACAAAAGTATTTCCTGACAGAATAAACGATTTCAAACTGAGAACAACTGCAAGAAAAGAAGATGATATTCAACAATTCATAAGTCAAACAACAAAAGACATCTCAATAAATTTATTTGGTAATTTCAAAAGCATTATTGGTCTTAATATAGAAGGTGGCTCATCTTTCCATCTTAGAGCAAACAAAGGTTCGCCAATGATACAATTATATAAAAAAATTTCAAAAATATATTATAATGATATCTACAAAATGACATTTGCATATACAGAAAACACGAAAAAGTCCAAACCTGCATTAACAGTATACTATTCCAAGCACTGCGTTCGAGTATTTAAAGGAAATGATATGGATTTGAATGAAATTATATTCCAAAACAGATTTTCTCATTTTCATCATTTTGAAAGAGAAGAATTTCTTGATGTAGTTAACAAAACAAACGGCATGGTTTTCTTAATTCCTAGCGACCATTTATCTTCAAATGAAATATATAAAATGGAACAATCCAGCAAATTAATGTGTGGAAAATTCGTAATGGGATGGTCTAGAAGAGATGTAACCCAACTTGGCCATGACTTTAGAGTTCATAACGATCAAAACTCAGAAGTTGCAATAGTTAACAGAGAAACAGACTGCTTGTTTATAGTAAACATGAACGCGGAAATGCATAACTTTAAATACTATGTTAAGGATGCATTAACAAATACAAATTGTTGGAGATATCCAGAAGATTCAACAAAAGTTGTTAAAATTCATTACAGAAAAACCGCAATCCTTCTTTCTATATTGACTTCTATAATTTTTGCTGTCTTTGCTTATTCTACAACCAGATCATCAGAATGAGCTTTCATTTGTTATTTTATAAAAGAATATTTTTGTCTATTTTAATTATATTACTCGAGCAGACATATGTTTAAGACTGAAATAGGTAATCTTTAAAATATTTCATATTAGTGCTGGTATTTTTATAATACCTCAATTCTTTATACTATAACATTGACATAAAATTATGTGATATACATATTATATATGTAGAAAGCCATGATCGCAAAATTGATCATAAATCTTATAAAATTTATCATATTTTTCACTTGCTAACATCCCAATTCATTCAATTTTGATATGCAAATTAACCACATCTCTGTTTTGTTGCTATTCTTCATCTCGTATCTTTCAATTTTTTGAATCAGTAATTAAGGATATGAAAAGGAGCTTACAAAGAAGGTATATAAATAAATTTTTAATTCTTTTAAAAATAACATCTGACAATTTCTTCTAAAATAAAACATATAAAAATAATTATATAAAAGTTATTGTTTTCTCTGAGTTCTTGCCGAGTTAGGAACTTGCAGAGGTGGAAGAGACAAAGTTCCGTAATTCTTTGGTGCCAAAGATCTCGTCATTACTTGGGAAGAAGAGTTTCCACGGGCAGATCTATGTGCAGTGACAATTGACTCATCATTTCTGTGATTTACCCAACAATGCTCTGGGTCTTGTCCTGCTTTCTCTTCGTTATCAAGGAACTTAAATCTGTTCTCGAGAACATTACGTTTTTTATCGTAATATTTTCTCATTTCTGCTCTTTTTCCTTCTAGAGATAGTTTGAGTGTCTCCATCTCTTGCATCTGCTTATCTTCGAGCTTTCTACGACCATTTAGGAAGTCTTGAAGCATTAATTGGCTGTTTGCTTGTGTTTCAATTTTTTCTTGTTGTTCTGCAAGTCTTGCAACTTGATCTGCTTCATCAAGTCTTCTCGCTCTTATGAGAAGATCAACTTGATGCTTCATAGCACGTAATTTGGATGAAAGACGGTTATATTGACGATATTTACTTTCATCTTTCCATTCTTCATCGTATTGGTCAAGGTTTTTCTGCTGCTCATCAGAAAGACGTTGAATCGATTCATCACACTTCAAAGAAAACTCTTTTTCTGCTAGATCTATCTCTTTCATTAACGTATTGTAATCTTCTTGCGCAACTCTTCTTTTTTCTTTGATATCTTCGAGGTATTGTTCTTTAGCTTCTTGTTTTTGTGCTGTAAGAACTGCAGATTTAGCATAATCTATTGATCTTTGAATTGCCAAGCTTTCTCTTAGTCTTCCTGAAGCCATCAACTCGTTTCTTTCATTCTCTAATTCTACAACTGCTGCAGCAATAACATGTGGATCTTTGGTGTTCATTTTACCGTTTTTTGCATCTTCGCAAGCAGCTTGAACTTCAGCATCGTCAACTTGCTTTGCTACGTTTCGTGGAGATCTACGAGCAGTGTTTCGTGGATTTCCTGGTGGAGGTTGTATAGGAGGAGGTCTTTGATTTTGATTATTATTTTCTGATGTATTTTGTGTTGTTTGTGTTTGATTATCCGCATTGTTGTTATTCTTTTCCTCATTGTTAGTATTTGAATCGACATTTTGTCCATTTTGATTTTCGTTTTGATCTGGATTTTCTTCAAAATATTGATCATTATCTTGCTTGTTGTCTCCATCTTGCTGATTAACATTTAAATCGTTCTCAAGTATCTCACCATCTTTATCCGGGTCTAAACTTTGTGCAATCGCGCCTTTAAAATCAACATTACCATTCTCTTGCGGTGGTTCTTGAGCAACTGATTCAGTAGTGAATAGATTATTCACTTCGTTCTTTAGATCAGTCATCATTTGTATATAAAAAATGAAAAAATCTTACTAACGCATTTTTTTCAATGTTTATATATTAAATATCAGCACATGATTTCTTGATATTTAATGAGTCGGGATTTTATGAAAATTGTGTGTTTACGTTAGTAAATTTGAAATGAGAAATCTAAAGACTTGACTTCGTGTCTTTCTTATATCATAGCTCAGACTAATCATTTCTGTTTCAATATGGTAGATTGGATTCATTTTTATACAAATCAATAAACAATTGAATTTGAAATCTCTTAGTGAAATATACTAAATTTGATTCTAGATCTGCAAAAATATAATATTCTCATATAAACAAACAAAAAGAAACATATATTTTTATTATTTCAGTTTCATAAACTTTGGTTTGAAGGCGCTATGGGCTGTATTCCAAGAAATTGGCATAGTTATATCATTATAACTATCCTTTGGAAGCTTCTTGACCTTCTCTGATATTGTAAGAGCTAATTGTAAAATACATCTCACGTCAGCATTCTGAAGAAAGCCATCTGTGATGCCCATGACTTCCCATAGTGCTCCATCAGTCTTAATAAGCATCTTCGGGAAGATAAGTAAAAGAACTGCTGTTAAAATGTATCTTGCGAAAAGATAAGGACAAGAACAAGTAAAAATTGTATCCCATACTCTGTATACATCAGGAAGTTTGAAATCTCGTTTGAAAAGTAAGATATAAGGGGAAAACAAGAAAATCATGTCATTAATTTCTTTTGATTCTCCAATAATGTTTCTTAGAGGCGGATGTAAGATTTTCGCAAGTGTAGCAGCCTTTTCTATAACAAAATTCTTCGTGTGTTCGAGGTCTCCGAAAACTCTATCTTGTTGAGTGATGTTCATAACAGATGCGAAGCTCCAGAATATGAAACTCTCGGCTTCTTCCATGGTTCTCTCTGATTCATCGAAAAATATTGCGGTTTTGTTATCGTTTTTCCATGATTTGATAAATAATAAAATTAATGGAGTTACAATATCAGCCATTCCTTGTACATAGCCGCAATTTCTATTATACATTGAGTATACACGCAAAACAACTCTTAACAAAGCAAGATTTGGTGAATCATCTTCTTTAAATTGAGGTAAGTTTCTATCGTTACGTCGTACATCGTTTTCGCTAACTTGAATGATATCCATAAGTGGTCTAGAGTTATCGATTTGCTCTTGGGTCAATAGATTCCATTGTTTCTTGTAAATTAAATATTCATCAAGTTTTTGCTTCAAAGATTGCTCTTTTTCTTTTTCATTTTGGTAAAGACCTAAAATAATAGGCCAAACATATGGTCGAGCTTCTTCTGCAAGACCTCGATTTGCTATCTCGCTAAATGCTGTATTAATCTCTAATTCTTTCATGTATTCATCAAATTCTTTACGAGTTACTTGAGGTGGTGGAAAGATTGAAGGATTGTAATTCAATGATTTTAATATTTTGTTATGTTGAGCAATTAAAACTAAATTCTTTGGATCCAGCTGTGAATTTGGAACATATCCAAAAACATCTATATCTGTATTGTTTGTCTTACCTTGAACTTGGTATTTTAGACGAGAGACGCCAGATTTCTGAGGAGAGCTGAGTATCTTTTTATAGACTAAAAATTCAAACATATGAACTACAATTGCATCATATTTCTTATCGAAAGTAAACCAAGGAAGACGAGATGAATCGGTCAGTTCGATTAATAACTGAATTGTCTTTATTCCGCTTCTTTTACGCGTTAAAACTGTTAAATGCTTGAATGATATTAATAAATTTGATGGGACATTTTTATCTTCTAACATTTTCTTATCAAGATTTTGATTTGGAATCCAATGAAAGCTATAAACACGATTTTCATCAAATTCTAGTGAAAATTCTCCGTGAATATGCTCTCCAGAAGCAATATCGAAGGAAGTCTGGGGAAATAAAAATATTTTCATAAAAATTTTTGATTTTTTTTTGAAATCAATTGTAAATGGAATGAGTTTTATACACATATTAAAACAACATATTCATAAATCCATTATATGACATGTGATATGAAATCTTTGATTTTTTTTATTAGATTTTCAAAATTTTTTTTATAAATGTCTAATCTCTCATCCACTGACCTTATTTCCTTTATGAAACCGACAATTAAGTCTGTTTTAGGAATAAGTTCCGTGGATGACGAGGAATTAAACTGTTTTTCTGATGTAGTTCAAGAGTTTATTGAAGATCCGAATAAATTATTCCTTATTATTCGGAAAACAAACAAAATTGTAATCCAAAACACACTTGAATATACAGATGGACCAATACTTGTCTATCAAAAGTACCCTATTACACTCACAAAAGAAAATTTTGAGGGCGTAATTAGCGTAATTTCACTTCCAACTCAGAAAGCAGTACAATTCCTTCAACTTCTTATCTCACAATTTTTCGTTCCGTATATGAAAAATACTATTCCTGCAACAGATAAAAATGCTCAATCAGTTCTTGAAACAATTTCAACATTTGATATAGCAATTTCTCGTTACCAACAACAAAATAACCTTCCTGAACCCATTTTTGATATCAATTCTCCTTTAATTCAATCAGCATCTTCAGGAAAATTAACAAAAGCACAGGAAATTGAACTATTATCGATAATAGACAGATGGGAGAATTCGATAAAGTCCATCATTAGCTACGCAAAATCACCTCCTACGTATGAAAGATTACATGATGAGTTTTCTTTCTGGACATTGCTTGGACAAAGACTCAAACAAGGTGTTGAACAAGCAACATATATTTCGAAATCAAACATCTCTACTCTCATTTCTAACCAGCAAAAATTATTTAATCAATTTTTCAGAGAAGCACAAGACGAATTGTTTAAATACAATCAGATTTTCGGACCTTACTCTGAAGGCATCAGTTCCTTCGATAAAATTATTACGGATATCGATGAATGCAACACAATAGAAGAATTAAAACTACATATTCCAAAGTTGTACTCGTTACTTAGCTTCTTCTTCCAAAAGAGTAACTATCCGCAACGCTCTCCGATCATTTACAAGCTGATAAAATCATATTTATTTGATAAACTCATCATGATCATATCAGTAATGGCTTTACAGCATCTCCCGTTAGAAGCATTCAAAGCATCAATGAATATCATTAACGATTTGTGCAAGAAATGGATTTCCGATGAAAAAGAATTAATTATTTTCTTAAATGAGAAGAGAACCCAATGTGATTTCATTAGCAATGATACTGTTGACAAGTCTATATTGTTCAAACGCTTCAATGAACTCGAAAATGCAAAGATAGAGTATCATTTATTGTCAAATCACTTCTTAGAGTACTCAAAACTGCCATTTGACTCTGTAAAAAGTGCCCTCGACCAAGCATTTGAATTGATCGTTAACGCTCCGTTCTTAGATTTCACTCAAAGCGCGAATAAGAAATGGGATGTGTCAATTCAAGAGTACAAGTCACATTTAGAGCGAATTGACAGCGACTTAGTACTTATTATTACTAAGTTACTGCAAGAAAACACGTCATTGGTCGATACTCAGCAAATTTTTGTAAATCATAAGAATATTTGCCGAAGACCAGCTGTTCTTCCATCATTAAAAGAATTACAGCATAGATTTGAGCAGCAGATTGAAGACCAATTGGTAAAATTCGAAAAACAACAACTTGAACAAATTGATAATCTTCCAATTTTAGAAATAGTCATGAACCATGGTACATCTGATGTCTTTGCTAAGTATTTGCACGTCCAGAATATATCACAGCGCTTAAATACCATTGATAAAATGATATCTGATGTAATAAGTGAAAAATGGCAAGAAAACTATCCATCTTTGCGTGAAAAGTACAATTCATGCAGGGACAAGGTCAAGAAACAACTTGGCTTCCAAAAAATTTCAGATTTAGTTCAAGATATCAAGAAAGACCGAGATATGGCCATTTTTGAAGTAACATCTAACGGTTTGGTCTGTACAATCGATGAAGAAACCGCCCATTTGATTTCAATCTTCAGATCTCTCCAAGAAAAGAATATTACTCCAGATACAGACTTAATTCATGATGCTCCTCAAGTCTACAAGATCTACAAGAATGCCATAAGGATTCAAGAAGGTCTGAACATGTTTAATTCCGCAATTAAAGACATGGATAAAAATTTATTATTAATTTGCGCTTCAGACATCAACAACATCTACAGTTTGATCAGAGATGGCTATAACTATAAGTGGACAGACCTAATTACCAAAGATTTCTCAAAAGATTTTAATCATAACTGTTATAACTTTTCTGTCTTCTACAAACGTGCCAAAGAATGTGTCACAACCATAGAAAACACATTACAAGATCTTGAAGACGGTTCGTGCCTTGATACTACGATTACAGAGAAAATCAAGTTAATCCAGCAAAAAGTTTACGAAATTGATCGTAAATTCAACCACCAGTACATCAAAGACATCAATGAGCGTCTTCTCGGTATCATTGCCAGCAAAGTTGACGACATTGTCGGAATTTGGGTTGAATCTCTCAAAAACGGCAAACTTTTAGAAGGCACGGATCCAATAAAAATCACTGTAACACTGAAAGGCAGCCATATCTCCATAAATCCAAGTCCGAACAATCTCAGATCTTATGTCACGAAAGTTTTCACCGAACACATTAACAACTATTTGTTACAGCAGACAATAACACTTGGTGACGAAGATCCGATCTATTTCAGGGACATCGATGACAGTTTTCCTGTTCCTTACGACAAAATCGAAGAATTATATAAATTGTTCGGAGAATCATGCGAAATGGCAAAATTTTATTTGTCAGATTGGCAGAATATCGAAAGTATTTTCTTGGCAAGACCAGGAACAATTGAATTTTCTAATGATATTTTTGAATGGATGTCATTAATAAATTCTTTCTCGAATATCAAAAAGAAAATCGAAATTTCTTCTGGAGAAGAAGAGATTTCTTGTTTTGTTATTGATACAAATAGAATGAAATCAATAACAATATCGAAACTCAATGAATGGATCAAGTACTCATCGGCGAAACTCTATTTGCTCGCAGGAGAAAAGATCTATTTGATAAACAACGAAATGTCAGATTTGAGAGTTATGATTTCTCAAAAAATTCCAACGACAGCAAGAGGTCTTTCCAATTTCTTGAAGTCGTTTAAAGAGGCAAGCGATAAACAAATAAACTGGGAATCGTATTTGCCGACATTCGAGGAAGCAACAAAATTCACAAAACTCGAACATTTCAAGAAATTAAAAGAAAATGTAAATGAATTTAAATTGCTGCTTGAAAATAGAAGACAGGAAATAGAGAATAACAAACTCAATTTCAGAAAATCTGTGCAACTTGAGAACGAATCTATAATTTCTAGGATAGATAATCTCAAGGACAGATGGAATAACGAAAAACCTTTGAATGGAGATATTTTGCCAGACAAAGCTCTTCAAATTCTTGAAAATTACATGTCAGTTTTTGACAGAATGAAAAGTGACTGGCAAGAAATTTCTTCTGCTATGGAACTTCTTGGATTAGAAACAACAGAATCAACAACACTCCAAATGATGATTGAAGAACGCCAGAACATGGTAGACGGGTGGATTTTGTTGAAGAAAATCAATGAAAAACTCGAAACAGTTTTACAACAAAAGTTCCAAGAAATATCTATACAAACACTCAAACAACAAGTCAACCAGATAATAGAAGAACTCAATCAGATGTCGAATATCATCAGACAATACGAAGGATGGATTTATTTCAACAAGAAATGCAAGAATTTACTGAAAATTTTCCCTGTTATCGAAGGTCTAAAAAGCGAAGCAATACAACAGAGACATTGGAAACATATATCAACACAATTCTCTTTCGATATCAACTTCGATACATTTACTGTTAAAGATTTAATCAATTTCGATTTGCTGAATAATGAAAGTTTCTTCAGCGATGTTTTGAGAAATGCACAAGGAGAATACTCACTCAATAAGTACTTGGATCAATTGTCTGATACATGGAATACAATGGAATTCGAGTTCTCTTCTTACAAAGATAAGATTTCTTTGATAAAATCAGGAAACATTATTCTATCATTGGTTTCCGATCATTTGAACTTTTTGAGTGCAATGCAAACTTCACCATTCTTCCATGTTTTCAGGGAAAAAGCCACTGAATGGGAGAATTCATTGAACAGACTACAAGTTGTTTTGGATGATTGGCTGAATGTACAAAGAAGATTCATTTATTTGGAAGGAGTTTTCTCTTCATTGGATATCAGACAAATCTTAGTTAAACAGACGAATAACTTCAGGAAACAAGAAAAGGAATTCATGACAATCTCTAAAAGATTGACACAATTAAAGATTGTAATGAAAATTACTTTGATTCCTAATATCGGACAAATTTTGAATTCTTTGAATGAAAATTTGATTTTGCTACAAAAAGAATTGTCTGAATATCTCGAGAAACAAAGATCTTTGTTCCCAAGATTCTTCTTCATTGGCGATGAAGATCTTTTGGAGATTATTGGTAAATCTTCTTCAATTTCCGAAATCCAGAAACATTTCGGAAAAATGTTCGAAGGTTTGTCGAAAGTTGAACAAAATGAAGAGAACATGATAACAAAATTTGGTTGTTCAGAAGGAGAAATCATAAGTGTGTCTAATCCTCTTTCTATTTCTAAAACTGTTCATCAAACTTTGTCAAGTTTAGAAAAAGAAATGAAAGTTTCTTTGAACAAAATTTTGAATTCCGCAATTATCGAATTCGAACAATTTTGGCAAAATATGACATTGGAAAATCTCAAGAGTATTTTGTCCAAATATCCATCACAGATTGTTCTTTTGTGTTTCTTCGTGACAACAACAAATCAAATCGAACTTGGAATCACCAAGAAATTGTTGTCAAATTCGACAAATGAAATTGTCAAATTTATTTCACTTTTAAGTCAAATTGTTTTCAGCGATTTGAGCTTGATAATGAGACATTCTGTTCAACAACTCATTACAGAAAGTGTTCACCAAAGAAACATAACAAAAGATCTCCAAAACGTTGATCAAATTTCCAATTTCGAGTGGACGAAACATCTCAGATATTATTTGAACAAATCAACAGGCGAATTAACTGTTTCTGTTGGAGATGCAGTGTTCAATTACGGATACGAATATCTTGGATTGTGCCAATCATTAGTCAGAACTCCTTTAACAGACAAAGTCTATTTGACAATGGCTCAAGCTTTGTTTGCAAAATTGGGAGGTTCCCCATTCGGTCCTGCGGGAACAGGAAAGACAGAAACAGTTAAAAACATGGGCCATCACTTAGGAAGATTAGTTTTGGTGTTTAACTGCGATGAAACATTCGATTTCAAAGCGATGGGAAGAATTTTCGTTGGTTTGTGTCATTGTGGATCATGGGGATGCTTCGATGAATTCAACAGATTGGATGAACAGATGTTATCCGCCGTCAGCCAACAGATACAAACAATTCAGAACGGTTTGAAGATGAATACGAACCAGATTTCAATTTTAGGAAGAAAAGTTCCTTTGAACAAAGACATTGGAATTTTCATTACAATGAATCCAGGATACGCAGGTCGTGTTGAATTGCCTGATAACTTGAAACAGTTGTTCAGATCGATAGCGATGAATAAGCCTGATACAGATTTGATCACTGAAGTTCTTTTGTTCTCACAAGGTTTCGAAACTGCCGAAAAACTTGCTCCGAAATTTGTTCTTTTATTCGGAATGGCGAAAGAAAGTTTGTCAAATCAAACTCATTACGATTTCGGATTGAGAGCGATGAAATCTGTTTTGGCAAATGCTGGACAATTGATCAGACAAAGCCAGAACAACAAGAACGAAGAGAAGATCTTGATTTCATCAATCGTAAACGCTTTATTCCCGAAGTTGTTGAGCAACGATTTGATCAAATTAAAGAGATTGATGGATGACATTTTCCCTGGAATTACTCCAAGCGAAATAACTCAAGAAGATTTGTTGAATCACATCAAAGAAGAAGCAAATAACTGTGGATGGACAGATAGCGAAATCTGGGTACAAAAGATTATCCAGCTCTATTACATCCAACAGATAAACCATGGCTTCATGTTAGTCGGTGCTTCTTCAAGCGGAAAAACTTCTTCTTGGAAAATTTTGTTGAAAGTTTTGACAAAAATTGACAAAATTGAGAGTGAATTTTATGTCATCAATCCGAAGTCAGTAACAAAAGACACATTATTCGGATGTTTAGATCCTGTATCTAGAGAATGGACTGATGGTGTTTTCACGAGAATTCTCAGACAAATCGTTGCAAATCAAAAGAACGAAATGTCAAAACGTCATTGGATTGTTTTCGATGGAGACGTCGATCCTGAATGGGTAGAAAACTTGAATTCCGTTTTGGATGATAACAAACTATTGACACTTCCTAATGGTGAAAGAATCGCTCTTCCAAGCAATGTAAGAATCGTTTTCGAAGTAGAAAATCTCAATTTCGCAACTCCTGCAACTGTTTCTCGTTGTGGAATTGTTTATTTCTCAGAAAATACATTGCAGCCAAACGAGATTATCAATTACTATTTGCACAAGTTGTCAACGGAATCAATCATCACTCAGAACCATCTTTTGTTCAATGAATACATTGATTTCTCTATCCCTGACATGATCCAAAAACAAAATTCGTTTTTGGAGTTTGTCAAACCGTTAATTACAAAACTTGTTCCGATTTTAATTGATTTTATGAATAAATCAAAAGAAAACGCAGTGATGAATATCCCAATTGCATCATATATCTCAACAATGTTCAGTTTGATCTCGAGTTCATTTATTTCCGCTTTCAACATGGAAGAACCACAAATTTTCATCGAAAAATCCACAATTTTCGCAGGATTTTGGGCATTTTCTTCTCCGATTTCATACAAACAAAGAGAGAATCTTTCTTTATTAATAAAGAAAGAGTTCCCGAAGCTTTGTCCTGATGGTTCTTTGTTGAATTACGTCATTTCAAGTGATGTTGAAGATTGGATCAATGTTGACATTCCTCAGAACAACCAAAACGAAGATTCGAAGTTTATTCCGATCTCCGAAACAGTTATCACGAAGAAACTCATCCAGATGATGATAACTGGCGGACAAACACCAATTTTGTGCGGAATGAACGGTGTTGGAAAAGGTTCTTTGGTCAAACAGAGTCTCTCAAAATATTCTGAGATTAATTTGATCAATTTAGACTTTTCCAGCTGTTCTACGATTGATTTCGTCTTGCAGACATTGGAGCAATTCACTGTCTACAAGAAGACATCGAATGGAATGAAATTGATTCCGAAACAAAACAACAATTACTTGGTTTTCGTGATTAACAACTTAAACCTTCCAAATCTTGATAAATACGGAACACAAAGAGTCATCGAATTCCTCAGACAATTCTTGGATATGAAAGGATTTTGGCATCCAAATAAAAGAGAATGGATTTCTTTGGAATTAATCGATTTCGTTTGTTTGTGTTCTCCGCCAACTTGCTACGGACGTGTCAAATTAAATTCAAGATTCCTTAGATTGTGTTCTGTTGTTAATATCGAACATCCTTCTTCCGAATCAATCAACAAAATTACCAAACAATTATTGGAGAAAAGTGACGAAAATTTGGTCAATTCTATCGTCGAATTTTACTTCACTTTTCGTGATCAATTCAAAGGAAATGAAAACGTCCATTACCAAGCAAACATGAGAGATTTGATTGAATGGATAAACTCATTCAAGATCGCCATGAATGATGATCAAACTAATGATAATTGTCACGTTTTATTCTATGAAGGACAAAGAATTTTCTGCGACAGGATCAAAGAGAAAGAAAACAAGAAATTCGCAATTGACAAACTCCAAGAAATCATCATTAAAAACAATGAAAATTGCGATCTCAATAAGTTCCAAGAAACATCAATTTACACAAGAATATTGAACGGAAAATATTCTATTTCTGATATCCAAACTTTGCAAACTAAACTCGAACAAAAACTCAAAGATTTCAATGAAGAAAACTCCAATGAAAAAATTGTTTTCTTCGATGAAATTATCGAATTCATTTGCAAAGTCGAAAGACGTCTTTCTGAAAATTCAGGACATCTTTTGTTAGTCGGATTAAGTGGAACAGGAAAGACTTTGATTCCTAATTTCGTTTCTTTCATTTTGAATTATGATTTTGTCAGATTACATGTTTACAAAGGTTACGGTTTGTCAGATTTTGACAATGACTTGAGAAAGATTTTGAAGTCATGTATACAAAAACCTGTTGTTTTCCACGTGAAAGAAAACGATTTAATTTTATCCCAAATGACAGAAAAATTGAACGTTTTGATGCAGGAATCAAATATCCCCGGTTTGTTCGTTGGTGATGAGTTCACTTCACTTTTGACAGCCATCAAAGATCAAGCAAGAATTGATGGAATTAACAATCTCGAGAGTGATGAGAGTTTGTTAAATTATTTCCATGAAAAAGTGAAAGAAAATTTGAAGATTATTTTCACTTTGAATTCAGCAACAGCAAATTTGAATGAAACAGAAAAATTATTCCCATCTCTTTTCTTGTTTACGAACATCATTTATATTGATACATTGAGTGATGAATCATTGAAGTCATACGCGAAACAGATCCTCAAAGAAGAAGAAATCGATGAAAAAATCGATCAAATTATGGTTGAATTCCATAAAACGGCAGAAAATGTTTCAAATTCTCTCCAAATTTCCAATTTCGTTTCTCCGAGATATTTCTTTGATTTTGTTTCTCATTTCTGCCAAATTTTGAAGTCAAAGAAATCTAAATTACAGACACAACAACTGCATCTATATAATGGCTTATCCAAACTAGAAACAACACAAAATGAAGTTGAAAGAATGGGCAAAGATTTGGCTGTCAAACAAAAGCAATTAAAAGAAAAAGAACAATTGGCCGAACAAAAATTGACTGAAATTGTAAAAGACAAACAAATTACGACACAAAAGAAAGATGAAGCGCAAAAGGTAAAGGCAGAAATAGAGAACAAGAGGAACATAATGAAAGTCGAACAACAGAAAGCACAAAAGGAATTAGACGAAGTACAACCAATAATTGAAGATGCGAAATCCTCTGTTTCAAACATTTCCAAACAAAAACTCGATGAAATAAGACGTTTGGCATCTCCTCCTGAAGTTATCAAGAATATATTGACAGCAGTATTGATGTTACTTGGAATGAACGCTTCTAATTGGACACTCATCAAGAAGGAAATCTCAGGAGATTCATTCATCAGAACAATTTTAGATTTTCAATTAGAAAAAGTGACACCATCAATTGGCAAAAAGATTGAACATTTTTTGACTGTCAATGGCTTGGATTACGACAAAGCAATGCGTGCATCACAAGCCTGCGGACCATTGTTCAAATGGCTGAGTGCAAATATCAGATATGTTTCGATTTTGGAGTCGACAGAACCATTGAGACAAAAAGTCGAATCTTTGGATAAAGAAGCCCAAATTTTGGAACAAAAATACAAAGAATTGGAAACTACTACCAATAGATTGGAAACAAGATTGAATAATCTAACTAATGAATATAAGAATTTAGTTAGCGAATGCGAGAAAACAAGAATAGAAGCTGAACAAATAAAAGTCAAAATGCAAAGAGCAACGAATTTAATTTCTTCTTTGACAAATGAAATGAAAAGATGGAATGAATCGAGAGTTTCCTTCACAAGAGAGTTCGAATGCCTTGTTGGACACTCTCTATTGTCTTCCGCTTTCATTACTTATTGTGGCTACTTGGAACAAAGCAGAAGAAATGATTTGATTTTGTCTTGGAAATCAATTTTGACAAATAATGTTATTAAATGTCAAAATGACTTTAATTTCATGAATTTCGCTACAGATCCATCGCAATTAATCGATTGGGCATCTAAGGGATTACCAAAGGATGACCTCTGCATACAGAACGCAATCATTCTTGATAATCTCAAGAGGATTCCATTCATTATTGATCCAACAGGAGAAGCTGTCAAATTTTTGGAGAAAATTTATCCAAATTTGGTCAAATCTTCTTTCATTGACAGTAAATTCCCCAAGAACTTAGAAAGCTGCTTAAGATTCGGATCTCCTCTGTTAATAGAAGAAGGAGAACAATTGGATCCTTTAGTTTATCCTGTTCTTTCCAAAGAATTCAAGAAATTAAGTGGAAGAACAATTTTGGATCTGAAACACAATGATATCGACGTTTCTCCTTCATTCTCAATGTTCATTGTAACAAAGGACACTGATTTCAGACCAAATCCTTCCCTTTGTTCGATGACGGTTTTAGTCAATTTCTCGGTCACTTCACTTTCATTAAGAGCACAGTGTTTGACACGATTATTGTCATTCAAGCTTCCTGACATCGAGAAACAGAGACAGGAGCTTCATACAAGTCTCTCAAAGATGCAAATCGCTTTACACGGTTTGGAAGAAAAAATGTTGTCAGTTTTCAGTTCAACGAGTGGCGAAATTTTGGAGAATGACGAATTGTTGCATCTTTTAGAGCACATCAAAGAAGAAGCCAAGGAAATGGAGAAGAAGGCTGAAGAGACTAAAACAGCACTTCAAAAGATCAACGATGTTTCTCAACAATTCCAATCTGTTGCAGAAGTTTCGACATCACTATTCTTCGCTTTGAACAACATGTCTTCTGTCCACTTTTTGTATCAATTTTCATTGAATTTCTTCTGGTCTGTTTTTGACAAATCCTCGTCTGCTGATGCAAAACCAGAAGAACTAATCGAAATGATCACAAAAGATTTGTTTGTCGCTGCAAGTTACTCATTATTGTCCAAGCATTTGCCAATTTTAGCTTTCAGATTTGGCCAAATTTTGATTGAACACAAAAATATTTCTGTCGATGAATCCCTCTATGATTTGGCCCTCAGAGGAACAACACTTAGAGGAAACAGTGATTTCTTGAAACTTACAGATACGCAAGAGTTCAAAGATTGGCTCCAAAACGATTCTCCTGAAATAAATGTTCCTAAAGAAATTTTGGAAAAAATCACAAAAAGTGACAACAAAATCACTTCATCTTTGAAGATTCTTGCCATCATGAGAAAGTGCAGACCGGATAGAATCATTTCCAGTACTAAATGTTTCATTAGAAGCTGCTTTGGCTATGATATTTTGGACATTCCTTCTCTTGACATCGTTAAAACTGCTTCGACACTTGATCCACACATTCCAATGCTTCTCTGTGCTTCAGCCGGCCACGATCCAAGTGAAAGAGTTGAAGAGTGTTCAAGCAAACAGATAGAGAGTGTCGCAGTTGGTTCACAAGATTCGCAAGAGAACATAGAATCAGTTGTTCGACAAGCAGGACAAAGAGGTCAATGGATTATCATCAAAAACGTACATTTGGCACCAATTTGGACAAGAGATTTCGTCAAATCATTGAACACAATGAAACTTCATCCTGAGTTCAGACTGTTTTTGACAAGTGAAATCAATCCAAAGGTTGGTTCAAATGTGTTCAGATCATCAAGAGTCATCGTGTTCGAAAGCGCAACAGGAATCAGAGCAAACTTAAAGAAAGTTTACTCATCAGGATTGACGATTCCAAATGTAACAAGTGAAAAGAGAAAAGTCATTTCCAGCTTCATCTGGCTTCACTCCGTCATCATGGAACGTCTCAGATATCTTCCTCTTGGTTGGTCTAAGAAATACGAGTTCAACGAAAGTGATTTGAAGTTTGCTCTTCAAATTGCAGTCAGATGGATGGAGAATGCCAGTGCAGGAAGAAGCCATTTATCTGATGAAACAATTCCTTGGACAGCATTGAGATCATTGATTTCTTCTTGTGTTTACGGAGGAAGAGTTGATCAAACATGCGATTCAAGAGTTTTGTCAGCAATGGCAAATGAAATACTTAAACCAAACTCAAAAGTTGCAGATGGATTGTTAGAAATACCTGATTTCTCAACGATGAATGAGTTTAAGTCTTGGGTTGATTCATTGAATGACAACAATGAAACTCCTGAAATGCTGTGGCTTCCTAAGAATTCCGCAAAATTCTTGTTTATCCAACAAGGAAATGAAATTCTTAAACAGATTTTGGGAGTTTCTGCCGGAGAATTCAACTCAAATCACGTTGAAGAAAAGAAATTATCCTTTGTTAAACTACTTTTGAAGAAATGGATTGATGATTTCAGTCAAATCAAAGTTGACGAAAAAACAACAAAAAGTAACAGTTTGATATCAAATGTCATCAACGAAGAAAGGAAACAAATATTAAACACAATGAAACTGATCATTGAAGAGTCCAATTTGATCATCAAAAGATTGGAAGAAAACGATCAATTGACTCAAAATGATAATTTAATAATATCAGACCTTGCAAAAGGAAAAATCCCGAAGCAATGGAACAAACACAACTACGAAGGAAGGGATCTTGAAGAGTGGAAGGAAGATTTCATCAATAGAATCATACATCTCACATTCAATGATAATAAGTCCCTTAAACTAGGTTACTTCTCACATCCAGAAGCTGTTTTGGCAGCTGCAAGACAAACTGCTGCTTCTAAAAATTCTTGGCCGATAGAAAAAGTGACAATGACCATTGAAGTAAACAATAGTGAAAAGAAGAACGAATACGACTTGGTTGTTGAAGATATAACGACAATGAATGCAGAATGGGACAAAGAAAAGAAATGTTTTGTTTCAACAGAAAATGTAATGGGAAGTCTCCCAATTTCGAAGATTTCTTTCTCAAATTCTTCGCAAGTTGAAGGAGTTGTCGTTTCTTGCTTCATGACAACATCGAGGAAGGGCTCTGTATTCGAAGTAACAATGCCAGTGGATCAAGAAAAAGATCTAAATTGGTGGACAATCAGAGCTCCTGCATTAGTTTTGCAAAAGAACGCTATTTAGACTTTTTATATTTTATTTTTTTGTAATTTTCTATTTTATAAAAATATTATTTTTGATAAGTTTAATTTTAATCATATTCACAGCGAGATTATACAATTACAATGTGTTATAAAATTCATCGAAAATAATTCTCAACATTGATTTAAAACTATCAGAATAGATAAAAATACTAAGAGAAATACTACTGTTGATTAAGGAATTAGATGATCAAATGCAGAAGATTATATATGATCTCAAAACAAGAAGATACCAAGTCAAAAAATGGTGATAATGAAACGGAAGAAATATCATCTAAACGAATATAAACAGAAAAACTAACTCCTGAGGGAATTCTGGTTAAAGTTTTGAAGGATTGATTAGGAATTTTTAGAAATGGAGTTGTGACGATGCTTATAGTAAGTGAAATAAACATTGTGCTTCTTAGATACTGTAATCTCTGTAGAGAGTATCATCTAAGATCAAAGATATTTTTCGCTATTCAATTTTTCCCGCAAATAAAGTTTTAAATTGAATTGAAAATAATCGTCACCCTGAGATGAGTGCTCTAAGCCTTTTCTTAGAGTCCATCTCTAAGCAATGCTCTTCTCTCGATTTATCGGGCGAATTGCTTAATAAAATTGAATATTACGTATTGTTTTCATCGAAATCTGATCTTCAACCTCAAATTGGTTATTTGATTTCAACACTGCTCAGTTATTTTCACAAAAAGACTGAAGAAATATCTTTTGACACGAAAGATGTCATTGGAGTCTTCAGAATCTTTCGATTTTTTCGATCTCAATGTTTAGATGCTGATCAAATCAAACAATTGGAAGACTTTGCAATCAAAATACTCCATGGAGATAACAATGATCTCAAAATCCAAGCATTCTTGCTTATGATAGAGAACATTGCACAACTAAAAAGAACAGATTTTTCAACTTATCTCAAATTTGTTGATTGGGTACTTGACTACATCAAAAAATACAATCCAGAAGATTCGCCATTGATGATACCCATCCTAACAAACATTGTTTTTGTAATTTCTTACTTCAATGAAATTAAAATTCCAATTAACGAGATTATTTTCGAATTGATACAAAAAGCTAAATTCATCCTCGCTCAAAATGACGATTCCGACAATTTTAAGACGAACGAACATATAATTCGAAAAATTTTTGGTTCGTTATCTCGAATTTTCCATAATACTCACTCAATTCCCGAAAAAGCCATCGAAGAAATATTAAATTTGAAAGAAATGATCCCAGACAGCATACAATTCTCATTAGTTTTTCAATCTTATATTCCTTTATTTTCATTAGTGCTAGAGCAATGCGCAAAGAAGAATTATCCACTACCCAATACAATTACATCATTTTTACAGTCAGAATATGTCATGAATCTTCCTTTCTTTACATTTTTGCCTCATGCCAAAAATAAAAGGATCCAACAAGCAACAAATCGCATTACAGAATACACAATGAGATTATCTAACAACTACAGTGAATTTTTACCATTGATTTGGCCACTTTTGTACTCGGTTTCGAACCATTCAAATACATCTCAATATCTTTTCGCTGATATACAGAAAATCATCAAAGAAAACATCGACAAACAAGTACCAAATTTCATTCCGAACATCCTACGACAGATTATTGGCTGTTTAAGCATATTAAAACAAGATATTTTATTAGTTGACAGGGAATCTAAGTCGAAGAGCTTCGAATACGATTCCTGGATGATTACAACACATTTCTGTATCAAATTATTTCCTTATATCATTGCTTCTGGGGATATTTCGAAATATGAGATCGAATTTCTTGAAGCATACAACGAATTAACGCGATTTGCAGCATTTATACTCGATCTATATACAGCACAGAGTTCTCAGAACGCTCCAGACATCGAATATTCACCAGAATTTCTTCATCAACTCAACAGAAGCGATTTTGCCAAAAGAATGGTCCATATTATTCAAGAATACATAAAAATAATCGCACCTTTACCGAGTAATTTTAAGGTTTCCATATTAAATCAGAATTTAATTTTATTATTACCGACAAAGTCATATCATTCCTTCCACAAAATAGTACATCAGCACATAATCAAGATAATCAACGACCCTACGATGTACCACGTAAGTTTTTTCCGTCTCGTCAGCCACAATTTCGAAAAACTTTTTTTGCCAACGCCTTTACCACACTTATTAGACCTCACGAGGTCGATATTCCAAGACGCCTTTGGATCTGACGCAAAGGCATCCATATTCGCAAACGCTCCTCCTTCAATGGTCGAAGATATCGCATCATTCATATGGAAAATCTTAGCATCGAAGCACGCCGTACTCATAGAACTACTGCTTACTGTATTCGTATTATTCTTCCCCATAGGAAAGGCCGCTCGCGTCCCTGTTTTTCTGAATCAATTGAAAGAATCTCCAAATTTAATGATTCTTTTGCTTAATAACCTCAGCGAGGACACAGATTTAAAAGTGTTTACAGGTCTCCTTGCTCTTTTCTTCTATCCGAGCTGTTACCCGAACTATGAGCAAGCCGATCAGTGGACAAACTTATTTCTCCCGGCCTTGGAGAGCGACATCCACCTCTACGGGGCAGTCCATGTATTGTACAGTGATACTTCGAAGATTTTCCCAATGTGGGTGAAGAAATTAAACAAACCAACACAGTTAAGGCTTGTTACTGCTTTAACAGCTTCCCTGGCCAAGCTGAAACAGAATGAAAGATGTTACCCGTTGGCTTTGCTCAGCAGAATCCCTGAATTGACAACAGAACTCTCAATGACTTTACACGATACCAAAAAAAGAAAAATTAAAATTGAATTGGACGGTTTTACATTTTACGCGGAAAATATTTTGGATATCGTCAAAAAAATTGATACAGACAACATAAATTTGTCACAAAGGATATTTAAAGAAATCCTCAAAAAAGTTGAGTTCGTGGAATTGATGACCAACCAGACCTTCTCAAATTTCTGTCAGATATTGGTCAAAAACAAATCTTTGGTTTTAGACGATTATTCTGACAATAATTTAGTTTACAAAACCGTTTTCTTAAGAGGATATTATTTACAAGATTTTGAAATCGAAAAAATACCAAACTTGGAAGAATTTCTTGGAATAATTTTGATGCTTTGTATCAACAGAAATTACTCAGATACAATCATCAAATTCATAGAAATATGTTTGCCAAGAATTCCTGTTTCTGAACTTTACGTAACCATCGCAACCGCTTTATTACACATGTCAAATTTTTCATACAAAAAAGTTTTGACAATTTTCCGTCAAATTTACTTTAATTTGCCATACGACAAAAACGAAGAAATAAGCATTGGAAAGAAGATCTGTAATAAATTCCAATCATCATTGACATCTCCAAACAAATACTACAGAAGACTAGTTATTAAAGTTTTGTCGTTTTATGATGAGAAAAAAATCCATAATTTTCCATGTCCAAGTAATTATGGCGATGTTTTTAAGACAATTTCTTCTGGCATCAATAATCATCCTTACAGATTCCAGTTCATTGTCAAGAACATCCAGAATTTGCAAAATCCTTCTTTGGCAATAGATTTCATGCTCCAATCATTCGAAAGATTGAATTTACACACAATTCCGGAAGAAGTTTTTCCTGTTTTAGAATCAAACTATTTTTTTGGAATAGAATCAGGTAAATTCAATATTTCGGTTTTGTCACGTTTATTGTCAATTGTTCCAAAAGACAACAAAATGGTCACTCAACTTTTGTCTTTTTTGAACACATTGAAACAACAGAAATTTGTGAAATTCATTCCTTATTTCCTCAAAAAATGCGAAAAACGTGATTTGTTACAAATGTTTCCAAGAAATTTGGAAAGTTATGTAAAAGTGACAAACGGTTTGCCAGAAATTCCTGCACATTATTCTGATGCGTTATTAATAGAGTTTGCATCGAGATTAGAAGGATTTTCAAATACAAATGAAGTCTACAATTGGTGCAATTTGTGTTTGAAATCAATGATGTCGGAAAACAGATTCATTTCTCAAAATGTTTTGCTAACTTTTGAAAAAGTGACAAATATTGTTTATAATGTGAAAAAATCGATAAATATCGATCAGTTTGTTATTACTTTGCTAGATGTTTTGTCGATGATTAAGTTCAATCACATGGAAAATGATTGTGACTTTTCAAAAATTTGTTCTCAGTTCCAAGAAGAAATTCCAAGAATTTCTCTCAATAATTTCATTTATCAGGATTTTAACGCAAAATCTTTTGTCACTTTTGTTGATATTTTGACCTTAGAAGATTTAGATGATTTGAGGAATAATTTCATCAAATTAATCCATGAAAATTCTTCAAAAATAATTGAATTCTTTACATCAAAAAGTGACAGTCAATTTACATCATTTATTTTTAGTTATTTATTGACGAAATTCACAGAAAAAAGCAAAATTTTGCAGAACATTGATATTATTTTATTAATAGATGTCATAACATTCCTTTTCAGACCTTTGATATTTAATTTCGAACCTTCTTTGTTTATTTCGATTTCAAAAATTTTGTTTCCTGCAGAGTTGGCTTCAAATTATAACAAAAGCTCTCAAATTTTAGCGGTTTTTGTAAACCAAGTTATACCATTTATCAAAAGTTATCCTATGTTCTTTTTCCAACCATTAGTTATTAGATTGTTAACTGTTTTCTGCAAGAAATTACCAGAAGATTCTCATCAAATTGTACAAAGTTGTTTGACGAAAAATGAAGAATTTAAATCGGAAATTGACAGATGTTTTTCATTAGCTTTGACCGATGTTTCTGTTGCAGTATTTGGAATATCAGATATTAAACTAGATTTATCAAATGCCGGAAGAGGATTGTTATCTTTGATTTCGTTGAATTTTGCTTATTCTATTGGAAAACAAGGAATTCAATTTGAAGATCCGATTTATCTTCAAAACACTGCATCATTACACTTTAATATTCTTAAAGGAAAGGCTTCTTTTAATGACTCTCCAACATTGAATCGATTAATGAATTGTTTGCTGTCGTTAAATACAGAAAACTTCAATCTCGACAAGAAAGAAACTTCAGAAATTGTTTCTAATTACTTAGATGTGACTCCTTTAGTTTCAAACGCAAGCCATTCTTGTTATAAAAATTGCGGACAACATTCTGAGCTGTTTGACACGGATAATGAAAGAATTATAAGGTTTTTAGTTGCTCTTCCTGTTTCGAATCTTTCTAACATGAAATATGGTTTAGATATCAATGAATTATATTATATTCCTATTATTTTGGCAAAAGTTGATCATTCGAAATCAAAAATTTGGAATGAACAAATTTTGGAAATTTACAATGAAATCATTGAATTCTTTTCTTCTTCAAACTTGAAGATCTACTATTATAGGTTCTATCCAAGAGCAATTAGAGAAGCCATAAATAACCTCGAGGACAAAAAACCTAAAAAATACAAAATGTTTGACATTTTCAAACAAAAATTGAAAGATGAAATAAATGAAGAAATGGCTTTACATGATATCAGGTCTTTGATGTCGATAATGATTGATTTGGCTCCTTTTGTGATGACACACGATATGGACATTCCTCCTGCTTTGTTGCCGAATAATTTATTGAGTCCTCAGAGAATGCAAACGAAAGATTTCTACAGTTTGTTTCAGAAAGCTGTAGAAAGTTGCGAAGAAACTCTTGGTGTCACTTTTTCACAAAAATTGATAGAAAAATTTTGTGAAAATTTGAGTTCAAATTCAGAAATTGATCCAATAAAACTCGGAACACCATTCGCAACCGCGGCAGCATGGAAAGACCAATTCGACAAAATGAACAAACTCCACAAACCATTGTCTGTTTTGTTTGAAAGTTTGTGTCCGCACAAAATGTCCGATTTCGCAGATGCCGTCAATTCATTGAAGCATCCGATATCTGCCGATACTTATTCATTTGTACGGAAAATGTTGAATGAAAGATTCAAAGAAAAATTCTCTGATTGGCTCCAAAAAACTCCTTTTCTTTCGTTTTTCTTCACGAAACCATCAGAGAATCTCATTCCTGATCTTTGGGATATCAAATGGTTCGATGTCAAACACAATTTCCACTTGAGAATCTTCGCAAACATGATAATGCCTCAGTGGTATTCGTGTTTACTCGACCAAATATCAGAAAAAGATTTGAAAATGACGATAGCGCCGGTTATTTCTGACATCGAGGAGAAATATCCTGAATTTAGGAAGTTTTCCGCTTATTACGTTTCCCTTTGTCCCAATTCTTCACTTGCTGAATCCCTTTGGACTTCAAAAGCTTTCAAAAAGTCAATGCCACTTCCAACGATGTCACTTTTTGAAAACAGAAATTTTTTGTATCAAAAGAACTTATGCGAAGATGCCCTTGGTCTTCTTAAATCCGAATATAAAGAGCTTAACAAAGCAGCAACATATCATCAACTTGCAAATTACAAAGCTGCTTTTTCGGAATATTTAGAAGCAATGACAAAAAGTAACAGAATTTATTCATTGAGTTTAGTTGAATTAAGAAGTGTAAGTTGCAATTTGAGTTTAGTTAGACAGATGCCATTTAATGACATCTTCAAAGTATCAAATGCTTCTCCACAAGTAACTCTTCCATTTTTAATGAATTTCAACCCACAAAATGAAATTAAAACAATGGTTTCTTACCAAACATATAATCCAGAGAATTTCACAAGTTATTTCTCTCAGATTTATTTACCTTTCTTAACAAGAAGCGCAATGATTGAAGAGATCTATAAATCACTACAAATCCTGAGACAAAGAACAGCGCAAAGCCAAAACATTCCTGATTTAATCAAGCCGTGGATGGTAACATGGATGAACACACTTGATAAACTCACGGCAACTTGTTCTGGCATCGCGTGGAGAATGACAATCATTGCGAAAATGAAAGAAACAACTGAGATGCAACCAAATACTCCCATTTTTAATAGTTTGAGCCAATGCTTGCAAAAGAATTACTCAAAACTGAGTTCTCTTTTGCAACATTCTGGAGCTGTTAAATCTGCCCTTAAATTACTGAATTTCGGAGGAGAAATTGAAAAATTTCATGTAACAAAATCATCTTTGGGAAGAATTTACAATTTTCTCACAAGAAATAATTCAGAGAAATTGACAGCAATAAGTGAACAATTGTTTATTATGTTACATGACTTTAGAGGAATCAAATCGAACAAACATTGGCTGAAATTAATGTTTGAAGTCTCGAAATGTTTCCCTGTTTTGATTGAACCGAATTCTTTCTTTTCTAGAATTGCAATGGAAATGAAAGAATCCAAAAACGAATCAAGAGATTTCATCATAGCTTTGGCCTTGAATTTCGTCAGAATTAAACCGGAAAGTATCCCAATTTTCCACCAACTCCTTTTACAAGTTGTTCCTCCAAAACAAATGCAAACACAAGGATCCCAATCGCAGCAAATCGACTTGAAGAACATTTGGCTTCGATGGCTTCCTATGATCATAAAACACGCGAAATCTCCTCCAGACGGGTTTCTTTTGGCTCTTTTGGAAAGACATCCAATGCATTTTTTGATGTCAATTAAATCTTTGATGAATTCTGATTCTTGTTCAGAAATTGCGAAGGAAATTTACATCAAAGTTATGCAGAAAAAGAGTCTTTCTGTGTTTGAGTTCGAAGAATCTTTCACGTGGATTGAGAAACTCAAAAAAGAAATTGATGATTTCGATTTCAACGTCAATTTATTCCAAAAACTCATAAAAATGATTGACGATGAAAATGTCGAAATTTCTGATGAAGAAAAAGAGAAAATTGGCGGAGAAAACTTCGATGATTTTGTCAACTATTGCAAAGAAAATCCACCTTATTTCTTTGTCGATGACAAAAGTTGCCAAAGCATATCTGCAACAGGAACAAGATTCACGTCAATCCAATTAAATGTCAATTCACTTTCTTTGATTACAACAAAAAGTGACGAAGCAAGTTTAAGGTTATCTACAACAATTGGCGAGATCAGATACTTTTCACTTGTTTCACCACGTATTTACGGATTTACCTTCCAAGAGCACATGTTTTCAGCATTGATTAAGAGAATGATTGACAATCATCCATCAAATGTTTCCAGGAGCAAATTCAACAATTTTGTTCCTTATACATTCCTTTTGTCTCCGAAACTGATGATTGTCCATCACGGCCCAATCAATTCTCTTTACTCTGCAATTGGTTTGGATGATATCTGCGAGAGATTGAAAGAGATAAAAAAGATTGATTCCGATCAAAGTCCTTTCGCCAAAAAAGTTCGTAAAAATTGTCATAAAATGAACGATTTACATAAATGGTTCATTGGCGGAACAGAAGGAATTTATGTAGATTTCCTGATGATGAGACAAGCATTCGCAAGCAGTTTGGCATTTACAATGGCCTTAAGAGTTTGTTTCAGCGCGAGTTTGCCTTCAATTCCGAATGTTTGTTTCTCTTTGGACAGACAAAAAGTTGTTTTACCAGGATACTTTTTGAAGAGAGAAAACACTGTTACTTTGGCTCCTTTGACAAACGCTTTCCGTTCATTTTTACCTAATTTCCTTTTGAAAGGAAGTTTCGAATCATCATGGCTTTCAACAATTGATAGTTTAGCAAAGCACATCACGAAAATTAGAATTATTTTAGACGTTTTGAGATCATCTGGAGAAAATGAAGTTTCGAATTCACAAATCTGCAACAGAATAGAGATGTTGGCTCCTTGCGTTGGAGAAGACACAGAGAACGTGGAGAGTGAATTCGCTTTCGATATTATTAACCATTTGATTGAAAATTCACAGAATATTACAGATCTTCATGCATCTTACGCATGGATTTGAAAATTTTTTTATTTTTATTTTTTTATGTTTAGATTATAAATTGTTAATTTTTTAGATCAATCGAAATGAATAATGTTTTTTGACTCTCGATTTTACGACAACAAGTCATAATAAATTACAAGTCATAATTGTAATTTGCGAACAACGCATTAGAAATCAAATTCAATTCTTAATATAATAATAATTCATAATATTTGATGAAGCTCTTCATATAGGTAAAATGCAGAACATAAAAATTTTCAGTACATTAAAGAAGAACTGTGAAAAAAAAATTATTTATTCAAAAATAAAGGATTGAATGAATTTTTATTAGTTAGCAGATATAAAGAAAATTCATTAATCGAATTGAGGTTAAGATGCTAATAATTAGATTTTATATTAAAAATCTTGAATAATACATAAATTGAAACGTATTGAGAATGTGTCAATACAAATATCATACTTGTGCTGAGGAAAATTATCAAAATTCTTAGATAATATTTAAAATAAAACATTAATAATAAATATACTGATGTAATGATTGCTCTCCGAATATATTTAGAATAAGGATAATTCTTTTACAATTAGAAAGCATTTTAATGGTATAAAATTAATAATAATTTTATTCGCGAAAAAAATCATTTATTTTGTGAAACTTGTGCATATTTGAATGTGCTCTTATAAGTATCAAACGAGTGATGAGGTTAGAAGTTCTAAAAACAATAAGGTAGCGATATAGAAAAAAAGGATTTTGTAAATCCGTAATAGGTCTCAAAACTTTCTCTCACAAAATTTGAATAAATTTTGATATTGAGCGAAAATGAGAAATCTAGAATGAGATAAAGTTCTAACAAAATCGTTATTCTCATCGAATAACGATTTCACAAAGTTTGAGTTTTGTTTACAAAAATATTGTAATTAGATGTCAGATAGTATAATTATTTCAACTATAGTAAATTTAGAAGAGAATCGGATTGAGGAATAAAATTTCGGGAATCGGACAATATTGATGAGAATACAAAAAGAATGGTGATTTCAAAAAGAAAAATAGGCAAATATCGATTATGAAATTGATACACATCATTCAAAATTTTAGTAATTCAATTTTATTTCTTTATTTTTCAGATGAAAATAATACAAGGCTATGTGAATAACAAGATTGAATTTCTCAGTGTTTATCAAAAAATTATTCAGAATAATAAATCATTTTGAATTTGTATAAGATGGCTTTTTATGAAAATCGAAGACGAATTAATAGGTTGATGGCGCAAGTTCTATTTGTTTGGGAAAGAGTATAAATTAAAAAATTGAGAAAATCTGCCAAAAAATATCAACATTTAATTCATATATTGGCTAATCATGCCGATAATAAATGAAATTTAATTTCCTTTTATTTTAATAAAAATGACGATAAACTGTTTTTTTCAAAATTTGTTTTCCTATTATAAATTAATACAGAAATTAATATTGCCGGATCATAATCATGACAAGCAACACAAATAATTAGTTTTCATATCAAGAATATATTCGTGATCAAAAAAATATGTTTCTCTCAATATATTTCTGTTCACATATTGAATTTTGAACAAGTAGAAATCGAAAATATCATCTTTAATGTTTCATAATTATGTATGATCTTAATACCTGAATTTTCCAATTCGATATTAAAATTTTCATTCAGAAAGTACTTTTCATTACCTTGAAGATTATATGCTAGTATCTTAATTAATGTATATTTTTAATTAAATTGAGATTTTTTAAAACGAAAATTCAGTATAATATTGTACCGTCGCCATTTATAAAAATGCTTGTATGCATATCCGTAGTCCATACCTATTAAAAAATTGCATTAATTCTCTAATTGTATAACAACATTGAAATCATGTACAAATTTCAATAAATTATTGAAAAATTATTTTTTGAGAACTTCGCTATATAGAATATTTAATTTCAACAATGAGTAATTCACCGACGAGTCATCTAGGCATGAGCGAAATCCTGGACTATGGCTCCAGTTTAATTAAAAGCGCTGCGCACGGTTCTCATGCTTCTATTTCCAAATCTTACTTACTTAGCGTTATGAAAAATTACCTTTCGAACAAAATTTCCTATCAAGAAGCCTCAGATATATTTTTACAGAAATTTGGAAGCGCTCATCCAATCGAAAAATTACAAGAAATTGTTAATGAATCTTTAATTCTTACACCTATTCCAGCCCCTGAAGATGATTACATGCAGCCCAAACAAATCAGGTACTGGTCTCAGCGCGAAAATACCAGATTAATGGCAGGAGTTTTCCTTTACGGTTCTTTTGATTGGTCAAAAATAGCAGCTTTTGTAGGAGGCGGCCGCGGACGTCCGCAATGCCTTCAGAGATGGACAAGAACGCTTAACCCCTCAATTGTTAAAGATATATGGACTCCTGAGGAAGACAAAAAGTTGCTCTCAATTGTCCAGCAGTCTGATAAAGTCTCTTGGACCCGGGTTGCAAACTTTATGGGTAATAGATCAGATGTTCAGTGCAGATATCATTATAGCCAGCTTATGAAAAACAAAACTTCAAAAATCTCTTCACCTAGTCCAATAACAGCTGATTATAATGTAATGCCAAATAAACCACCGCAATCACCTTTGGCGTTCTATAATCCTCAACAGAGCTTCGTAATGCCAACTTACGAACCTAAACGCACAGTGCCAGCATATGTTCCAACAGTTAATTATGCTAATGTTGCACCTACTGCAAACTATCCTGTGCAAGTTGTCATGGATCCTTCTCCATTGACTGTTGAGAATAGATCTCCTATGGCTGTTGAAGCTTTTCTTTCTTGTTTTCAATAAATTGTTTATATATTATCTTTGTTTGTATAAATTGTATCGTTTTTAGTTAATAACTGCTGAAATATTGGTCGATATTTTCCATTGGTTTTTGAATATTGAGATTAGATTGGGTAGCTCTTATAGATTGAAGTTAATGCATTAAATTCTTAATCATTTTAAGTCCAATTACATATTAATGCGCTTGATTGAAAATAGTTTATATTATAATTATACCAGAAAGTAATGATTGGCTCGGAAATCCAAAATATTATCAAATACAGTTCTCATCTACAGTTTGTTTCCCTTTTTAGACTGTTTTGAATTTCAAATTTTCAAACTCTATGATATTTATAGATTTACCATCTATGGGCCACAACTAAAGTAATTTTGAAACAAAATCAAATTAACATTCGAGATTTCTTTCATTAATTTTTGTTTATCCTCCTTTTTTGAACATGTTATATGTCTGCAATTTCTTGACAAAATCAAACCTATCTATCAAATGAAACCCGAAAATAAAAATCCATTAATTTAATTTCCGATAATAAATAAACTTTTACTTACAAACAAACTTATTTAATATTTCATATCTCTTTGACTTCGTTGTGCTTTCATCATTATAAGCAATACACCATGGCAATAACTTGGCAAGTGTTTCTGGTGTAAATAACATGTTTCCGCTGAAAATACCATAATTATCATTAGCACAAGACAATCCAATCAAATTTCCTTGCTCCCAGAGAAAGATTTGTTTTGATGAAATAAATCCTTGGATTTTATCAGAGCAAAGCATCAAAACTGTTGATGATTTGCACTGGGAAGGAGTATTACATAGGTGATAAGTGATTTTATACCTGTATTCGGTGTAAATGATCGAATTTGGTCCTTTTTCGCCTAATTTATTAAGAAAATCTTTAAAAGCAAGTGATATTATCTGAGGAATAATGATGTCGACCTCATAATTATCAAATGCTTTCTTTCCTGTCAAATCTCTTTTTTCTGAAAAAGCTTTTAGCATCGAATAGTAGGAATTAAGGGCTTCATCACCTATTTTCTTGATTTGCGTCATCTCTTGGTTGGTTTCCAACTCGATTTTTGGTAATTCGACGTCATTAAAATGAAAATCAGAAGGATTATACTTTTTCTGGTCAGGAATAGTGTTTATTGCTGATTTTAATGCATTATCAACGCTATTTTGATGTTCTAATGTGTTTTTTTCATGTTTTTCTGTTGAATTCCAAGAATCATTTTCGATTTTTTGGTCAAAAAGTTCTGGCTTAATTGGTTTTATATTAATATCAACTTCTCCATACAAATTGTTCTTCCTTATAAGAAAATTGTCTTGATCTGATTCAATTTTATCGATTTCAATGAAATTTCCATTGTTTTGGTGGTCGAACGCGTCGATAATTGAATATTCTGTTAATTCAATGAGAGAATGGATATCCTGTGATGGATTTTTGATGAAACTATTGGAAAAATCAGAAATTTGGTTCGAAAAAACCGAAAGATCTTGAAAAGTAAGGAGGGATAATGAGAACTTTTGTATATTATCCTTCTGTTCATATATATTTTGTATCAATTGTCTCTTTAAAGCTTCATCTGAAAAAATTGATTTTTCATTCTTGGCAAGAATGGAAAATAGGCATAACACCTCAGAACTCATGCGCCCATTAATAGGTTTCGTTATTAATTTATACGCTTTTTCTGGAGTTTTCGAAGATAAAGCGTAAATTGTGCCAATCCTGATAAATCCGACAGAAAACGCCTTGGAATAGTTATGGATGCAATATTCAAGAACTTTTTCTGCTATTTCTTGTGAGATTGCAATTGATGAAATTAAAATATTGATTTTCTTCATTGAATCTATCTTAATCTTCTTTGATATCAATATATCAACTGATTTGATTATAATCTGGCCTATTTCAGGTGAATTAGATTGTGTCAAATCACTCAAAATATCAATTGTAAAATCATTCGCAGAAACAAGTGGAATAAATACATCAGTTATATGAGAAACATATTTCTGATCTGGATTTTTGACCTTTGCAAGCAATATAATGGCGGTTTCAATGAATTTTTCATCGATTAATTCAATAGGAACGGAATAAAGAAGAAATTCACAGAAATCGGAGAAATTAGATGTGTCATTATAAGGAACTAACTTCGAAAGACTCAATAAAATGGTAAAAATGACAGAAATTACATGAAGATTTTCAGAAATTGGGAAAACATTAAGAATTCCTTTCATGTAGCTCTTAAATGTTTCATATGGCCACCAAATGAAATCCATTTTCGTGAAATAAGGAAGGACAGAAACAGGAGAATTTGTAATTTCGTTTTCAAGCAATAAAGGGTTTTTCATATCGATATTTGGTATATTAAAGTTGATTATTTTAGTACCAAATATAATCCCTGCTGAAGCTACAACGAATTGAGTAATAAATTTATCAACCACAGATTTTATATCTGGATGCAATGAAACTGAATCGGAAACGTATTTCCAGCATTCCACAGATGTCAATTTATACAACATTGTGAATTCAAAGTAAATTCTAAATAGTTGAATTGAACATTTTGATCCTGTCGCAATAAAAAAGAAAAGTGATGAAATAATTATAAAGTACTGATCATTCAAGTTCATCTGATATATAAGATCTAATAAAGATCTGCATCTAAGAAGAGGAATCGCAATTTTGTCAAAATCAGGGTAATTTGTACAGATATCTCTTAGTAACAATACAATCAGTTGCGAAACAAAGTCTCTTGATAGACTAAAAAGTTTCGGAAGTATCTGTAATAACTGATTTGTGTATTGTTCTGGGATATAAAACAAAGATCGTGAAAAAGAGAATGAGTTTCGCTCAGAAATAGATTCTTCTGATAGTTCCCCTGGGAAAAGATTATTTGCAATGCTTGAAATCAAAACTTTGTATTTTTCACTGTCTGTATATATAATATGAGGTATAAACAGTGATACAGCAATGCAACTGTTGAAATCTGATATGTCAAACATGCGAATATCTGGTTTTTCGTTGGAAATTGAATGAATAAAATAACAAGAAACGCTTAAGATTCTCTTTGGTAGTACTTTTTGTGTTTGCACTTTAGCGAGTGATGCAGCTTTGATATCAAAATCAAGATATAATGGTAAGATTGTATTGCAAAAAATTTTCCACCAAAAAACTTTGGATTCATAAGGAATTTCTGAGAGACAGTTATTTACCAATGCGAGCATGTTTGAATTTTCGTCAATATTTAGTGTTTTTTCATCCAAAAAGAAGGAAATACAAGCTTTTGTGTCTACTGGTGTGAATTTGGAAGTATTATATGTTAAACACCAAAAAGTTATCTGACACAATTTCCAATAAAGCTCCTTTTTGATTGTGAATTTTAGTAATTGTGAAATTGTAATTTTCCAATACAAAAGAAATTGTTTATCAAGGAAATCTCCATTTGTTTGCTTAATAATTGAGTATAAACTTTCTGAAAATTCGAGTAGTAGTTTGTTTAAATCATCTGAAATGACTCCATTTGGAATATCAAGTTTTGAAATATATTCATTGAGAGTAACTAGAAAGGTGGTGAGATTTTGTAACATCTCCTCCCCCGATTTAAATGATGAGCATTGTTTTATAAAGTTTTTTAACGCTTGTTGAAATAACTTATCATTGTTTCTCATCAAAAAAATGATGTTATTTAATACAAAGTATTTAAATGTTGTTTTAGGAGTTGAAAAGCGACATTTTCAAAGTTAAAATAATTTGAAACATTCAATAAGATTTTGTTATCAGATTTCGTATTTCTTATGGTTGTATGCCACCCATAAAGAGTATATATTAATTCTAATATAATTTTAGATTAATGACTGCATATTCGAGAAAAAATTGATAATTTTAATCAACAAAAAGATAAAGGTTTACTCTAATACTCTATTTGCTTTATACCTACAAGAACAGGGCGCATTGGCTGAACACAGTTTGAACCTGAAGTAGAGCCAATATCACCAACGAATAACCAAGTACTCATTGCAGTTAAATGATACTTGTCAACGAACAAGAGTCCGATGAGTTTAGTGGTTTGTGTATAAAGTCCACCATTTGCCCATCCAAATACAAAGGATGCCAATGGGGTGATTTCTGGAATTAATGCCAAATTAGTGATAATTCCGAATATAAGGAGGATAAAGAAAAACATAGGATTAATAATACGTTTTCTATCCATGACAATACGTGAGAGAAGATCACCAAGGAAATTTCCGATATTGCAAGTGAGAATGAAAGCATCATGTGGAAGTGTGAAGCCCAAAAGCTTATAATGAACACGCTCATTGAACGCATAGAGTGTGCATCCTGGATTGAATAGCGATAAGCAAAACATGTTAATGATGAAAACCAAACAATGTCCCCAAATCTTTGGGAACCATTCTTTGATATTCTTGAAATCATTGAAGAAGTCCTTAAAGCTAAATGTGCTGGCAGAAGTATTTGCCACTGGATAAATTTTAATAAGGTAAAGAATAATTGCGCCAAATGTGCATACTGATGTAAACATGTAGCACAATTGGAAAGGCATGCCAAAAGAAAATAGAGCAAAACCTAAAATTGTAATCAAAGAAACTCCAAATGGGATTGCAGTAACAACTTGTTGGCGTGTCTTGCCTAAATTGTTCACAACGTTAAACATATTTGGACAGTATGATCCTTCGCATACACCGCAAAAAGCGTATGAAATGAATACCCAGGCAAGGTGAGGAGGTGATTTTGCCATTGCAACAACACTAAGCATAGTTTGTCCAACAATCATACTAGCTAAAGCAATAATGACCCTCACTCTTGGTGAGAAGCAGCCAAAAAGTAAATTGTGGCCGATAACTCTAAATATTAAATTGAAAAAGTAAACAAAAGATGTGCCAATTCCGTAGTAGTATGATCTTGAATTACCTGCAGCACCATCTGCTAATCCAAAAACATTACCAAGTCTGTGCTGCAATGAAAAACAGCATGCGTATCCAATAAAGACTGGAGCTGTAATAAAGAATGCACTAATATATGTTTTATCTTTCGTACTAGATGCCTCTTCTGTTAATAAATCTGCTGTGTCAACTGAAGAGATCATGATTGGTTCGAAATAAATGAATAGTGCGCCAAAATTTGAGTTTTAATTGAAAAAAAGACCGCACAATTTTTGCATTTTTATTCCATATTGTCTAGTGATTATTTTTAATAAATTTTTAAAGTTTGCTTAACGTACGAATTTGTTCTAATTGAAAATCAAAATGACAATTACATTATACTTTCTGCTTTGCGCCGTGTTGTTTTTTCACATTAGAACTCCATAGATTTCTGGAGATTACTACAGGCCATCTTAAATTACTCTCAAACTCGGAAAACTGGGTTGGATGATGACTTGAATTACTATACATTTTCCATATATGCTATGATATTTGTCATAAGTCTCTTGTTAAGGGTATAGTAAACTCAAAATTCTAGAGTTTTGAGAGTGCCAATAAACTCTATAGGCCTATATATATCTATATTTTAAAGGAGAGGTTACGCCATAATATTTGATATTATAAATTATTAATTCAAAATAAAAGTAGAAAATGAAACTAATTTTATTCTAACCTATATAAATATATCAATAATCTAAAATGATTATAGTCTGAACTATATTTTACCAGATTATCAAATATAAGAGAAATGAAATAAGGCATAAAAATATCATAGCATAATTATTGGATAAATGCATTAATAAATTATTTATATCATAATGAGAAAAAATCAAAATAAGAAAATGAGCATAATAATAATTTAATTAAAAACAAAAACAATAAATAAAATGTAATTTTCGTTAATCAAAGTCATCAATGTCTTCGTCTTCTGATTCCCATTCGGACTTGAAAACTTGATAATCTCCTCCTGGTACACTCTGAATGGAGTTTTTGTATTTGTTCTGTTTTTTAGAACCTTTTGTAACAGTTTTTTGTTTCAATATCATTTTGGAGTAACAATTCTCTTCAAATGATTTGACACAATCTTCTGGAAGTGGGGGAAGATGTAATGCTTTTTGTATATCTCCGAGAAAATGCTCTGGATCATTCCATTCTAAGATTGCAACGTTAACTCTAATGTTAATGTTCTTCCAGGCTCTTGATTTGTCCAAATAGCATGCAATTTTGGAGTTAAACGCTTCATTCATGCAGGTAGATCCAATGGAAGAAACTTTGGAAACTATGGGTGTCCATTTGTGAACCCAGTCATAGAGCATGAATTGAAGTTGGATCGAATTGACACCTTTTTGCCATTCAAAGCATTTGTAATTGTGCGGTTCGCAAAAAGAATGATTGCCTACGTAATGGTAGACACAATTCTCCCACATTTTCGTACGTTTGTCAATATTTTCTTCGGCAAAACATGACCAAAGCCACATACTTAGGCTTGCATTCAGACCCCAGAAAGGTCTCTCTATTTTTTCAATCTTCTGAGTCTTGTCGTTGAAAACTTCAACTGTCTTATGAGAAGCTGAGAACTTTGTAAAATCTTTTGAGATATTTTTTGATACATGACCTGGATCGAATCTTTCAAGATGAGAGACGCCAAATTCTTTAAAGACAGAGACACTTTTGTTATCTCGGTCTTTAATAATCTCTTTAACATCTTTCAAGATATTGTATTTCTTTAATTGCTTCAAGATGATTCGAGTTCCAGCACTTTCCATATTGTTGGAAGCTCCGGAATACTGAGCATGCTGTCTGTTTCCACCAATATGGTTGATGTTCACGCATGCAAGAACTCTTTTTGTGACAGCATCGAGCGCAGTTACTGTACAACTTGGCGAGTTTCGCCTGTGCGTCCATCTTGCATCAATGGATAAGTAACCACTGAAGGACTTTCTCGACAGCATTAGGGAAATACTTTTAAGTCTTCTAATCTTATCGTCACAAAATCTCTGTTGTCTCATGACACCACTCTTCACAGGGGGCTTAGTTCCACAAAGAGAAAGAAAGCGAGCACCTTTTGTATATGGCATTCCGGTCATTATGCAAGCACCAAGCATCTGTCGCGCTGAGAGTCGACGACGTTCGTGGAGTAAAATGTTATGCATTGCCTTTGTTTTCCGTTTTGGGTGAACAATATGGCCCATACAACAACAAAAAAATGAAATCCCGCCAAAAGTGAAAATTGAATAAAAAGTAATAATTAATAAATATATACTATATCATTAGATGAATATTTTGGAATAACATTTTAAAATCGAGGTTTTTCAATGGATAACGGTTCAATCAAAAATTTGACCCCATTTTAGAATCTACATTAAAAATGGAACATTTCTGTCGTTTCAAAATTCCAAAATAACGTTTCTATTCCTCTCAAAAGTAAAAAAAACTTTATTGGGGAAAAAATATTTTTATTTTCCAAAAAAAAATGAAAACCTTAAATGCAAATCTAATTTTGATGCTTTTGTTTGTGATTTTTTGGATTTCGAAAAAAATTTGAAAATTCAGACAAGTTACCATTAACACTAATACGTTTCAGCGAGTCGGTCCCATCAGAGAAATTTTCATAAATCGGCGATATAATTTATTATTTCAGCAAAATATTCTCAGATCCAACTAGAATAAGGTCAAATTATACAAATTTAGCAAAGGCTAGTTATCCTACCTATTCAATTAACTTTAATTTTAAATAATTCAAGACAATTCTCAAAATTACCTTAATAATCGCGTTCTCTTCGCAAAATGACGATTCCTCATTCACTACCAGCATAACTGAGGGCTTGTGCTCACAGAATAATACAGATAATTTACTTATTAATGCAAAATTTAGTACCAAAAGGTAATCATAGAAGATACAAAAAAAGTTTCTTTATTTTGATTGCTGATTTTATTTCTTCTAAAATTTACCAAATCTAAAAAATCCAAAATTGAATGCTATTGAATTTCATGTTTATGTAACATATACTATTTATTATATAAGGAATAAAAATTTTATAGTTTTAATCAAAAATAAAGGTGTACTAAATGCATACAAAACAAGGTATTTTTTACTCATCCAAAATATGTTAACAGTGCTATTTATATAATCAATATCCGAATTTCGAAATCATTTTGATGAAATCTTTATTTTAAAATTGAGTTGACTGTTAAAATCACCCGAGAAGAGGGATTATCTCAATGAAAAGTACATAAAATAGCAAACGCACAAGATGGCACTATGCAGCTTTATATTGTTATACAGGATGAACATATAAAATGTTTGGAAAACACTTACTTCGTTCTACAAATGTGTATCTCTTTATATCAAAGATTCTTCTCAAATTATTGAGAGACTTCTCTCAAAAAAGGAAAATTTGATAACTAAAAAAAATTATGGCATAACCTCTCGTTTTGCATAGATATATATTTACATGGTCACAGAGCTTATTTTCATTGTCAAAACTTAAAAATTTTTAGTGGACTATACCCTTAAATTTTCAAATTTTATTTAGGAATTCATCCATTCTTCGGTTAAGAGAGATTGGATTATATTATCCCCAAATTGAAAGGATTGCAAGTATAGAGTATTGTCTTGATGATTATACAAATTCAAGGTTTCTCTCAATGAAGAAGCAATAAAATCTATTAATCATTAATATTTCGTGAACCAAAAGTACAACATATGCTTAAAAATATGCAGTGTAAAGTTTCATTTTTTTTATTGCAAAAAATTGAATGTTCACAGTTTTGATTAACTTTGCATTAAGTCAAGTGCATTCAATTACCTCAGAGGAAGCTGACAAATTATTCACTGAGGAGCCCCATAAGCCTATATTTGTAACTCTTGAATCAATGTGGTGCGCTCATTGTTTAGAATTCAAGCCTGTTAAAGAGCGTATTGAACAATTTTACAAAGATAATGATAAAGTCGATATAATGATGATCTCTTGTGATAACGAAAGAGATCTTTGTAGACAATTTCAAGGAGAAGGAACGCCAAGACTATACATGGTTACGACAACAATAATAGATGCTGAAAGATATGAAGGATCAAGATCTTTTGAAGAAATTCGAGCTTTTATTCAAAAATTTATTCAACCACCTGTACTTCAAATTGAAAATGAAACACAACTTTCCACTGAGCTAAATGCCAATTTAGAATCTTCGATATTCTTCTTACAAGATTTTAAGAATACAAATTTATCACAAATATTTTCAGAGATTGCCAAGCAATATGTTAATTATCCAGCTAGATTTTACAATATCACATATAAGTATTTCCAATCCGATGAATCTCGCATCTATCACTATTATACTCCTACAAATAAAACTCTTCCTTATTCAGGTCAAATAAATTTCGATGATGTACAAGCATTTATTTACGAACATCTTTATCCACCGTTTGGATCACCTTCTTCAACTTTCTTTGAGATACAAACAAAATTAAAAGAACCATTTATTGTTTTGGAGGACTGGGAGAAGAAATTCACCAAAGAAATACAACAGTTAACATTGAAATTACCAGATAACCTCAAAATTATTGATATTGACTGCATGTCATATGAAAGATTTTGCAGAGCGATCAGAGTTGACATTACGCATCGTCCTTTCATTTCTATGGTCAAGATGCATAAGAATACTTGGTATAAATTTGATTCCGATTACGATCCTGAAAAATTTGTTGAATGGGCCAATAAAGCATGGCAAGGAAAACTGAAAGAGTATGGACCAGGTGCTGGAATCATGGGATTTTACAGAAGAGTCGTCAAACCTTTTGTTCAGAAAAATAAGTTATACTTTTATTTAGGAATCGCTTTTGTTGTTCTTATAATAATCATACAGATAATCAAGGCTTGCTGCTTCATTATTGGATTTGATGGTCCTGAAAAATACAAATATGATTAAAATTTTTTGCTTTTTTTGTATGAATTTTGTAAAAAATATATGTAATCAAACTTATATTGGTTTTAATAAATTTTCATTCAATAGATATTTGATTTTGAAAGAAATATCGAATAAGAAGACTTAAAATCTTTATTTTTAGGACATCTGCATATGAGGGAAATGTGTAATTAATAAGTCTATCATAAACTTTCTTTAGTAGAAATGAAATTGTAAATTTCAAATCCTTTTTCTTGAAATAGAACACAATGATAATACACTTGTTAATAAATTTTCATGAAATATATTAGTAAAATAGCAAGCAATGCTATTGGAAGTTAACAAAAGATAATAAAAAAAATAATTTTTATAATTAAAAACAACAAAGCAAAACAAACAACATAATATATACAATAAGTATGCCACATTATCATAAACAACAGTCGTCACTAATGTTAGTTAAAAATCGAATCATCTCTATTTGTATGAGTATTTGTATGTTAAATACGATTGGAATTAATATTTTGTTTCTATTTTTTCGAATCTTCATTAGTCGGGAAGTATGTTGATATAGAATTCTGTCCTTGGACCGTTTTTGAAGATTTCTTTGATTTTGTTGGCAAATTATTGGCCAGATCTTGATATTCTGGCTGTGATTTCAGTCGAGACCATTTTCTAGATAGACCTGTAGTAGTTCTTCCATTGACTGAGAAGATATCGCTGTATTTATCATGAATTTTTGACCACATTCCTAAACCGTACTTTTTAATGCCTCTAATCAATGCCTCTTCCTCTTCAGAAGTCCATGGAATGACTGATTTTCTTGTTGAAGCTCGCTTTGGAGATTCATTTTCTGAATTTGCTTTTTTACTGTATTTTTTAGGTATTATGATCTCTTCATCTGAACTATCGCTCAATTCAATAGGTTTAAATGGAGGAGCTGTATCAATAATTTCATCTGAATTTTCGCTAAGCTCTAGACTGGAAGCAACGACATCAGCATACATTTCGAGGATGTCGGAATAGTTTAATGTTAGTTTTGAAAGATTGCTGCAAAATTCAGCCACAGCAATCGTTACTTCAATCATTTTTATTTTTACAATAATCGTCGGTGAACTTCCTTCCTAAAATGAAAACAAAAGATTTATAATTTTCATATTAACAGCTATATTTTTACTTGCTAAGCTTGCGCGGAGCAGAAATTAATCTATTTGGTTCGGAGTTTTTATCAATTTTTAAATTCGACTAAAACATCATATATTTCTTTCATGTATGACCCTTGAAATTAAACATCATATAAAAATATCGGCTTTATTCGATATTAGACAAACAAAATAGTGTATAATGATTAATTTACATGAAAGTATTTAAGTATTTCTTAAGCATGGTCTTATAATATTAAAGTCCTATGATAGTTGAAACTACAAACACATATCTCATCGGTTTTTAACTAAAAATGAAATTCAACATTTAAAATTCGTAACTTTCTATTTGTGGGAATTTGAGAGAACCTACTTTAACTTGAATTGTGTTGAAATTATTGATTTCTGATGGAGGTACTTGCCCTTCACTTAATTCATCTCGTCTTAAAGATTTCTTCTTCTTTTGTTCATGTTCTTTCTTCTTTCTCTGCAGTTTCCTTTTTGTTTTCAATAATTCAGCTTTTTCAACGACATCTTGTAGTTTCCTCTTTTTATTTCTGAGTTTTGTAATATCTGTTTGTAGACGAGTGACTTGGAATTCTAGTTGATTCATAATCTCGGATAATTCTGAAATTTGATAATTTGCATTTGTGATTAGCTGCTCGTTTAAATTCATTAAATACGCGTCTCCATTTGCTGTTGGTGAAGCACCAAATGGTAAATATCTATTTGCTCGTAATTTGGTTAAATATTGTGCTCCTAATTGCATTATTGTAAAAGCATTGCTCATTGACTTTGTTCCAAGTTGCTTGTTTCTCCCTGTAACTTTGGAGTTGAGAATGGTTTTTAAATAAAATTCGACTGATTGAATATCACCTGTTTGTACAATTTTTTGAGGATCAATGGATTCAAATAGTTTAAGATCTAATTCTTTTCTAGGTCTTTCGAAATAAAATACTTCATCTTGTTGAATTTGAGGAGGAATATAAAAATAACTATATGGAACTTGAGGCATTTCTTGTGGAGGTGGAACTGGTGCATCATTTTGGTATTGCTGTTCAGGCAATATTACTTTAACTTGATTTAAATATGAATCAGGGACTTGATTTTGATAATTCATTAAAATTAAACGTACACTTTTCAAATCTCAAACTCATTCTTTAGTTTCAAGCTTTATGAAGTTTTCCATTTAAATAGAATCTTATCTTTTGATAAAGGAACTTCTGCTGCTTCCTTAAGCATATATGTGTAAAAAATCTTATGAAATTTGTATTTTTCAAATACCTTTTGTATTTATGATTGTTGAGGTTCTAAAATTGAAATGCTCATATCTGAGTAGAAAGCTGACTCTAAGAAATCATTAGATTTTCAAATAAATAATCAATCCTAAAAATTGATCCCATTGTTGAACACAATATATATGTGCTTAATTTCTACTCACTTAAGGATCAATTAATCCCTGATATGATATATAAAGATTTTATTTTCAATTAAAATTATTGTCAAAACCTACCCTAATATGAAAATAATTAATCATAAAAATATTATTGGTAAAAGTCAATATACAATATTGTGTTTAGAGGAAAAAATAAATAATAAATAAATAATAAAAATATTTTTGCTTTTCTTCTTATTTCTTTGCTCTTACTTTGAGGAATGCCGCCTGTAAGTCGCTGACTGGAGCCATCATTTGTGGCTTACCTGGAGTAACTCTTCCAAACTTCTTTGGTGCCTTCATCTGGTTGAGTCCAGAGCCATCTTCGAGGGCGGACATAACCTGGTCGAGGTGACCTTTCTTTAGGATTGAGTTTGACTGTTCTCTTCTCTTTTCTCTCTTCTCCTTCATTGCTGCTTTCGCTGCCTTCTGCTTAGCGATATCTTCTGCAGCTTTCATGTATTCTGTTGTGAATGTATTGAATGTGTTGAGGAAGTCCGCGAGTTTCATCTTCTGTGGGCTTTCTCCATACAAATTGATGATGTTGTTTGCGCGCTCTGCAACTTTGTCGCATTCTTCCTTGAGCTTTGTTAATTCTTGCTCCTTTCCAGTGGAGAACTCTGAGAATTTAGGATGGAATAAATCGCCATCAATAACTCCCTTCTCAGCTTGTTCCATGTAACTCTGGCACTTGTTGAAGTTCAACTGAACAGCCTTGATGTTATTTGCAATTGTATCTAAATCAGCTTTAGTTGATGTTTCGAATGTTGCTGATTCTTCTGTTATGTCCCAATCCTTTGGATAGAACTCCTGCATTGTTTGGACAATGAAGTGGAGCAAAGTAATTGAGTTAGATTTGGATGATCTGACTTCTCTTACTTTGTCCAATGTGTCTATCTTGAATCCGGAGATGCCACCACGAGATGAGCCACCGTTCATGTAGTTACCCAATCTCAAAATGACAGAGAAGATGTTTCTGAGTTTTGTGGATTTCTCGAGAACATAGAAAGCGTTCTTGAGAGCTTCCAATGGTGGTTTGATCATTGTCATCTGGCTGTCGTATGTCTTGATGAGGAACATGAGGTCGAAGTGGATTGTTGGGTTCTCGATCTTGATGAGTTCGAGGAAGAACTGTTCGCACTTGCCGAGAAGAGCTGGATCTCCTGTGTATCCCTTGACTTCACCAACTTCTTCCGGTGTAGGAAGGTTTGTCTTCATGGCATTGATCTGATCTTCTGTGAACTCGTCGATATCGACCTGTTTGATGTGCTTCACGATATCTTCGTATGACATCTTGTAGCGAGAAAGGATGATGGCGACTGAACGTGCCTTGTTGGAATCGATGAGTTCAACCTGCTTCTTCGCAAGTGACTGTCCTTCTGATTCCTTCTTCTCCTTCTCTATGACTGGTGCAGCGAATTGCTCCAAGAAATCATCTGTCTGGAAGTTGACTTTAGTGTCATCGATCGTTGTCCAGATTGTTGGAGAGATCTGCTGGTCAGGAATCTTTTGCCAGAACAAACTCTTCATCTTCTTCGGTGGAGCTTCGTTCTTCTTCTTAGGTCTGGCTGGAGCAGGAGCTCTTGGCATGCCTGGTGGAGGTGGTGGCATGCCTGGAGCGCCTGGAGGAGGCGGTGGAGGAGGTAAGATTCCGGCTCCGACCGGCGGAGGAGGAACCAAACCTGCGAGTCCCGGCGGTGGAGGTGGAGGAGGTGGGGCAGCTGCTGCAACGCCTGGAGGAGGCGGTGGTGGCGGTGGAGGTGGCGGAGGAGCGCCAACAGGAGGTGGAGGAGGTGCTACAGGTGGTGCTCCAGCTAAATCTGTTGGAGGTGGCTGGGATCTGGCAGATTCAAGCTGATGCTGAAGATCTGCGATGATCTTGGCTGAATCTTCTCTGAGTTGCTTGAGTTCTTCCTCAAGCTGAGCGACCTTCTTGTTCTGGTCGTTTGTCTTTTGAGCATCGCCGGCTTGTTTCTGCTTCATTTCCTCTTCTTCCTTCTTATGACGGGCCTCTTCCTCTTCTTTCTTCTTTCTTTCCTCTTCTTCCTTTCTGGCCTTCTCTGCTGCTTCCTTCTTTTGTCTCTCTTCTTCATCTTGTTTGAGTTTTGCAATCAAATTATTCGCTGTCTTCACTTCTTCGCGAAGTTTGCTGATTTCTACTTCGTTTGTATTCAATTTATCGATTAATTCTTTGTTGCGGCCCTTTTCTGCATCGACTTCCTTAGATAATCCGTCCTTTGATTGGTTAAGGAAGTTGATATGCTTCTTAAGACCGTTCAACTGTTCTGTAAGGACGCCAATTTTAGCTGCGAGTTCATCATTCTTTGTAACATCAACAGATTCGAGCTTTGGAAGTGGTAATGCCTTAAGAGATTCGCTATCAATGAAGTGAGAAGCGTTATAAAGCATCTGAACTGTATTTTCCATGGTAAAAGAGTTCGCGTGCATTCCGGCATCGTAGATAGTATCGATTTTGGCGACCTGTGAGGAAAGGTCTTCCAGAGAGAATGAAACTTTGTGTAGCATAAAGTGTCTGTAGTACTGTAAAAAGTTCAAAATGTAAGTGATTACACGTTTTGTGTGCTCTGAGTGATTTGTAACTATATCTGAGATACACTGCATGATACCACAGAACTCCTTAGGTATAACAAGGTCGATAATGTGGAAGATTTCCTTTGTATGGAATACGTTAACTGGAACTTTTGGATACATTGTATGGAGTGGAACTAAGATGTCATCGCACCTTTGAAGAAGAGCGCTGCAACCAGACTCAACTTTGGACTGGGGTTTCAATTTGCAATCTTTAAGGGTATGAAGGACGCCATCGTTCTCCAAATGGAAAAGGAAGTTAACGTATCTCGACATCTTCTTCGAATGTGCGAGAAGCATGGCGTTTAAGAAGACAATGATGGGACGAATAATGGATGAGTCGCCTTTGACTTCATTTGGATTGTCGGAAATCATTTTCGCGAGAATCTTGAAGCCTTTTGTGTTATTGCGCTCTAATTGATCAAACTCGTTAACCATTTCAGTAACATCCTTGGATTCGAGAACGAATGGTGTTACAATACTGATGATGAGGCCGAATGCTTTGGAGTCATTCGGGAGTATGGAATTAATCAAAAGTGAAGCGAGCTCGGTTTGTTTGACTAAAATTCTCGAGCCGTCATCGGTGTTCGCGATATCCTTGAAGCAGGATAAGATGTCGTTAAATTCTTCATTCTTCGATTCTGGTAATTTTTTGGTTTGCTTGATTGTTTGGTAGTATAATCTAAATTGCTCAATTAAAAAGAGATGACCATTGATTTTAAGAAATTGATCGGACCAGCTAGCCATTTCCTTACTTAAGTTTGTGTGAAGCTGCTTGAATCCTTCGGAGCATGGGTTAAATTTCAAATATTGGAGGAAACATTCGGGAGATGGAAGCATAGATGCATGCATCATTTGACCCATGTAGAATCCCCATTTCTTCTTGCAATCCCATTCCTTCATTTTTGGAATAGCTTCTTCAGGAAGATCTAATTCTGGTACTAAATTATCAAAAAGTTTTATAATTTCTGCATCGGAAGGTTTCGCCATCATTTCATCGAATTGGATGAAAGGCTTAAAATCTTTCACAGGGATTTGGAAACTAGAAGTCTGCATGTTTCCCTGCAATTAAAAAACCGTTCTCTGATTCAAAAATTGAGATTTACAAGTATATTCAATTTTGGGACTTTATGTTTGATTAACCTGGTATTTATTTTTCTGTTTGCATCTATTATTCGTATCAGACGATATAAAAATTACTTTTTCGGTTTTTTCTTTGACAAAGTTATTACTGTTACATCTTCCTTTCGTGGCAAAAATACAATTAAATTAATATAAAAAATAAACCTTTGAAAATTCAATTTTCCATATAAATCAATTGTCAAATTTATTTTCGCGCTGTTTTTGTGTGAACAAACTTTGAAATAACTACCACAGTATTTTTGACTTTTACAAAATTTTCATTCATATTTTTGCTTTGATAAATCAACTGCAAGAACAAGCTATATGGGTTATAGTACATTTAGAAGACTATATCATAGGACAACAGTATCAAAATGTAATAAACCAGTCATATTGATCAAGAGAAAAATACATTTTTTTGTAAAAGCATTGAAAAGCTTTATTTGTTAGTTAAAATGCATCTTTACTCAAGATATTCAGAAAATTCTCTGTTGCCAATTTATGTCGTTAATGTTCGATGAAAATGTTAATTTTTATATTCTGAATTTGAAAATATGAATTATAAGCTGACGACCAAAGTTAAAATTGAGAGGTGGAACGATTTTATGTAAAAAAACTCGATTATCAATTTTTTTATAAATTGAAAATTATATTTAGTACATCAAATTACGTGTATAACTTTTTACTTGGTCAGGATTTGATTGAATTTTTGATGAATTATGTTCTCAATTTTGTAAAGAATAATTTCCTCAAAATATCGATTTTAATTTTTATGATTATCATTTGTCGATATATTAGATGACTTGCATACATTCTGTAAATTACATTTAAATTAAGTAATTCGAATTTGAGTTGATGCAACAATTTCTAAAAACATGGTAGTTAACAATATCCTTTGAGATACAATATTGCATATCTGTGTCCAAGAAAAATATTATGAATTCACTGCAATAACTTCATTTAATTAATGACCAAAAAATATGACAAATTAAGGGTCCACTGTAAGGCCAAATAAGGCCTATCGTCGTCCCAAAAATATTGCTCAAGATGGTGTTTTTACTAAGGCCCAAAACTTAAAAAAACACAAAAAAATTAACTTTACTCTTTTGAGATCCTTATCAGATGTGCAACAATTTGATGCAGTATCGCAATTCGAATCCGATTTTTTAATGTAGATGTACTCTAACATTCTTGAAAAAATGCAAAATGATATTAATCAAGCTTTTCATTTCTGTATCATACACGAAACAAAATCATTCATTATACTAAAATTTATCAAAGTTTGAATAATGAAAAAAATAATATCTAAATTTTTACATTGAGTCGGCTATTGATATGGTCAATATTAAATCGTTTAAAAATGGGCATTGGCCAGAATAATACCCACTAAAATACACATTTTTTAAAATTTTATCAATTTGTTTTGGTATATCTTTATGATAATGAATAAAATGCTTATCTTTCATAAGTCAATACATAATTTATGCTGAAACACAAAAAATAACACGAAAATTTTTGGCCAACATTTCAAAACGAAGGATAATGCTTTGAATATATAAACAATAATATTTTGTCTAGAGAATTAAATTTGTGCTATCCAATTGTCAATTCTTTGAATTTTTTATAAAATGCACGATATTCCGGCATTAGCCTCAATAAATATAAACTACATGCATCACAATATTAGGATGTAATGGCATTAAAGCGAATTTCCTAATTTCTTCTCAATTAAATTCCTAGAAAAACTTAGGAATTAATGATTGGAAATAGGTCAAAAAAATTCCTAATATAAAATTTATACTTAAATTAAAATCAAAATTCGAAAATATCTATTTTTCAAAACACGCATCCAGAAGCGAAAAAATTCGAAAAAATCATGTTCTTATAAAACTCGCTGATTTTGCAATTTTTATGAGATTTGAAGTGATAGAATGTATTATCATCTTACTAAAACATATACTTTATTGTTACATTCACAAAATATTAATCAGAACACTAGGAAAAGTGGATTTTCGAAAAAAGACGATAACGATTATTTGCAAATCGCCTCTCAATTTTGAGAGACTTTCAATTTTTACAGTGGACCCTTAAAAACAAGAGGATCAAAGAATTTTTAACTTGGAAATGTTCATATCACATAGTGTACCTGAACATTTTTCTACTTAATTCATGTACAATCATAGATAATTTTAATATTCAATTTGATATGAAGGTTATACAGCCAAAAATGTCAAATAACATCCAAAGTATGAAACAATAAAAACAATACTTTAATAAACAAAACTAAACAAAAACTAATTATAAATAATCTACTCTTTCGTATCGTCAGGAACTTCTTCCATCATCTTCATACGCATCATCTTGATCTTTTCTATTGCGATTTCATGTTGCTCTTTCCTTTCCATTCTTTCTTCGTATAATTGGTTCATTCTTTGTTCTGTTTTTTCTGCTTTCTCCTGTCTTGCGTATTGTCTCTGGAGATTGATCATTCTGGCTTTCTCACTACCTAGTTTTCTCTTTTCCCAATCAACGGCAGCTCTCTTCTTCAATTCTTCGTTTCTCTTCTTTTGCAATTCCTCGCTTCTCTTGATAGCGTTGTTCTGCTTCTCTATACTTTCACTCATATGAGCTTTTGTTTCTTCTTCGATCTTTTGTTTCTGAGATAAAACAGATTGAGCTTTTTCTCGTAATTGTTCGTTCATCTTTTGATAGTTGCTTAATCTCAGTTCACTAATTGCTCGTTTCTTGTCAGCAACAGAATCTGTATGATTGATCGCGTCATTTAATTTTGATAACCTTTCAAGTTCAAGTCTTTGGCGGCGTTGACTAACTTCTTCTGATTTCTTTTCAAGTAATAAGTGCTTTTCTTTCAACATTTTTCGCATAGATCTTCTTTGTTCTTGAAGAATATTTTCAGATTTAGAAATTTTATTGTTAATTGAGTTAATCAATGAAATAACACTTTCTCTTTCTTTTTCTTCAAGCATTTGTTGCTTTTGAGCAAGTCTTGCGTCTTGTTCTTTAATTCTTGTAGAAATTTCTTTCATTTTATCGAGTTTTCTCTTTTGTGCAATTTGAATTGCATGGTTTTGCTTTTCGATGATTTGTTTTGCCTTTTCTCGCGCTTCATTTTCGATTTTTTCGCGATTTTGTAATAATTTCGAGTTTACTGAAGAATTATCTGATAAAGAATCTTTCCAAGGCTTTGGTTTCAACCTTCTGAGTGAATTATTTTGTTCTCTCATTTCAGCTTCTTCTTCAAATTTCTGTCTTTGTATTTCAGCAGCTAATTTCTGTTGCATTATCTCTTGTGTAAGTTTCTCGTATACTTCCTTTTCTCGTTTTTCTTGTTTTGCCCTTCGTTCCGCTAATTCTTGATTTCTTTGCTTTCTGTACTCTTTAATTCTTTTTGCAGCATCTTTATCTGATTCTTCGATCTTCTTTAATTGATTGTTCTTCTTACTAATATGTTCTTCTTTAGTACGCTTTAATACATTAATCTGTCTCTGTTGTTCTTTAATGATTTCTCCGTAATCTTTTCCTAATCGTTGTGCAGATGGTTTTGGTGGAGGATTTTCTTGTGCAAGAATGTTCTTTCTCTCTTCGATAATTTTCTGAAATGCGTTTTTCCTTCTTTCTTCCATTTCATTGATAATTCTTCTTCGGATATCTTCGGAACCAGGTATTCTGTCGATACTTTCACCTGATAATTGTACTAAATCTTGAGGTTGATAGCCTAGTTTCATCATGGCTTTGTTTGTGGCAGCCTCTGAGAATACCGGTATTAATTTACAATTATTAAAGTCTACCTCTTCAATACTCCGATATTTTTTGGATTTGTATGGCTCATAGACAACGTTGCTCACTTCAGTATTCTTGAAAAGAGGTTGGTTGCCTGCCAGTGAATCCATTATGCTTCGGAATTTTGCACGTTTTTGTAGATCATTCAATCTAAAATTTTGAATGGGTACTTCAATCTTTTACATCACCGCAATTGTTGAGTGATTTAATATATATAAATGGGTTGATGAGTCGCATCTACCATCAGTTGTGTAGCGATTAGAAAAGTAGTTATAGTTTTCTCACTTGAGAATCACCAATAATATGGGTTACGCATTCATAGTAAGTTTGAATTATGTATAAAATGACTAACCTGTTCAGGTATTTCATAATGAAATCAAAATTCCTTATCTTCAACATTTTTGGATTAAATATGGTGTAGCCATCTGATTGGAGTATTCTATACGTTAATGATAGTGTATTAAATTATAGATGCAATAGTTAATCCCTCAAACAGTATTTAAAAATCTGTGAATCTCTCCAATCACTGTTATATTTAGTATTCTGATCAATATATTAAGACATACATAAATCACCTTACTGTTTTGCATACTGGACAATATATATGCTGAATAAACAACAATATTCAAATGAGCAAAATTATCTAAAGCAGAAAAAGTATTCAATTGTAAAATAGCATCAACAAAAGTTTAATTTCATAGTGTATTTTAATCCAAACAAATATATACATCATTTTAGTAATATAACAAAGATTCTGCGCGTCCCCTTTGTGATTTTAGTATTTGAAGGACATTATCTAATTTATCGAATAGTTCTAAGTGTGAATCGTATCCAGTTGCCCGCAAATCTGCTTTGATTCCGATTACTTCTGAGATGAGTACTCGAATTTCATCGAGAACTGCATGCAATTCGTCATTAAGTGTATCATCTTGTTGCGTAACTTCAGGTTGTTCGCTAAAATAGTCCTGTGTTTTTGTAACTGTTGTATCTGAATATTGCATTTCTTCTAAAGCCTTTTTAAAGTCACTGTATAGTGAGCGTAATTCTTTTTGTCGATTAAGAAATGAAATTTCGCTGCTAGTTTCGTCAAATGCTGGTTTGTATGGACGCATTCGTTGAAAAATATTTTATGAAAATGATGTGAGCACATGAATTATTCTTTCCTTGTTGATAATGCTCATAGATTTTGTTAATAACATATGATCAATACGGAAAATCACAATTTGAAAATTTGATATTGAAGTCTTAAAAGTATAATAGCGACAATATTCAATGATGTAAGAGTAATTATGTATTGTGTATATGTAAAAAGATAATGAATAGTAAATTTACAACATTTAGTTTTGAAATTACATGTAAGAAGCAGCTGTTTGGGACTTCTATGTTCCGCAATTATCAAAATTTATATTTCCGTTCTGAAAACATGGCAATAGTTATAATCAATAAGCATATGTGGTCGAGGCTTTCCAGATTCCTTAGAAAGGCATTCTTTGCAGACATTGAACTTATGATTATTGATTTCATGAACGGAAACACACTTCTTGCAGAACCATTTTCTGCAAAATCCGCATTCAATTGGTTTAAGAGCCAAGTTGAAGGCTTTTCCGCACAGCATGCAGTCCTTGACATCATTTGATGGTGTTCTAACTGGTGCAAGAAGAGGTGGATTTTCACCAATATTAAGATCAATGACCAAATTCTCGCAAACCTCACAGAAATACTCTTGTCTCTTCATGTTGGGGAAGACAATTCTGTAGGAGTCGATTGATGTCATGAAATCAACGCCATGATCGTAAGGAGATGGAAGATCAACAGGAGTTGAAGAAATATTTGTAATTGGATAAAGTACTGGCGTAAGTATTGGCTTTGTTTGGTATCCAACAAGAACTGAGTCTGAAAACAGCCAAATCTTTATATCTACAACGCCTTTATCAGTAAAACACTTAAGTGTGTCATGGAACATCAAATAGTGTGGTTTTCCGAGTATTCTAATATCATGGAACTGAGAATCAAGTGGTTCGAGATCTTCTTTACCTTTCTGAATCAATAATTGAATGAATGGATCACACATTGGGGTAATCTGAATGTAGGCAGCGACTGCACCTGATCTGTCGGGATGTTCACGCGGTGTAACTTTAAGTAAATTCAAAAGTTGTAATCTATATCTTGGAATTCTTTCAACAGGAAGCCTGAGAAGCTCAAGAATTGTAAGGCCGATATTAGACTCGAAGTCTTTGATTGTTGGAGCTAAATTGGGATCTGAATCAAATTGAGCTCTCAAGGCTGTAATACCTGGTCCATAATCATTAGCATACTCAACGTAAGCCTTGAATAATGTTACTGTGCTATTAAAGCAATCACCAATCTTGCTCTGAGAGATGTCAGAAGCAATAGATGACTCAAGTAAAGTCAAAAAGTTGAGATTGAGTTTGTAGATTGGTGCGATTCTTCTGAAAAGATTTTCTATTTCATCAGGGAAAATATTGATCTTTTTGCTTTCACTTGCTTCTGCGAGAGCAACACGGATTTCGAAAATGAAATGGTATAAGTGTTGAACGTATTGCTTTTCAGCATTAAGGATTTTTGATATTGTTTGTGCACGGTTAGGTGCCCATTTGTCACCCTTTTCTGGATATGGAATATCAAGACGTGAGTTACTATCCGTCATTTTATATAAAATTTTATAAAATTACATTCCTATCAAATCAACTTCGGACATTTTGAGCTCATCTTGTATAACATTTAGAATCTTTATCCTATAAATGCAAGTTTTTTACATTCATTTAATGATAACTCAACATATTAATGAAGAATTAGGTTGTCTAATAATATACTGAATTATTATGGAGAGGCGGTATCGTATTGATTGAGTTGATGGTAAATGCAGCTGAAATCATTTCCAAAATCCATATGATGGTTAAGAATTTGGAGCGATATTAATTAAATGATCGGGATGCATAAGAATAGTTATCTGAAAGCAGCTTTAATAGATTTGCTTGGAAAACCAATATGTTACAAACATTATGCAAATTTTGAAAATAATCATTAGTATTTCAGTATAAGTGTGCTACAAATTACTAGATCATATGTATTCACTTAATATTTTGGCGTTATTAAGGTGTTTTACCATCCAATATAGTTTATTAAATATTAAAATCAAAGAAAAATAATACATTTGAAGTATGAATGTTGATTACTATCAGCAGGTATCTGATATCTCTCATAAATATTTCAATTCTCTATAATGAGTTCTGAAGGAGTTGGTGATAGTGAACTCGAAATGAGTTATAGAGAAGAAGAATCATTGATTTCAGATGATGTTCTTAAATCTGAGCAAGTTGAAGAACTTTTGCAAGGTTTATCCTTTAGAAATCCTGAAGATATTAAAATAGATTCATTATTACAAAATAGAAGTTATCCTCCAGTAGTTGATATGTTTCCATCTACAATTAAATTCGCACATACGTTTCCAAATGTTCCTTTAAGCCAAAAAATTACGTTATCAAATAATGGACGAGCAAGTGAGCATTTTAGAATATCGATATCAGGTGATAAAGTGTTTTCTATATCAGAAAGAGAAATTGAAATACCTGCAGGAACTACATATACGTTATTTATTACTTTTACACCGAAATCAATTGAATTATACAACGGATCCTTAATTATTGAAGGCCGTAAATCAATTGTTGCTCCAATTACTGGTCATTGTATTAACTCACCATTTGGATATCCTCCAATCAACTCAGAAGTATGGAATTTCCCACGAGAATCTACTCAACATGATTTACGATTTACTAATGATTCTGTTTCTTTAGAATTACCAGTTAAATTATCAGTTAATACAGATTTATTTTTGTTATCTGCAGAAGATTTTATCATACCGCCCAAAAAACAAGTTATGGTTTCTTTGCACTTTACACCTCATTCATCAATGTTAGATTTAGACCCAGTTTTATCAATTACTTGTGATGTTACAGGCGACAAAGTACAAATACCATTAAATATTGCACCACCACAGTCAAAGAAAATCCTTAACTTTGGTGTCGGAATTATTGGAAAACCTTTATTCCATGAAATTGAAACAACATCTGTCTATCAAATTCCAGCAGTACCGTGGCCATTTGCCTTTGAACAAGATTACTCTGATGAAACTTTAGCTGTCATTAGCTTTTCTTCTCCAAAAGCAGGAACTTTTTCAGGAACGATCGAATTATGTGGTATAGAATATCAATTAAACGCCACAGCTATCCCAGTTCCATATGAAATTACAATTCCTAGGAAGTTCCCCAAAGAACCATTTGCTTTTAAGAATATTTCAGGAAGTTATGCTGCATTTAATTTAAATCCTCTCTCATCAAATTATATTCTCAACATAAATAAGTTCGATTTACGTCCAAATCAAGTCATTGAAATTAATATGATATCTAAAACCCCATCAGACGAAGCCAGTTTAACAATTGAAATTAAATGCGAAATTAATGACAAAACAGTTACAGATAACTTTGCAATTCGTACAACAGGAGTTCCATCCTTCATCGATGTTTCTCAGAAATCCAAAATTACTGAAGCTGATGAAGCAGATCTCCTTGCAAGTAAGAGTGAGATACTTTCTCCTGGCCGTGCAAAGCCTGTTTCAATGATCAAATCTGTTACTGGTAGCATTTTATATGAAAAACAAAGCCAAAGATCAAAATTAAGTCAATCCAGCATTCTTTCTTCATCAATGATTGAAGAATCACCTGCGAAGACACCGGCTAAACTAGAGAACCATAATGAATCACCAAATAAGAACGAAAGTGGCTCATTAATTTCAAATGATAAAAATGTTAAAACAAAAACATCATTAATTGCATTTCCACAGATTTCTAAAGAAACTCCTGCATCTTATCAGCTTACTGTTAGCTGCCAATCTGAATTTGAACTTGAAGCTCCTTCTTGGATCCAAATTAATCAAGATCGCCTCGAAAGTGGCTCTCCAATTCTCATGGTCGCTGATTCATTGATGACATCTGCACTATTTTCATCAGTTTCAGTACGTCCGGATGATGGATCTCCATTAGATATTCCTGTAATCGCTTACAGAGGAAAAGCTAACTTTGTTTACGACGAAATTGCGGAATTTCAAGGTGGAAAAGTTACAGTCGAAGTGAGGAATGAAGGCACAAGAAGTGGATTCATTGCTATTTCACAAGCTGAAGAACCTGGCTTTGATTTAACAGTATCTCCTGTTTGTGCAGTTATCCCTGCAGGAGGAAGTAAAAAGTTCGATTTCTTTGCAGGAGAAAACGCTCCTGAAGAGTTCGAAGTAAGTGCACAGATATACACAGGCGATGAAATACTCAGACAGCTAAGAAATGCTGTTAAACCTGAAGGCTTCTTCTACACATTATTTGCTAAAACACGAGCTAAAGATGAATTGGCTCCTTTCAGAGGAAAAATCAAACTTTTGAGAACATCAAGTTTAGTTTCTTTGTTCAAGCAACATCTTGAGAGATCTTTATTGACTCTCAAGCGTGGAAATCCTCTTAAACAGAACTACGGAATTCTTCCATCAACTGTTGAATTGAATGGAAACACAAGTGGAAAATTCGCTATAACTAATTTCACTAAAAAAGCTGTTTCTTTCTCAGCTTTGCCGATGAAAGCAGCAATCATTGTTTCCCCAACAAGTGGAAGAATCAGTGCTCAATCAGATGCAACAATCACAGTAACAATGAGTGAACAAGGCCAAGGAGATATCGATGTAACTGTTGGAGAAGAAAAATTCACTGTTCAAGTTACTCAAAAGAACATGATTTATGATAAACCACCAACAGCATTCACTATTGGCAGTAAAGAATTGGATTTTGGATTGATGAATCAAGGCGAAAACAAGCAGCTTGAAATTCCAATTACTAACTTTACTAGCCAAAAGATAGTTGTTGATGTTGAATGTTTGGATGGAAAACATTCAGAAGATTTCGAGTTCGCTTCATCTATTTCTATTCCTGCTTTAAGTGAATCATCATTAGTTGTTGAATATACAGCAAGACACACGTCTTTGTCATCAGCTTTCCTCAAGTTATCTTTCAATGATACTGAATACAATGTTAAAATGTTTGGAAGAGCTTTCGTTGTCAGACAAACAGCATTGGAATTCCCACATGTAGGAGTTGGTGGATCAAAGATAGCGCGTGTTAAAGTAGCAAATAAGACTGATAGAATCGTTAGAGTTCTTTGTGATAGTTCTGCTCCTTTCTTCTTCGTAGAAAGAGATTTTATTATTGAACCAAAATCTTTCGTACTTTGTCCAGTGAAATTCAGCCCTGCTGTACCTGGAAAGTATGAAGGAACTGGTGAAATTCGAAGTGAGGCAGGTACATTAACACATATTGTTTTCTCTGGTATTTGTTACGAATAAAATGCATAACAATCTTTGTTATTTTTTATATTATTCAAATAAATTTTATAAATTTTGTTGGTTCTGTCTAGAGTTGATGACCATCATATACATGGTAATGATATATATGGTTGATATTAAAAAAAAATATTATAAATCAGAGTTAAAATTCATTTAAATAAAGAAAATGAATATCTTACGTATAGTTATAGCTGCAGGAATTGCTATATATCTAGAAAAGTTTCCAAAAAAATTATGAAAAAGAAAAAATATTTAAAATTTTCTTAGAAATTATAATCATTTTGATATTTTTTGAATATTTTTGGAAAAATTAAATCATGAGGTTAGATCATATTTTCAACAAGCTTCATTTTTACTTAAAACAATTATACAAAAAGGAAAATTTTTCAGAAATCATTTTTTCCACCCGATTAAAAGGCAAACAATAATACATTAATATGAAGTTTGATCATTTAACATGCATTTTATGGAAAGAACTCAAACACCTTATTTACTTCCATTTGATTCTTGATTTCACACAAACTAATACCGGTTATTTTTATGTAAAATAAAAGCCAACGTTTAATACATAAAAATACAAAACTTTTAGTTTGATTTTCGAAATAAAAAACAAATAAAATTTATTAACAAGCACATGCTTTCTTCTGTTCTGGCTCAACAGTAATTTTTATTTTAGCTTGCTTTTCCATCTCAATTGCTGTGAGCTTTTCTGTAATTGTTTTGAACATTTCTTGTACATTAGTTCCATTTGCAGCCGAAGTAGTAATAAACAGGCAATTATGCGCTTTAGCCCAATCCTCGTATTTCGTAGTATTAGCATCTGGCATCAAATCGAGTTTATTTCCGCATAATATACACACAGGAATTTGCCCTACGTCAAGTATAGTTTTCGTATACCATTCTTTAGCATTTTCGAATGTCATCTCATTTGTTAAATCAAATACAACAATTAAAGTGTTTGCAGCCCTTGCATACAAAGGAACTAAGCAATGGAATTTTTCGTGACCAGCTGTATCCCAAATATTTAAGACAACACGCTTTCCGTTCTTATTCATTGCTATTGGAAGGAAAGAAGCAGCAATTGTAGGTGGTTCATTCGTACTGAAATGGTCACTATAGAATCTGTTTATGATCGAAGTTTTACCGACATATCCATCACCTACGAGGACGACTTTGAATTCCATATCTGCACTGTTTTCAATGTCAAATGGATCTTCAAATGTCATCCAAATAAAAAATTGAAAAGTGACGGATTTGCAAACAAAAATGTCAATTTCTGGGCCAATATCAGAAAGGGCAACTGATGTTGTGACCAAACGGAAAATGGAAATTAAGAGCGATTTAATGAAGAATTCATCCAAATTTTCTCCACTCACCAATGAATGAAATTTTGTGATAGGTAAGCTCATTGACCAACTAACATTTCTTTTATGCAGCAATGAAGTCTATACTACTTATTAATCCGAAACATTCAAATCCGAAAACTCATCCATTTAACTCAAATAGAGAATCAGGCTGTGATATTCAGAAATCATATAGGCAATGAATTCAGCATCATTAAAAGGAGTTATTTGATCTGAAAGGATTGCGACAGAACTGACAAATTCGGTGATTTTACAATGTAAATTTAAGAAATGTCAAAGAAAAAAAATAAAGTCCGAAGATACAATTTTCAATTTTAGGAATAGTTCAAGAGGAAAAATGATAATGAGGGTGAAATTGTCACTTTTTTGAATTAAAAATGAATTTTGAGAATATTATTAATGTTTTTAATCCATATTTGACGTCTTCACTCATCAAATATGCTGTTAGACCAACAACAATATGGACTTTACGAAGTGATTCAACTCTTTTCGTATTTAAAAGATCAAATTTAAAAACCTTCTCAAAATTCCCATTTGATGGCCCAGATCCTTCACTGGCTAAAATATCAGTTGATGCTTTAGGCGAGAAATGCGTTATTTTCTGGGATAGACCGCCAATTTTATTCTTTTCGCTTGCAACTGGTGAATTTTCGATTATACAAGATATTAAAACATCGTTTTATCCGTCAGCAGCTTGCTGGATGCCAACAACAAATGGTAGCAGTGATATTCTCTTTGGTTCTATCACTGGCGAAATATTATCAATTTCATCAGACGAAAATCACGAAGTTAAATCACTTTATACAATGCCAAACGGACAACTAATCCGAGAACTACACAGTCATGTAAACGGAGACATGAAAATGATTTTTGTCAATATTGAAGAGCAAATTCTCACTTTTTACGGAACTAGTGATATTGAACAAATATTCCAGAAAGGGCCATCAAACAAGGTCATTGTTTTATTCGGAACAGAGCAACAGAACCCGAATTCGAAGAGAATTATCTTAGATACTTACGAGGGCAGTATTCGACTCTCAGTTCTTCATATGCTTGGTGTGATGTCATATGTGGCTCAAATGGATGGCAATAGACTCATAAATTACGATCAAAAAGTTTCAGAATTTGATATTACAAATGTTGTTGCAATAGAAACATGCCAATGGGGATTCCTTGTTGTATTTGATAAGAATATCCTCTTCTTTTACGAATCGAAGCCTAAAGCTTCACTTCCAATCTCAAATGTTCGACATATCTCTTGCGACAACATCGGATTGGTTCTTTTTACTGATGAAGAGATTATTACCATCTCAACCAAGTCATTCCTTCACTACATTGTCCATGATGCGGTCAAACATAAGTTATTCGACTACGCTTTGTATCTTTCTCAAAACGATTCGATCAGATTTTACGTTCTCAAAAAGCAAATTGAGAAGATGTTCCCTGAAAAAGTCGGAAAATACTTAATTAGTCTTAAATGGTCAATTAACGATATTGTTAAAGCAGTTGGCCTTGATTCCACAGCAACTCTCGCTTATTTAACAGAATACATTGTAAATTTACCAAAAACAATGAAAAAGCAGAGATTTGCGATGATTAATTGGGCATTTCAGCTCCATTCCAAGTTCTATCCACAAATGGAGCAACAGTTCATCAAATTCTTGCAGGATTACGGCCAAGAAATGCCAAAAGAAGAGATTTACCACGTTTTGGACGAAATTAATTTCCAAAATGGAATTATTGAATTTGCAAAAGTGATTAATGACGAACAGAAGATCATTAACCAGATTATAGCATACAAGGACATTAACGACGTCCTTAATTACTTAGCTTCCATTAATAATTCCAAATTAATTTCATTAACTCTCCAAAGATTAATAGAGACAAGAAAGAAGGAGGTCATCGACTTCCTTAATAACAACTACTTGAAGATAGTTACAGAAGACCAGTTACCACTCGTTTCTTTAGTTCCAGAAACAGCTTCTCAAATTTTCAATGAGTTCACAACCGACAAAACCGCCAGAACTATGATGATGATTTCCATGTGCATGAACCATTTAGACGATCGCATTATACAGCTTCTTTCCCGATCAAAAACCGATTTTCCATTTCTTTACAGATTTTCAAATTATTTCGAGTGCCACCAAGCAGTTTCGAGGATTCTAATCAGACTGCATAAGCCCAAACAGGCTGTAAGAGTGGCATTGAAGTTCGGAAGCTCATCAGTTCATAATTTCCTCGCATCAATTAAAGATACCGAGACACAAAAGGACGCATGGACCGAATACGTCAACAACATCAAAGGCGAAGAACGAGATCGCGCAATCAACCGTTTAATTGCTACAAATCTCTTCACTTTTGAAGAATTAATTGACGTAATCGGAGATGACTCATTCCTTTACGAATACGCCGACGAGATGTTGCAAGCAGTCAAGAAGATGGAGAAGGATGCAGAGACAATTTACTACAGAACTCACTTCCACCAGGTGAGAGCTCCAGATTTCCCGATTTCTTACGCTGAAACTTGCCGTTTCTGCTCTTTGCCGCTGCTTGGAACAAAGTTCGTCGCGTTCCCCTGCGGACACGTGATGCACAAGGAGTGTTTGCACAAAATGGTCGATGAAGTAAGGAAACATCACCCAGATGACGAAATTGGCGACATGGAATCGTGTCCGATTTGCGGAATTATAAGTGTAGAGACGGTTTTGCAACCATTCTAGTCTGATGTATTTGTTTTAATAAAGTTTTGATATATTTCTGTTTTTTTGATAAATATAATTTCAAATTTAATCAATATCTGTATATAATCAAGCTAAAAATCATTACATTGCCTTTCTATGCTATTCAATATAACAAGATTATGATAAAAACTAAATTATCATTGAATTTCATTGATAAATATTTGAATTTCAAAGATTTTATTGCATAATTCTGTCTAATGCTTTAGTATACTCTAGATATATTATTGCATAACTATGTTCAATCATATCAAGAGTAATCACTTAGATATCTCAAAACGCAAACAGTTAAGATAAATTGATGTAGAAATAGACTCAAGATACGACAAGACTTGAGATTTTGATATGAAATCTTGGAGATTCTATAGACCACGCATAAAAATGTGGATTTGATAAAAAAAAATTTTTTTAAGAAATTTTTTTGTAAGGATAAAATGGATTCAAATAACAGCTCAAAAGACTCACCTCCCGATGAAATAATAGCATCATTAACTCCAAAGATACTATATAATTACGAATTTGATAATATTGTACAAGGATTTTACGTAATGGGACCTGATCCGTTAGATTTAAAATCAAAGCCAAAAATTTTATACTCGTGTCCATCAAATTGTCCAGAAGATATATTACTTTCATATTGTTTTCCTTCAGAGGCTAATGATACATCTATATTAAATGATCCTGAGAAATTTATTCAACACACTATCACAGAACCAATCCAGAGAGAAATGCAATTCTTTGTAATATACTGTCCTTATGCAAAATTCGCTCCTTATTTCTTTTGCTGCAAATATCGCGCAAATTTATTTAATATGCCAACATTCTCGCATAATTTAAGTTTTGATCAAATGTTTGAGTATTCACAACTTACAAATTTACCAACTTTCGATATTTGTCTTGCAATTCGAGTTCATCAGCCAAATCACGACTTATTCTTAGGTTTATTAGAATGGATATTACGTTGTGAAAGCTTTGGAAGAGCTCAAGCAATCACAACTTTCATGGAAAATTATTCGAATATTAAAGACTACGAATCAACGAAAAAACAGTTTCCAGTATCAGATGCATGGCCAGAAGAACACAGAAAATCGATGTTTACCTTAATTAATAAACTATTTAGGACAAAATTTACTCAATCGACAGAAAACTTTGATTTCTCACACGAATCATTCCCAAAGCTTCAGTGGTCAAGACAGTACTTCGGACGTCAAGATTACCAACTAACTGTCTTCTCTCTTAACGGAGTTTTGAAAATTTTGTCAATTGACACTTTTTTGACATTTTTGACTTCACTTTTACTTGAAAAACGCATTATTATATCCTCCTCTAACATCACAAGTGTTTCTTTAATCATTCTTGCAGCCAATTTGATGATTTATCCACTTAAACTTTCAGTTCCAACATTTTCAGTTATTCCAATTTCAAAATTCGAAAAATTGAAGGAAAAGAAGAGTTTTGTTGTCGGAATAACAGAGGAACTAACAGATATACCTGATGATTGTTTGTATATTAATGTACATGGTGAAGAATCATCAATGAAATCATCATTTTCAGAAGAAATTCCAAAATTGCCAGAAATTGAAAAAATCAAACAAAATTTGGAAGACAATTTGTGGTTTGACGCAGATAAGAAGAGGAATGTCGCGTGCGCACAGTTATTAGACTTCTTGACTGGATATATTCGCGGAATTTTGATGCCAGTTGAAGATTGTTTTGACGAAAATTTCGATTTTGAATTAGAAACTTTTGAATCTTTCTTCATGGAAGAATCGAAACCATTCATTGATTCATTGATTAAGACAAAGATATTCAAGAACTATGTTGATTATATGAAGAATATCCAATCATCTTGTTTTTGAAAAAAAAAGGAATAAAATGTTTTTTAATTTTTCTAAAATATTTATAACAAAATTTATTTATATTTACTTTATGCTAAAGCAGCAATTCTTTTTGGTTTTTCTTCGGCTTCTTCTTCCTCTTCAGGAACTTGATCTTCATTATTTTGATTTTCGACTTCTTCTTCAACTTCTTTCTCTTCTGTCTTTGGTTTCTCTTCATTTGAATTTGCTTCAACTTCAGGATATTCCATCTGTTGTTGATTTTCTTCTGTTTGTTGATTTTGTTCAGTTGGTTTTTGTTGTTCAACTTCATTAGAAACTACTTCATTTTGTTGTTGATTTTCTTCTTTCTTTTGCTGTTCAACATTTTCATTATCTTCAGAAGATTTTTGTTCATTAACAACTTCTTCTTTCTTCTCTTCTTTTTGTTCGACATTTTCAACTTGTTTTTGATCTGCGTTTTCTGCTGATTTTTGTTCAACAATTTCAGTTGATTTTTGTTTATCACTTTCTTCTTTTTGTTCAATTAATACATCTTTCTTTTCTTCTTTTTGTTGAACATTTTCAGTTGATTTTTGTTGAATTTCTTCTTCATCTTTAGTCATCAAAGCCAATCTCAAAGCCTGTTTCAAGTCAGTTCTTCTTACAACCAAATTCAGAGCTTCTTTATGAGCTTTTAGTTTCAAATTCTGTTCAGCCAACATAATTGTTGCAGCGACATTTCCTTCGAATCTAGATCTCTTGTAAATTCCGTAAAGAGCAGCCACAACTTCGTGGAAAGGTCCAAATGGAATGAAACTCTGCGAAATCATTGCAGTTGCGTAAACAGCAGGGAAGTTTGCAGTCAAAAACATTGCCCACAATTCTACAGCTCTTGGAGTCATTCTTTGGAAATCATTTCTCAAGAAATTACTCATGCATTGCGAAACAATTGTTTGCTGCTTAATAATATCTTCTCCTCTTATTGCCTCTTGCAAGAAAAAGAGTCCGTAATTCAACATTCCGTTCATTGCAAAAAGAGAACAACCGAAACTGAAAACAACTTTATATTGTTGCGAATCTCTTGGAAATGTCGAAATAAAACTCGGATACAAAGTGGAATAAGAAGGATGATGAGGATTTGCAGGATCAACCGGCATTATCAGTTTGGCAATTATCTGTTTGCATTCAGGCAAATCAATTCTATGAATCATTTTTGTCAAAAATCTGACATTTTCAGAATACAAAATTGGATTAAATGTTTTCTCCAAAATGAACTGAGAATGAACTAAACTTGGAAGTAATAAATCATTTGACTGTTGTGTCTTATTTGACAATGCTGTTTGGCCGGCCAATCTCAAACCGTTTATCATTAAAGAAGGAATTCTGGAGTTCAACACGTATTTGACTCTTTCTGTGATCTGAGGAAGGTATTCCGTTGGCAATCTTCTGTTCAAACAAATTAATAATATATATGTAGAATAATCTGAAAAAGTGACGGTTCTTAAAAGTGACATACATAATTTGTACAATTCATCGTTATTCAGTTTGAAAACCAATGCCAAAATGACTCTAGAAGCTTCTCCGACAGGTGGATTCATCGCATGATAAATGTCTAAAAATTGGTCGGCGGTTTCTATCGGAATTTCATTTGATTGTTGAATAATCGTCGCCAATAACCTTAAACCAATTATTAATCTTTTTGGTTTGTTTGCTTCGAAGCAGAGTCTTATTGCCAGAGCCATTAGTCTTGTTGTATCAAACCTGACGTTTTGAATTGCGACCAAAACATTCATAATTTGTTTTTTCTTGATTTTGTCAGAATTTAACAATTTTTCGAGTTCTTTCGATCCATGTTTTCTCAAACTCATCAATGCGGCTTCCTTCCACTCTGTCTGGACAAGATCAAGTGGGTTCTTAAGACGTTCCGGTTTGTGTTTAGACACCCATTTAGAAACAGTTTCTTTCATTGAATCAGGAATTTTGACATCAACGTATTCGCAACCGAAACCATCCAATTTTCTCATTGCCATGTTCATGTCTGTTTCGCTTTCACTGAATGCGGCTCTGACAAACTCTTGGAGAGCTGTTTCTTGGTCAGATATCTCAATTTTCTGGAGAATTTTCGGTTGTTCGACCAAATTTTGTCTTTTTATTGGCGGAATTGATTTCAAGTTCTTTACTGCTTCAGGAGCAACGGATTCGAATGCGTCTAACACATTGGCGAACTGTGTATTCAACTGAGCAAGGAAATTAGTTTGATTGATTATATCACAATTTTTGACAAATTCACAAACATCTGAAAAACTGTCATAAAAAAGTGACAAAAGGAACAAAGCGAAATTTGACGCTACAGGAATAGGAATTTGTATTTTGTTTCTCATCATGTGTTGTACATTTGAATGAACAATTTTTGTCAGTTCTGCGTATTTTGGATCTGTTGACAGTTTCCTGTCTTTTAGAAAGATAATACACATTGCTTCATAAACATAAGGAGAAGAAATTCTGGAAATAGGAGCATAGAATTGGTTTAAGAACGCGTTCTTCGGCTTAGGAGGTAATTCTTGCCAATACTTCGCAAGAAATGAGAAAAACTCCGATGGGAAATACTGTGGACTTGTAAACATTTCTATGATAATTCTTTCAGTACCAAAAATATTGTAATTCGAGTTATAAAAGAATTTCATGGCATTCAATGCAGGACGAATTATTTTGTCGGGTTTTCTGCCTAATGTTATGTCAGTGTCATAGTTTTCTATAGCATTTGCGGCGATTTGATGTAATTTTGCTTGTAATTCGTCCGAAATCATGGGCAAAGTAGTGTCTCTAGCACCAGTGATGGTTCGGATGTATCCAAGTTCTAAACCAAATGCTAAAACTAATGCCATTCGACGTTGGACTTTGAATAATGAGAGACAAGTGAAAATTTCACTCATTATATAAGCGGAATCGGTATAGAACTCGAGAGCTTCTAATAATATGGCTGCTGCTGTGGTACTGCGCTCTCCTAACTTAGGTTCAGCGATTAATAATTTCTTCAATACATGTGCACCGCGAAGTGTTGAGAAACTATCGAAAACATCCATCCTATCGAGTATTGCATCCATCAGATAGTCCATATTCAGTGGAGAAACAATCTTTGTGAGGGTTTTGATCACTTGTTTTGATAATTTATCTGATTTGTCAAAACAGAAATCGGCAACCCGTTTACAAATGTCCCTGATCATACATTTAGGGATCAAAGTGAAGTCAAGTCTCTCAATTGCGGACAATATGTCAATACCATGCATCCAAGAAGAGACAGGACCCAATAGAGCTCTCTGTAATAATGGTAGATTGAAGGTTATCCTGTTAATGAAGTAGCCAAGGCTTTGTGTAGCTTCTGTTGCGATAAATCCGTTTTCGCTTTGGATATATTTTTCGAAAATCTGCATGATTGGTATCACATCTGGACATTCTGCAACAATTGAGGCTTGTCTGGCCAATGATTTCAACTTCGCCGCAATAATTTGATTCGAATCTCCTTCTTGAGGGAGAAGATACCCTATTGGCAGCGGCAATGTGTAGAAAGAAGGACTATCCATATATAATTCCGTATTAATTAAGGCAGAATCTGTTGATTTATCGTTAGAAATCTTAATTTCCAAATATTGATCTTTTTTCTCAACTTTTACCTCATAAGAAGGTGTAGATAAGCCGAGAATCTGTAATGCGCTGTCAATGGCAGATGGAGAAGTATTCTGCTGGAAATTCAACATTTCAATCGCGGCAGAAGCGGCAGGATAAAGATCTACGGAGTGTTCTGTACCAATAACGCTAATTATGTATGAAATCAATGGTAAGTGATGCGATAACTCTGATTCTACGAATAATTTTTCGAAAGTATATTTCAAAAACTTTTCTGGTTTACGGGAAATGATAGCAACAATCGACGAAGATATATGCTGGTTCGCATAATTTGCTATTTTGTATATGAATGTACGCAATAATCGCTTGAAAAACTTATCAGGAAGTGGACCTAAGTTTTTAATGATCCTCGCTATGTTTTCTGATGGCATATTGTCGATATTGGCGAATTGGTCGAGAACAGGAACTGTTTCAACAAAATCGGCCAGTGACTTTGGGCTCATATGATGAGAAAGTATCATAAACATTGAGACAAGGAATGCAGATCTGTTAGGATTCTTGTTACCAAGGTAGAAAAGCTCTGCGAATGCCTTAGTAAATCCAGCTGAGTATTCAGGAAGGATATTGAATAAAAATGCACCGCATGCCTTTAAAGTTGCCGATTTTATCTCTGTGTATTTTGAATCACAGTGTGCGTACAATGCAGTGGTAACAACAGCGAAGAGTTTTGCACGATTTACATCATCTACTGAAACTAAATTATACTTAACATCAAATCTAATAATACGGAGAACCTCAAGTATGTTCTCCGGTGATGTGTTGGGATCCGAAATGGATCTAACTCGATTGAGCACACCTATAATATCCATTTCACTTATGTAGATCTGAAAATTTTGTGGGGGAAGTTCAAAATTTCGCTGTGTATTCTGATCCATAAATAGAAAGATAAGAACTAAACTATTTTCAATTGTGTGAGCTAAGAACATTTTGAATATACAATTGATTTCTCTCTAATTTTGAAATTTGGAATTTTGGAAAATATCAGATTTTTACCTTATATTTCTTGATTTTTAAATCAATTTTTGGAACAAATGATTATTTTCTTATAGCAGATTAGTTATATCAGGGGTAGTTATGAATAATGAAAAAAATAATCGTCTTTCGACGAAAAATGAAAATAATCGTCAAAATCACGACGATAGAGGGTGAGATTTCCAAATATTGGTTTTTACAAGGAATGAATATATCCTCAGATCAGAACTCATCTAGGATGAGGTATTTATTAAGTTTGTTCATAGATGTATTTCTTATATAAAATCATAATTATGAGATATATGTGATAGATCTATTATTGTTTGGAATCTTACAAAACTCATTATATAAGTTGTATTTCTATATCAGAAAATCCAATAATATAGTAAGATATCTATTTTTCAAATAATTTTCATTAAGAAGAAGTGTAAATAGAATGCGAGCATCATAATCTTAAACTACATATGAAAGATAAATATATTGTTATGAAAAAAAGGTTGAAAAATGAAATCAAAAATATAAATAAATTTTTATTCATAAAAAGTTAAGAAAGTATAAGGAGGATATTTCTTGCCCATGGTGATGACATATGTCATTGATGTAAGTATGTTTTCGACTAAATTCATAATCAAAATTTGTGTAAGTCACATTTTTTAAAGTAAGTGATTGTGGAAATGATTCTCCAGTATAAGATGAGTATTAAATTGCTTGAGATTTAGAATAATTTTAAATCAAATATACGATTTGTGAAAAAGCCTTTACATGCGAGTTATGCTTGTAGATCTGAGTTTTAAGCATTTTTGTATAACTAATTTCGTGAAAAATTCGATTTTCGAAAAAAAATATTATTTAAATTATCGTAATGGTTGGATTTTAAGTGTAGGATTCGCGCTTCATTAAGTTTGTAATTATGTGGCGGATGATTTATGAGTTTGTATGCTTAAAAAAAAAATCGTTTCTAAGTCAGAGATATGTATTACAATGGATTAACCAAGAGTGGGCATTGAATATATTTTGCATTGCATTAATATTTAATGCATATATCCCCGTCTTTGGAAATCAATGAATACGTTAGAAACCTGAAACGAGATATAATGGATAAATATGAATAAAAATCAGTATTTATTGATGATGTAAAAGCAAAATCTATCAGTGATATTTGCTATTTTCATAAAAGTGTAGAGAATATTGCATAATATTTTCTTTTTATCTAAAAATAAGAGAAACGGTGATTAAATCGGCATAAAAAGAGAATTCTATGTGTTATAAAATGAAAATGGCGATGATAATTTTCCAAAATTTTTTCAAAAAATAAAATAACAATTAAAAATCACACAAAAAATTCTTCAAAATTGAATTTTCGAATTTATTTTGGAATTTTATAGAACGTTGATTAGAATTATTTTTTAATGTTAATACATATACTCCCGAAATTAATTAGAAAACTGATTAAATTTCGAAATAAAATTTGATAAAAAATAGTATTTAAGAGATAACAACTAGCCAAACTAATGACAAATTGATAGTAGTAACTGTATTCTCTAATGAATTAATCAGATATTCTGCACAATTTTGGGAGTATTTCAAATGACTACCAATTTGAATGTCAATTCAGACCAAAATAGTTCTTTTTTATCGAATTCTTACTTAATTGATGAAATGTACTTTTATATTAACCATATTCGGATAAATTGTTAAAATATTAAATCTATTAGCTTCAGAATTCAAACATATATATGGTAAATAGAACCACACAAGAAAAGAAACATGTTTCAGATACATTTTATTTATTCTTTTCTCAATATTTAAATTTTCTGATTAAATGTCTTTTTTTCTATATTTGATGAAACCATTACTTATTATATCTTTTATAAATGCAAAAGGTAATAGTATTTTAATGAATTGCTATGAATTTTTTTACAAATTTTTAATCTTATGTGAATATAGCACATAAATATCAATAAATGATATTTCACATCATGGAAATGATAATTGCGCCTTTAAAAATAGATATTTTATTCATTTGATATCAAATTATTGTATTTCATGGCATTATCACAATTTCACATTGAATTTGATAGTTCCTATATCTGCTAAAAAAAGAATATAGATTGGCACAAAAAACACGCTGTTTAATTTTTTTACAAATCAATTGGAATTGTTGATACATTTTCACACAATAACACAGTTATATTCATATTGTCCACATATGAAACTATCTTGCACATTACTTATTTATGTCCAAATACTAGGATATCATATTAAATCTTTTATTTAATATAACAAAAAAACACAAGATAGTACTTTGACTATATGAATGAATTACCCATCCAATACTTTAATTGTTCCTAAAGGAACATTGCAAAAAATTTAACTCTATTATTGATTTTCCTGCGTTTCAAGCTCTATCGTCGTGATTTTGACGATTATTTTCATTTTTCGTCGAAAGACGATTATTTTTTTCATTATTCATAACTGCCCGTTATATCAGAGTTCTGAACTGATTTTTTACGGGCGAGCAGCTATCCCAAAATGAGATAAAACATTCTACATTTGGTTGAAAAAAAAAAAAAAAAAAAAAAAAAAAAAAAAAAAAAAAGGTAGTGGGGCTTCCAGGCACTTCGTGCCTTCTAGCCCTGAAGATGTTTAGTATAAATGAAGTTTTTATTCGGAGGGCTTCCAGCCCTAAGAATTTTTCCCAAGACCCAAGAGGAGGACCGAACCCCAGCCGACCAGCCGTTGACTTTTTTGTCATGATTTCATCGTAAATGTTTTGTCATGATTTCATCGTAAATGTTTTGTCAAGACTTCTTCGTAATGAGCGTAAATGACCCAAAAATAATGTTTATGTTAGAATGTTAGATCTAACACGTTTTCTAACATGTTTTCTAACATCGTAGAAAACTCATGATTTCTTCGTAAATGTTTTGTCGAAACTTCTTCATCGTAAATGTTTTGTCATGATTTCTTCGTAAATGTTTTGTCGAAACTTCTTCATCGTAAATGTTTTGTCATGAATTTCTTCGTAAATGTTTTGTCGAAACTTCTTCATCGTAAATGTTTTGTCATGAATTTCATCGTAAATGTTTTGTCAAGACTTCATCGTAAATGTTTTGTCAAGACTTCTTCGTAAATGTTTTGTCAAACATGAACGTAAATGTTTTGTCAAGACTTCTTCGTAATGAGCGTAAATGACCCAAAAATATATTTTATGTTAGAATGTTAGATCTAACACGTTTTCTAACATGTTTTCTAACATCGTAGAAAACTCATGATTTCTTCGTAAATGTTTTGTCGAAACTTCTTCATCGTATATGTTTTGTCAAGACTTCTTCGTAATGAGCGTAAAGGACCCAAAAATATAATTTAGGGTAGAAGGTTAGATCTAACATTCTAACATAAACATTATTTTTTGGTGTAAATTTCATGATTTTCAAGAGTTTTCTACGATGTTAGAAAACATGTTAGAAAACATGTTAGATCTAACATTCTAACATAAAATATATTTTTGGTGTAAATTTCATGAAAATTCAAGAGGGTAGAAAACTCATGATTTCATCGTACATGTTTTGTCATGACTTCTTCATCGTAAATGTTTTTTACTTCACTTAAAATGCCACGTAAGCTACGTAAGAATATACGTAAGAGGAAGAGAGCATTGAAACATCCAATAGTAAGACTAACACCACAACAACAGTTGCAACAACAAATTATGAATGACCCCACTATGTTGCAACAAATGTCAAGCAACCCTATGCTTTTAAACCGAGTTATTGGTGCACAGAGTGGAGGTTTAAGAGCGGCACTTTTAGCGAAAATGGCAGGCTATGGTGGAGCTGCAGACGGAACAGCCTATAACCCTCAAAGTCAAATGAATTTGAGTTCACTCAAAAATCAAATAGCAGATGTCAAAAAGTCAAACATAGACATACAGAAAAAATAAGTGAAAACGAAAGAAACTAGAATATGACAGACACACAAAGAAACTCAATGAGTTAAACGTAGAGAAAAAGAAGAAAGAAGAACAACTGAAAGAACTAAGTACAGAGGAATATGCGAAAAAAGTGTCAGAAAAAGCAGCAGAAGTAGCAAAAATGGAACAAGATGTCATAAATTTGAAAAACCATACTACTCGATATAAAGTACTGAAAGATGAAGAGATAAAACAAAAAGCCCTGAAGACATATATGGATAGCGATGAGTATAAAAAAGAAGTTGAAGCAAATGTAAAGGCAGAAAAACTTTTACAGTTGCAAAACCAAACCGTACAGTATGAAAACTTAGCACAAGAAAGTAAAAATAACGACGCAGCCATGCAAAAGGCAATGAAAAGCGCAGAATATATAAAAGCTAACAATGACTGGGTAGATGCCCAAGCCAACGCTAAAGCAGCCCAACTCATAGGGTCAATAAGGACAAAAATACAAGCGGATGAAGATAGTTCAAATGAAGCTTTAACAAATGCTGACTTTAAGAACGCTTTCGAAGCTCTTCATAGTAAGGTGAAACAAGTGAACGATTTCTCATCTGGAAAGAAACTGAAGTCTGAAGGTTTCGACAACGAGTTAAGAGAAGTAGCACAAAATATGACGAAAATAACAGATGCAGCAACGAGACAGGCAGTTCAAAGTGCCTATGACGCCGTTAGAGCAACTGTTGTGAAAAGTCAAGAAAAAGAGTTACAACAGACCAAAACAGACCTAGTAAATGCTTTCTTAAGAACGAAAAGTCAGGTAGGACATTACGCTGCAGATGGAACATATGTGCCAGCTGGTGGAACTTATATACCACCAAACCCTCCAAGAGAAGCACCTGCACCAGGACTACCTAAAACATTTACATCGTCACATGGACATAGACACAGGCATGCACCAAAACCAACACAACAACCAACACAACAACCAGCACAACAACCAACACAACAACCAGCACAGCAACCAACAGTTCAAAACCCTGCACAACAACAACCACAAACAGAGCAAGGACATAAAAGAAGTAGAGAACAAGGAAACCAAGAATTCTTAAAAATGCTTAAAGAAGAGTGTGGTTTCCCAGATACTGTTGACTTTAGTGACAGATATAAAGAAGCTATTAGAAAGTTCAAGGATGGAAATACTGACCCGAACCTATTTAGCTTTATGGCTCAGCACCAAAACGGATATAATCTCAAACCTGGAAAATACAAGCTCGCTAAGGGATATGATTTAATAGCATATCATCCAAATGACATGGATGAATTTACTCCGAGATATTTGATGTCAGAGCTAAATGACAATTCAACTTTCGTCATGAAACGCGTAAAAAATAGAGACGGAACGAAAGAACAAAAGCTTATGAATGCGGATGACGTAGATAGGGAAATTGTTGAAAACGGTCTCGGAATATATGAAATGCCAGCAGATGAGGTACAAGAAACTCCACAGGAAGAAGTTCAGATACAACCAGACATGGAAGAAATAGTTCAGCAACAACAGCTAGAAGAGCCTGAAGGAAACGAACAAGTCCTTCCTTTGGAAACTAACCTCACAGAACTAGATGAAGATTTGGAACAGCCGAAAAATCTTGACCCTCAACAAGAGTATGCGGAGAATATGGAATATTTCCAAGAGTCTAAAAAAAATTCGGCTGACATAGTAGAAGAATATCGAAAAATGTTTGCCGACATACAAAAGACTCCAACATCAGATGAAAATATCCAGCATAGAATGGAAGAACTGAAAAAAAATGTACACAAATACAACAACCCTTTTTACTTACGAGCATTTAACGTTCAATCTTCGGATGAACTCGGTGAAAATAAAAGGTTAAATTTCAAGAAAACATATAGAAATGAAACATTGTTTAAAGTTCATTCAGAACCTAACCAAGATGGAAACAAACCTACTTTTGTTTCTGCAGACGATGGAACTACAATGAGATGGGGTCATAAAGCTAATCCAGATAGGTGGTTCATAAACTTACAACCACAATTCCAAGAAGTTGTAGACGCAATGGAAGTCAATGGTGAACCAGATATAGCTGGTATTTTCAGCGCGGCTTTAATGCCATTGAAAGATATGAAAGATGCAGATATTTTGAACCAGTATGAAATGAACATGGCTGATGGAAATATAACACCTGACGTTCTAGAACATTTATCTCAAAGAACTACACAGAACCATAGAGATGGTATATTTGGTGAAGAGTTTAGAAAGAAGTTAGGGAGGGAGAAGGAAGAGAACCTATTGTACATGACCTTGCAAATGAAAGTTTACAAAATGTCATAAAAACTTACTTTGCAGACAATGAAATGAGAAGGGATGAATATTTAAGAAAACTCAAATGGACAGTACCAAATGAAATGTTAGTATTGAAAAAACATGTTCCTTGACAAAATAAAACCAACTACAGAAATAAACGACGCAAGACTGAAAGATTGGGTAAAAGCTTTCCCATTCACAAAAGATATTGTTGGTAACATGGAAAGAAAACCAGAATGGCTACAAAAACATATATTTGGAAACGAGCATATTCCATATGGACAGGCACTGTTTGAAGAGCTTGAACCAGAAACTCAGGACAGAGTCATGCAAACAATAAGCGACGACTCAAATACAAACTATGACAAACTCTTTCTAGGATATAGGTTACCTGAGATGGGCGACCAGAGCCCAAAGGCAAAAAGGACATGGGAAATTTGCAACATACTAGATGAACATAATGCAAAGATGCAACAACTTCAAGCAGAGGGCAATGAAGGAAAAAGAAGAGTTAAAAACTCAGTCAGGAAGAAAGTAAAGCTTGGTCCACGTGGGTTCTATTATGACATATAAATCCAACTATTCTATATTTTTACTCATATGAAATGTACGCCGCTCAGAATATAACGCCAACAGTTTTGGATGCCATGAATGGAAATGTTTCCGAATGGTATAACGAATGCGACAATGCCATTAGAAGGTCAGAAATAGTTCCTGGAACTTACGAATATACAACTGCTGTTTCTTATGGAAACGTAGGTGAGTTTGGAGAAGGTTCTTCAACAACAGTAGATATTGCTTGCGACAGGTTTCATATAATTTCTATTGACAACTCTTTCTTATACGTGGAACAAGACATTGAAATAAAACCTTCTGCCAAGTTGTCTGACAAGAAAGGTTGCAATGGAATTTTCTATGTCGGATACCAATATGCTCCAGAAGTTTTCATGGGATATAAGATATATTCTAACTCTGACTTAGTTCAAACAGTAACATGGGCAAACTATGAATGGTTCGCTTTGAGAAACTCAGTACAACCACAAGCTAGAGAACAAACAGACCAGTATGCAACTATTGAGAAAATAAGAAGACTTGACCCTAACGTTCCAGGAGTTTATGTTAACCTTTCTGGACAAACTGCAGCAGCAGTAACCAAAGTAAAACTGAAACTTAGAGTTCCTTTGTCATCTTTCCTCATCTTCAGGTTTTTAAGATACTTGCCAAACTGGGCAGGAAAAATTTCTATCGAACTTACTCCAAGCAAAAATAACTTAGTCATTGCACCAACACAAGACCCATTCACTCTTACAGACGTAAAGGGAGCAAATCAAACGTCATTCGCCGAATTTTGCAAAGACAAAGTTGACTTAGACTTTGGTTTCTCAAACCTCAACACTGAAGTAAACTACTACTTCAATGCTGCTGGAACTGCTTGGGACCCAGTTAAGTTCACATGCGAAAAGTTTGAATGCAAGAGAATAGAAAGCAGACTTGCAGTCTATATGTTGGACCCAGATATTTCAAATGCTTTAGCTGCCAAATATATTGCAGTTCCACTTATGTTCCCTATACACCAAATATCTGTCAAAGACTTTGCAGGTGAAGTTGGAAACCAAAGTGCTGACCCAGGTGCAAGAACAGATATTGCTTTAACAACTGCAATGAAACATGCAGATACTATGTTTGTACTGTTCAGACGAACTATAAATGACTATTCTTGTTTCTACAACCCTGGTATTAAATATCATATAAACATAGATGGCAAATACTATCCAAGAGAAGAATATTCTACAGTTGAGGATATGAGGTCATACAACTTGACATTAGATGCTATGAACTTTAACAACAACTTCACAACAACCATTAACCCTGAAATGCAAAGTTCTATTATGCCATATGTGAAAGTATGGACTCATACAGGAGGTCAAAAAACTCAATATACAAATGGAGACCGTTCAAACTTTTGGCTTGGCATTCCATTTGCTGACTCAGAAGACTTTATGGGTGGTATTTCAACTGTTGGTACAGTTCAAATACAATATACTGGTGACAGAGACGGTCCAGATGAACTGAGAGCAAAGAAGTTTACAAAACCAATAGCACTTTTCACGGAAGATGCTCTTTTGAAAATTCGTTCGATGAAACCTGCTGGGGCTCCTCAGATTGGTATAACGACAGCTTCCATCGAGCAGATTTTGGCAGCAGGTCAGTAAGTTGTTCTTGAACTGACTTCTCTCCGTCAAATATTGACAGTACGCCAGTCTTAACATAGTATTGTATTAAAAACTTTCCTTTAGAAATATCTGTAAGTTTTGTTGTTATATTTTTGTCTGCTTCAAGAACTTTCACCATCTCGGTTATACCAACTTTCTTTGCTTTATGAAAATATTTTGGTTCAGCAAAGACTGCTATTCTATAACATTTTCCATTGTTTGTGTAAAGAACTACTCTGTCAATGAACTTGTATTGTTTGTGTGTGTAAACTTTGTTCTGCTTCAATTCGAAGAGATACTCAAATACGTCCATCTTTTTATTCTAAGTAAAATGTCATTTCCGAAAAAATAGAAGCGTGAGTGTTTCAAAAGGTTTAATGGCGGTGGCAGATGTGAAGTTAAATTCACCAACTCAAACAAACAGTCAAAGTGTTGTTGTCAATGTCAAAGAAAGAGATGTTGAAGTGGGGAAACCATACGAAGACCAAGATGGTATAACAATAGTTCCTGTAAAAGAACAACCAACATACCCTGAAGTTAGCAGAGACTTAAGTTCTGTTGCAGATATTCGAAATGACTACCAACAACTTAAAGACAAACTGAAAACTCAGGAGAAGATTTGTCAAGCTTTGGGTATAATGTTAAACTTGGTCGAGCACAACCCTGTAAAAGTGAACTCATATGTCATCGCACCTCATGAAGTTTTTGAAAGAACTATTGAAACTTTTGACAGAGGCAGACGATATAAACATCAAAGAAATAGAACCCGACATTGCTTGCTGTGGTGTTTCATATAATGTCATTGACAAGATATACGTTATGAAAGGAGGTGAGACGTTGAACTTAAAATATAGTTTCCAGACGTCATAAAAATATTTGACGACCACAACATTTCATTAAAATTTATTTGCTAAGTAAATGGCAGAAGACATAGTGGTTTATACTATTACGACTAAAAACCCTGAGTCATATAATTCTATAACAACAAACTTACAAAGTCCTCAAGGACGGTATTGTAAACTAACCTTAAACACAATGACGACTAAAGCCTGTTTTGCTCTTTTGACACCAGAAGACTTTGTTGTTGTGAATGGTAAAAAATACTTCTTTGAAGATACTTACTCAGATATACCACCAACAGGTTTTGTTGACTTATTTAATACTTTAAGGACGGATGTAACATGTGCTGCAACTAGAGCAGGTTTCATTATGTTTGGATGTCCGACTGAGTTTACTATAAACGATATGAGCTATAATACAAAACTTATATCTGGTTTTTACTACCAACAGTTTCCTATAACAGGAAAAGGTGTCATACAAGGTCTATCTGTTCCATTGACTTTAAGCACACCTATTTTATATATTGTTTCAAACTTAGGTTCAAAGTGCTATTCGAATGTCGACAGAAACTACTATGACCAAAAGATACTCATGCGTATAAACAACACTTTCTCTGCTGGTTTGCCTATTGTTCATTCGAATGCAGAGTTTTCAGCTTTAGTAAACTCAAACACTTTAGCAAACATAAACTTAACCTTAGTTGACGCAAACTTTGTTCCTGTAAAACTTTTATGTCCTATGTATTTGTCAATGACGGCAGAAAGTTTCGAATTGGAAGATGCAACTGGTGAAAGTATTGTACTACAAGAACAACTTCAACAACAAATAGCTCAAGAACAACAAATGGAACAAATGGAACAAATGCAACAACAAAGTCAAGAATAAAAAAATAATATTTTTTTTATTTTTATAAAAATGTACAGAATAGATGTTTCAGATTTTTATGACTTCCAAACATTCAGAAATATGTGTCCATTTCGAGACTATAACAAAGCAGTCGAGAATTTGAAACGTTTAGTCATTTATGTCGACTCTGCCCCAGAATGTTATGTTATGAAAGAATGGGATGTAGTCTTTAACAAACCAAGAGCAACCATAGTTTCAGAACAAGAATGTAGACAGAAACTTAAGAAAATAAAAGTCGTACAAGTTGGTATGAAGATGTTAGATGCTTGGGATATCTTATTGTCAAAGTTAGAAGATTTTTCAGTTCGTGGTATAAAGTTTTATACACCATCTCCAAACTTCTATTCTATCTTCACTGGATATAAATACGAACAAGTAGAATGGAAAGAAAATGTTATAGAAGCTTGGTTAGACCATGTCAAAGAAATTATATGCAATGGAAACGAAAGAGTCTATGAGTATATCTTATGTTGGTTTGCAAACATCTTACAACATCCAAGTGCTAAAAATGAAACTGCTCTCATCATAATTGGAAAACAAGGAACAGGTAAGAACACTTTCTTTACAGATATTTTGTGCAAACTGTTAGAGGGCTATTCGAACCCGAATATGACAAACTTAGAAAACATCTGCGGTAAATTTAACTCTTCAATTGAGAATATGAAACTTATAGTTTGCAATGAACTTCAAAGTATAGATACAACAAAAGTTTTGAACTCAGATGCTTTGAAGAGTCTTATAACAGACAAAGTTGGAGTTGTTGAAAGAAAGTATAAAGACCAAAGAGTTTGTGAAAATGTTGCAAACTTCATTATGGTTTCAAACAATGTTGTTCCGATGAAGTTAGAAAGTTCTGACAGAAGATATGTAGTTGTCAGAACGTCAGATTCTCATATGCAAGATACAGAATATTTTGACGACTTAGCAGAAACTTTGACACCTAACTTTTACAACCACTTGTTCTCATATTTCATGACATTAGATATTTCTAACTTCAATCCAAGACAAATTCCACATACCGAAGAAAGACAAACGTTGTTAGAAGCAAACAAGAGTGTATATGAACTGTTTATAGATGAGACTAACTTTGAGTGTTTAGATGAAAGGTCATTGTACGATTCATATAAACAATATTGTCAAGAATATGGTTATATGGCAGCGTCTAAACGAACATTCTTGGCAAATGTCAAAAATCTTTTAGATGTTCAGAACGGCGTATATACAAAGAAAAATTTTTCTGAGTAAATTTTAAAAAAAAATATTTTTTTATCCGATAGAAAAGATGACGAAATATATTTCAGTCAACAAGTACATGTCAGGACTTAAAGAAGAACTAGACCCATTCGCTTATTTGAATGTTTACTTCTACCATTTTGAAAAGTTACATTTGACAAAGTTTGGAACATCGAACCAGTTAAGTTTGCTATTGTGACTAAAAATGGTGCGAAATTTGAAGACTTAGACATAGAAGGTTTGTTAGCAGTCAAAGAAAATTTTGACAGAAGGTTCTCAAACCTTAAAGAAGGCAAAGCATACAAACTTGTTATACCTTATGAACCAAAGAAAGCAGACGACTATGAATATTATGAGTCTAAGATAGTTGAAGTTCAAGGTAAATTGGGTAAAAAGATTTTAGAGTCTAAACCAGTGTTTGCTCCTAAAGAGGAAGAGAACATTGACATTGACCCAGAAATGTTCTAAAAATAAAATTTTATTTTTACATGTCAAATTTCTTTTCTCTGGTTCAGGTTCTTTCTTCTCTTCTTCTACTTTCTTTTCTTTCTTTTCTCTCTTCTTCTTCTTCTTCTCTGGTGGAGTTATGTCAAACTTCTCAGAACCATATTTATGTAAAAGTTCTTTGTCCTTTAATAGCTCATCTATTCTGTTTTCTATTTCATCTTCAAGAACAGCGCATGTGTCTTCTTTGCATTCTAAGAACTTTTGTTGGACTTCATCTTTCCAATCGGCGTCATCTCTGTCAACAAGTCTGTCATTGACAAATTTTAAGACTTCTCTGCTAATGTTTTATGGTTCTTGTCATATTCCCAGAAACAGAACTTTAGAACAAATTCCCTTTCTTGTTTACACTATGTAAGATTTTATGGTCGACAGATGTTTTGCTGTCGAAAAGCTTGTCTCGAATATAGATAGCGAAATCGCTAGACATTTTCTAAAAGATAAAAATTTTAATTTTTCTAAAAATATGTTAGAAAAAAAGTTTGCTGACATTGACAAGAAATTTGAGAATGTTTTAAACAAGAACAAGAGGAAGTTAGAAAATGCTCAGATAAAACCTATACATGACAAGTTCTTATTTGCTCAGAATGGTATAACAGGTCTAATCGCACCACCTGGGTCGGGTAAGACTTTCACTTATCTTAAAATGGCTGCACAACAACAAGAACTAGATGAGAAGAACCCATTCTATGAGTTAGTTGTTATTTGTAGTACTTCTGGTCAATTTGACCAGACCGTCAATTCGTTCAAAGATATTATAAAAAAGTCTAAGTTAGTATGTATAAAGGATACTGAGTTGTTAGATTGGATAAAGAAGTACCAAAGAAGAGTTTTGAAGTATAATGCTATAAATGAGTATATAAATTCTAAGTTTAAAGACCCAAATGAGGAAATGCAGAGAATATTAGAGAAGAAACACTTCAGAAACAAACAGAAAGAGATAGAATACATTTCGAAGAAATTGCAATCTTACGATTGGAAAACGTACCCTCATAGATGTCTTCTTATCTTAGATGACTTTGCTTCTCATCCTTTGTTAAAGAACAGAGAACAAGATATGTGTCGAATTCTTAAGAAGCTCAGACACTTTAACATCTCAGTTGTCATTTGTGTACAGACAGCAAAGAGTTTAAGTAAGGATGTTAAAAGAATACTTACTGATATCATACTTTTCCCTGGATTGTCCGAAGACGATTTCATGGAACTTATGAAAGAGTCCATGGCAGGTAAGTTTGACAGACATGAACTATGGGAGAAGTACAAAGTCATACAAGACCCTCATACTTCTTTCAGAATTCATATCTACGCGAACAAAGTTCAAATTGTAAAAAGTCAAGCTTGAAAAATAAATGTTTAGTCTTAGTAAGTCTGTTGTGGTGCTGGGGCTGTCGGTTCTTCTGGCTTTGGAAGGCATTCAGGAAGAGGAACGTCAGTCATCCGTTTGTGTCCTGTCGGAAGGAAGAACTTTTCCTGTTGGAAGGAAAAACTTTTTCTGTCGTTCGACCAAAAAGTTCTCAATTTTCGAAAATTTGAATGGTTTACGGACGAACAACAGGAAATTTTTTTCCAGTTGTCAGGAAATTTTTTTCCAGTTGTCGGGAAATTTTTTTCCAGTTGGAAGGAAGGACTTGGAATGTCGGAAGGAAGAACTTGGAATGTCGGAAGGAAGGACTCGGAATGTCGGAAGGAAGAACTTGGAATGTCGGAAGGAAGAACTTGGAATGTCGGAAGGATTTGACAAGACAATTTACCTAATTTACCTACCTGAGCCATTTGAAGTCAAGCGTAAAAATAAAGAGTGCAATTTACTCTACTTGTTTGAAGTTGTCAAAATACTCTGTTATTTTTTCCTTTAACAATGGCAAATCTTCTTTGAAGGTAAGAATTGTACAACCTTTCATATCATAGTGTGTTTGAGGTAACGTATCTTGAACTATTTGTTTCACATCTTCATTCGGTGTCATTGAAATCGGTAAGTTTTCGCGATAGAACCAATTTCTGTCAGATTTGTAAATCTTAGCAAGGTCGTAAAAGCTTTTGTTGTTTCTTCTGACTAAATGCAACATAACCATATCTCTGTCTTCTTCATTTTCCATCTCTTCAGTATAAATCATATACTTATAGTTCTTTTCCTTTCCTTTTGGTACCGAACGTGGTATTCTTTTCTGTATGGTTTTGTCTTTTGCTTCAAGCTTGTTCTCTAGCTCTTCACGTTCTTGTCTATGAATTTCATCTAACATCATGAAAATATAACAAGCATAGCGAGGTGAAGCCCACATTGCAACAGCATTTACAAGAAGTCTATGTACATAATATCCTTTCAAATCATTTGGCAAATTTTTACGATTTTCGTACGGAATCTCGTCCCTCGGTTTTCCGAGGGACGCAAACATATGAGGAAATTCTTCTAAAAGTTCTTTTGTCTGTTGGTTTTCAAACCAATGGTATGCTTGCTTTGTAGAACGAAGAGCATTCAAAATACTTTGCATCTGGTACATATCGTCTTTGACCGAACGAATGAGACGTAACTGTTTGTTAAACTGTATGTACTCATATTCTTCACTTATGGCTTCATGGACTATAACTGTTGTTGTGTTCTCTGTTGTTGACATATCTGTCTTTACATACAAAATAAAAAAATAAATAAAAATAAAACTAACTTTATTTTTTCTATCTTTCACAAAAGACCAAAAATAAACGCTTTACATGTATTTTTCAGCAACTTCGTCAAATAATTTTATAGCTTTATCTATCTCATCCACTTCAAACGTTTCTTTACCTTTCGTGGGAGCACCATACATTTTCTCAAACTTTTCAAGCAGTTCTGTTTCTGCAGCTCTCATATCGTTAACAAACACAACCTTAACTCTATTGACTGTAGAGTCATATCTTTTAGTTATATTAAATGTTCTTCCTATCTTATATCTCTTTGTATTGAAGTCTTTCGGTTTCTGAACGATGTAAAGTAAGCCTTCACTGCAACGTTCCGTATCGAATGAACCATATGTTATGAAATTATATCCAACAACTGGGTCTAACCAGAACAAAACTACTGGTATAAGACTTTTGTCTATAAGATATGCTGTAGTTCCATAGAATCTTACCGATATCATAAGCTCAGGATTTCTTGTCAAAATTTTCTGACTAGAAGCAGTTCTAACCCAGTCGTGGGATGTTTTCTTTCCAAATGGAGATATAATGTCTGACAAAGAATATTTATTGTATTTCTTTGAGTATCTTACGTTTAAATCACCTATTCTAACCAATTTAGTGTTATTGTCTATCTTTTTAACTGTTTCAAACTCAGTGTTTGTCATTTCCTGTTCTTACATACAAAATAAAAAAAAATATTTTAAAAAAACTAGTGTTAATTTTATTTTTTCTATCTTGTATAAAAGATATGATTTCATAGAGTTTTTTTACGAAGTGTCAAAGTTCTCTTCGTAAAAATATAACAGTTATATAATGAAATTTGGTCATTTTTTCACGATTTTCGTACGGAATCTCTATCCTCGGTTTTTCGAGGGTAGCAAACATATGAGGAAATTCATGAAATTTGGTCATTTTTTTCAGCAAAAATATATTTTATGTTAGAATGTTAGATCTAACATGTTTTCTAACATGTTTTCTAACATGGTCTAAAACATACAAAACTCATGAAATTTCAAGACTTCTTCGTACATGTTTTGTCATGATTTCATCGTATATGTTTTGTCAAGACTTCTTCGTATATGTTTTGTCAAGACTTCTTCGTATATGTTTTGTCAAGACTTCTTCGTAATGAGCGTAAATGACCAAAAAATAATGTTTATGTTAGAATGTTAGATCTAACATGTTTTCTAACATGTTTTCTAACATAACTATTTACAAGCGTTTTACATGGTATATGTTGCGATGGTTCATGACTCTAAACAATTTCGTGGCTTCAATTTCTTCTGTCAGTACATCGAATGTTTTAACGATACCGAAAGTTTCTTTATACTTCTTCTTGACGTCAGATAGAAGGAAATCGTCAGCTGTTGGATAGTTTTTGTTTAGAAATGTCAACATGTCCATTTTATCTTCTGCTGGTTTCTCTGCTTCTTTCTTTAAATCTGCATAGTCGTTTCGCATACGTTCTATCTCTTTGACGGAGTAGTTATATTTCCTCATTGCTGCTTTACATTTAGAACATTGTGGGTTCATTTTTGCGTTATATTCTGAAACCTTACCTGCTAAAACAACCAAGGCGTCAATGGTTTTCTTCATCTCGAACATAGCGGGTTTTATTTGTTCGTTCCATACCTTACCCCTACTATCTTTATCTCTTATTTCCCAAACACATTTTGCAACTAACGAAACAAAGTTGTCGTAGGTCTTAAACTCCCCAGATTTGTATATGTCAGAGATGTTCTTATATACCATGTCGCAATCTTTGTCCATAACCTTATGGTTGCAATGAAAACCAAGGAATTCATAATTTACCTTTCGTATGAACTTCTTTATTTCTACTGAGTCAGTCAGTCCGACTTCTATTTCATCGAATTCTGGAATAGTGAGTTTTTGTTGTTGGATTTCAGGAAGTTTAGGTAAATGGTCAATAATGTCCTGCATTTCATAAAGATACTGTTCATTTGTTTCATCTTTCGCACTACAGTCTAAATTACTTGTTAAAAGTTCTTGCTTTATCTTCTGGATTTTTGTTTCGAAAGTATATGAAGAAGGAATGAAGCTTTTCATCTCTACTAACATTGAAGTTGGGTTCATAACTAGCGAGTTTGGTGCTGTAGTTGCTAACATGTTCTTACAATAAAAATAAAAAATAAAACTAATTTTATTTTTTATTTCGGGAAAATTCATGAAAATTCAAGAGTTTTAGACCATGTTAGAAAACGTGTTAGAAAACATGTTAGATCTAACATTCTAACATAAATTATATTTTTGGGTCATTTACGCTCATTCCGATGAAGAAGTCTTGACAAAACATTTATGAAGAAGTCTTGACAAAACATTTACGAAGAAGTCATGAAAATTCAAGAGGGTAGAAAAGAGGTTAGAAAACATGTTAGATCTAACATTCTAACATAAACATTATTTTTGTCGAAAAAAAATGGTTCATTTACTCACAATATTTTTGTACAAAACGACCCCAAACTTTTAACTTCTTTTCTGCAGCTTCTAATGTTATCTTAGCGAGTTCATATTCTCTAAATTCTCTCTTTAAATCTTCTTGTTCCCATTGGTCTAGTTCGTATGGAGAATCTCTATAACCAGAACATATCTCACGTTCATGTTCTATTTGTTTTTCATGCATTTTTCTAACTTCTTCTTCAAACAAAGGTTTTGCATTCTCTACTGTATCTTCAAGTTCTTCTTCATCTAACTTCTCATGAACTTTCTTGTCTATGGAGTCCATAATTTTTCCAACTGCTATACAATATTTTGGAGAAGCCCACATTGCAATATAGTTTACGAGTCTTGGGTCTACATACATTCCTCTAACCTGTTTGATTTCATCCGGAATTCCTGCATTAACATTGTATAAAAAGCAACCCGCGGAATTCCGCGGGGTGGTATATTCTTCACAAAATGCCTTAAAATACTCTTCCCAGGACTTATTTTCCAACAACCTTCTAAAGTCTTTCCTAAACTGCTGACACATCTTTGTTGCATTTATATAACCATCCTTGTCTCTACGTAAGACTTCAATACCGTTGTAAGTGCCTTTTGTGAATGTTTCGCCATTAGATTTGTTCGTGAACGTTTTTGCTTCGACTGTCATACTGTTCTTACAATAAAAATAAAAAATATTTTTGGCTTAACCGTCGGACATTCGTTTGTGGCTTAACCGTCGGACCACAACGATAAAAATCTCGACAAAACATATACGATGAAGAAGTCTTGACAAAACATTTACGATGAAGTCTTAACAAAAAATATACGATGAAATCTATTTCCTGTGTTGTTGTCAAAATGTCATGTTGTCACACTTTTTCAGAGAAGTTAAAATGACCGAGTGACCGAGTGACCGAGTGACCTGGTCGCCTAAAATATATTTTTTTCTATCTTAAGGAAATTCATGACAAATTCAACGGGTGAACTTTGTATAAAAAGCAACCCGCTGTTTTCCGCGGGTTGGTATATTCTTCACAAAATGCTTGTTTTGAGGTCGAGCCACTTTTGGCTCCACCTCTTTTTTCAACCAAAAACTCATTTTTGTCGAATTCAGCACTTTTCCGTAGTTGTATATGAAAGACAATTCGGGATGAAATTTCTTCATCTGATATTGTCCTACCAGCATTTGTAAAGATATAGTCTAACGGTTTTGTATCTGCTACTTTTGTTCTTTGTTTTTCAACCTGAAGCATTTAATATATGTAAAAAAATGTTTTAAAATGGTATGCCATATAGCTTCTTGAATTTGTTAAGATGTATTTGAACGTATTTTCCATCTGTATCTCTAGCGTTTACATGAGCATAGCCCGCCTTAGTAAAACATACTTGTAATTTCCTATAGTTTACGCCGGTATAAAAGTAGAAAGAGTCTTGTTCTTCGCTATAGTAGTAAAACTCAAACGTATGCTCGCCATAGTCTGTAATTTCAATTGCTTCATCTTCTAGTTCGTCGACAAATTCGAATACAATATCTCGAAATTTGCCTATGTTCTTATTGTTTTCAGAACAAGTGACCCAACGCAAGTTTTCAAGTCTATTGTCGTTTCTTATATGGTTTATATGGTCTACAAAAGGTAAATTGTTAGGGTTCGGTATAAAATGAGTTGCAATGACAACAT